TCGCAGACGCACTAAACGCCTTCCCGCAATGCTGGTCTTGACAACGTAGTGACAAGTGGGTGTCTGATAACAAAAGTCTAATAGGAACCTCATCAATTTAGCTCGACTTGATGACCTTGGAAGGTCCCATCTCAAGCTCAGTGCCGAAGATGCGGTCCCAGAAGCGGCTCGTGACACCGAAACCGTTCTGGTAGTCTGCGAAGTGATGCGCGAGGTGGTACTTCTTCAGTTGTTGGTAGTAAGGGGGCAGCCTTTGAGATGTTAGTGAGGTTCTTGAACGTAACTTGCGCGTATACATACTTCTGGTGGTGGAGGAAGTAGTGTGTCATGTCGTAGCAGGTGTATCCAAAGATACCACCGCAGTAAGCAGCCAAAGCAGCGTACCAGTTCCAGAAGATAACTGCATGTGCAAATTTCCAGAAAGGCGCCGCGAGGACGACGAAGAGCGTAGGTGGCATGACAAGCCTGTACCTGTCCATGGGAAGGTAGTGGTGGATGCCGTGAAGGAGGAAGTGCAGGGTGATAGCGAAGCGGTTGTCGGGAAGGTGGCTGATTATTGTTAGAACAAATCGGATGCGTGAGAGGCAGGGAACTTACTCATCGAGATGGAACAAGCACCTGTGCAGAACGTATTCAATAATGGTCCAGAAACCTAGCCCAAAAGCCCAGTATCCCGCCAGTTCCATGGTAGATGACAGTCCACCGAACGCTACTGCTGTTCCAACTGCAACGCAAGGCCACCACAGCGATGGTACGATCCACCATGGCGTCTTGCTGAGCGGCTCCAAGAAGTTGCCGAACAATGGCGCAGAGTCACCTCCCTTGTAGTGACGCGGTCGGTGCACTTGCTCTAGGTAAAAGTCTTTGCTGAAGCCACCGAAGAAGACTTGCATCAAGAGCGGCTTGTTAAGGTCCAGGAACTTGTGCTGCTTGTAGTCCATGGTGGGGTCAGTCTCTTTGGAGAGATCTTCCGCAGACGACATGCCGGTTGCGGCGTATAGCGGCTTGCCGTTCTGTTCCATACCCTTGAGCTCCAGTGTGCCCACCTCGGTGGGTGGCAGAGGTACAATTTCCGCGGGGTTCGAGCTCTTCACTGCACCATTGAGAACAGGCTCGGTAGCCATGAAGCCCACAAGGCTCTCTTCAAGGATCTCGTAGGCCGAATCGGAATGTGTGTGAGATATCTCATCCTTCAGAATGGCTTCTACATCCTTGCCAGCGTATTCCAGGATGAACTCAGGACCACCGGGATGGCCCTCAAGGAAGTCGGTGACATCGTAGACCTTGGTGCCAATGGTGACATAGCACGACTCTTCGTTGTTGTGCTTGCGCACCTCGGCGGTCGGAATCGTCGGAAGGGTGCGACCGGGCATGGTGGTGGTTGTCGACATGAACTCTACAGTAAAGGCGGCAGGTTCTTCGCAGTACGTGAACGGAGAGAGGTAATCGTTAAGTAATTATGTGAAGCGGTGTGTAATTCAAAGACAAAGTATCAGCGGTGTGGTGGTCAGCTACAGTTGCGTGGCGACAACAACGCGGAAGCCAGGGATGGAAAACTGTGGCGTGGTGGAACACCAGTTCGGGGTAGAGAAGGAGCGTATAGGGTGGGAGGATGCGCAGAGTATAAACAATACAATGCGCGCGTGTGTGTGTGTGCAGAGGACAATATAGCAGTCTGTAAGAGTTCCAGTTATTGTCAGGAGAGCCAAGCCGCATCGCTCGCCTCGTAGATCTCACCACCCGCAGCTAATGTGGCGAGACCGGCATCTTCGCCCTCCCACCTCCGAGCCCGAGATGCCACCACGAAATCTCAGTTTGCGGAAAGGAGATGCAATTTCCCTTGGCCTGGAGATTGCCGTGGTAGTTTCTGATTGGGCACGGTGTCCTCTAGCGCTCTTCATGTGCCCATGGTCGGATCACTTTTGTTTCGTCCGAATAACTGCAGGCAGCACCCTAAATCACATGCGACTTCGCATCGTTCCCATGTGAATGTGCCTCGCGACTACCACACCTACGACGCATTACGTCTAAATCCGTTAAAACATTCGAGCCATTCCACGAAAAGGAATCTCTAAACAGATACCTGGGTGCAGATGTTGCGGCAGTCGACGAAGGCTTCAACAAGAATATCTTACAGAACCGTAGACTTCTTAGTTGTATATGCTACTTCGGCATGCATTGCTGTAACAAAGAGGCAAAGTCAGATGCCGGCAGAGTGTTTATCGAGTTCCTTGTATGGGGTAAGGCTGCCTTTGGGTGGAACACCAAAAGACATTTCTGCAGCATTGACCAGCTTCAGGTCACCTGGGCGGCTTTACGTGTCCTGGCAAGACATGTATTCACGTCGATGATTTCCAACGTCGAACAAGCCACCAACATATCGGCCCGCCGTTTTGAAAGCATTCGCGTGGACGCCAATGACAGGCTGTGAGGCTGCGCACCAGCCTTGCTGGACCCTTGTCTGCCAGGGGTAGAAAAACGACATTGCGTCACTGACCGTTACCAAGTCGCGACTCCTTCACAGCGTCCAACAGCAGCCAATCTTTCGATATGTGCCTTGCTTTTGGTACAGGGCCCTGGCCCTTGACCTCACCCCCGTTCCCAGCCTTATCATCAGTACCTCCACAACCTCAAGAACATCTACATACCTCTACGACGACGCTCAACAGGTCTATATCCTCTCTTCATATACCTAGCAACCATTTCCTACTACGAGCACTGGTCCTGTGATTGCGCATCCGCTGTGCGCAGTCGCATCCCGCCATGTCTACTTTCAAGTCCAGCAGGGGTCATACCCGGCCTACAAACCATTATTCTATCGCTCAGCTATGCACCGTGCTGTGCCTGAGTGCGTTGCCTATGGCCGACGCTTTCCACCACATGGCACAAAAGGCACCCTGGAAAGCCAATCGGAGAAAACTGGACATCACGCCCTTGCTGGTGACGAACCGTTGTCCCGAGAGCATCTGGCCTGGTATCTCAACGCAGTCCGGTACAGGTCCTGGAGAGAATGGCTTCAAGCTTGAGCCTGGGGAGACAAAAAATCAGACTGTGTCAGAGGATTGGCAGGGTCGCGTGTGGGGCAGGACGAATTGTACGTTCAACAGTGACGGTACCGCTGCTGAATCGGGTCGTGGAAAGGCTTGTGGATCCGGCGACTGCAATGGCGCCTTGAATTGTCAAGTCGGGGTATGTTATTACGCTCTATATTGATACACTGCTGACTCGAACATAGGGGGACGTTCCTGTCTCGCTTGCCGAGTTCACGTTAGATGCTGGGGACGGACATACATACTACGACATCTCGCTTGTCGATGGCTACAACGTCCCCATGGCAATCGTACTCCAGCCGCTCGAGAACGTCACGCTCGACGATATCCCTCCGAACCTCACCAATCCATCCTGCCAAGGCACGGATGGACTGCTAGCTTCCCAAGGCTACAATCCCTACCCCGAATACCCTGACTTCTTACGCACGAATACCTCCTACCCGTTGCCCTTTGATCAGAAGGTCGATAAGAATAAGATCTCTAAATGGTGTCCATGGGATTTGCAGCAGAACCCCCCTGAGAAGCCTGGCGATGGCGTATATCCATATCCCGACGACAACATCCAACGGCCACAGTTCAATCCTTGCTTCTCTGCATGTGCAAAGAACAATCGGCCTGAAGACTGCTGTACAGGAGAATACAACTCTGCAAGTGCGTGTCAACCAAGCGAGTACTCCAAAAACGTCAAGGCAGTCTGCCCTGACGCATACAGCTTTGGTATGTGGTCCCCTCGATACTCAATCAATGGAGCAAGGCTAACAACCAAAACAGCGTTCGATGACCAGACTTCAACCTTCATCATCCCCTCCGGAGCTGGATTCGAAGTGGTCTTTTGTCCTGGTGCGCGTTCGACGACGATCCTCTCAACGAGTCGAGAGGAAATGCTTCAGTTAGCGCAGCAAGGCAGAGTCGACAAACAAGCTACGATGATGATGAAATCCAGGAGTGAAATGGCAAAGAGAAGTGCTGCGTCGAGGATCTCAAAGTTGGGTGGTAATCCGTTTGCGTTTGTTTTGGTTGTGGTGGCCGTGACATCAGCTTCACACTTCTGGTAGCAAGACTGTAGTTACGCTTTGTCGTCCATGGTGTTCGGAAGCCCCATTGCTGCTGTTATTTGTTGTTCTCACGTGGAGCGAGGTGGAAGTCTTACGGCAGTCCCAGTTTTATACCCCTTCCTCTTTTCTCCAATTGACTCTTAAGCATCTCAATCCAATACTTCCCCCAAATCACCCCCTCATTGCAGCACAGTCGCATTCAGAGAGGGGTCTGCTATAGGCCATATGTTGGTGAGCGACCAAATGCATGACCAGGTAATGGTGCGGCAGAATTCATGTTGTCAGATTTAAGACCTGCGCCTTCCGGGTAACCGGAAGCTGCTTAAGGTTCTGTTGGTAAAGTACCAGGTAAGATTTAACAAAGCGATTATAGCCTACGTACTCAGCAACATAAGGTTGCTCTGGCAGAAGGACCCCACGTTGCGTGGGGCTTGACCACTCGGAACACTGCCGTCGCTCCTCTAATGTTCTACCCAACTTCTCTATATGGCACGGAACAACGGAGACCGATCTCATCTTGCAATTCACCCTCTGTACCTGCACCTCGTGGCCTTCTGACGGCTGAACTGCGGCTCAGGGTCATATCTTCCGACATCAGATCCACAATAGGCGGCTTGCTAGCCGCTTTGGGCGCGGGCCACCTTCTCCGCATACCCTTTACGGACCACATCACGGTGCTACGAACGGCTCGATGGAGCTCAACGCGGCACCACATGCTCCGGCCAAGTCAATTGTCTGATTTAGCATGGTAGAGGGATGTCCAGTCGTCATTCAAGAAGAAAGGGCGTCCCCAGTGGTGATGCTGCTTACCCCGCTAATTGGTAGTCTGAGGCAGCGATTTCTAAGGGCTGGCAGGAGGTTCGATCGGTCATTACCATCTTGAACTTCATCCATCATGGCAAAAGCACAAGCTCTGAGCGCTCACGTGCTTTCGAAGGGTTGGGCCTTCAAGCAGGCTGATGATACTGCTGATGATGCTTGGATGTCGGTCAACAAGGTTCCGACAAATGTACACCTGGACTTGATGGACCACGGCAAGTATGTCTCGAAGTTCAGGAATCGGAAGGGTTTTGCAGAAACTGACAAACGAGCCAGAATTCCGGATCCTTTCCTGGGCTTCAATGAGCTTGACGCAGAGTGGGTGGCAGACAAGGTTTGGACATATAAAGTCGAGCTGCCCAAGGTACAGGAAGCAAAAAAAGGTATTACACACGTGCTTGCCTTCGACGGTCTGGACACATTCGCCACAGTCAAGCTCAATGGAGAGACTATCCTCGAGAGCGACAACATGTTCGTCCCGCATCGCCTCGATGTGACTAAAAAGCTCAATCCAGAGAGCACGAACACTTTGGAGATCGACTTTGCATCTGCCCGTCTTGAGGCCATCAAGATCAAGGAAAAGTACCCAGACCACAGATGGGTTGGATTCAATGGCGATATGGCAAGGCTTGCAGTAAGGAAAGCTCAGTACCATTGGGGCTGGGATTGGGGCCCAATCCTGAACACGTGCGGTCCCTGGCGTGAAGTGCGATTGGAAACCTACCAGGCAAGGGCCAAGGATCTGAGAGTCGACTACAAACTCGATGATAGCCTAAAATCAGTCCAGGGAACGATTTCTGCTACTGTGGAAGGACCGTCCGCAGACAGCGTTAGCTTTGATGTTTTCGATGGAGATCAACGAGTCTTTAGGGAGACTGCAAAGATCAGCGAGGGTGTGGCCAAAGTGGATTTCCATGTCAGCAGCCCGAAGTTGTGGTACCCCCATGGTTATGGCGAGCAGCCTTTGTACACCGTTACTGCGACGGTTCTCACGAATGGAGCAGAGACACATCAAACGTCACGTCGAACAGGTTTTCGGAAAGGCGAACTCATACAGGAGCCAGATGCTATTGGAAAAAGCTTCTACTTCCGGGTCAACGGCGTTGATGTCTTTTGTGGTGGCTCGGACTGGATTCCTGCCGACTCTTTTACTCCACGTGTGACCGAAGAAAAATATCGTAAATGGCTCGAGATGATGGTTGATGGCTATCAGATAATGATCAGAATCTGGGGTGGCGGCATCTGGGAAGAAGACATCTTCTATGACATCTGCGATGAACTCGGTGTCCTGGTGTGGCAAGATTTCATGTTTGGCTGCGGCAATTATCCCGCCTTTCCGGACATCCTGCGATCAATCAAGGAAGAGTGCACCACAAACGTCACCAGACTGCGACATCACCCTTCCATCATCATCTATGCCGGGAATAATGAGGACTACCAGGTGCAGGAGTCGTATGGCTTGACATACGATTACGAGGACAAGAATCCAGAGAACTGGCTCAAGACTGACTTCCCGGCTCGATACATATACGAAAAGGTGCGTGCGTATCGTGCGTTTATCAATCACAATTACGCTGACAGCACTATTTACAGCTACTGCCTGACGTCGTTGCGGCGGAAAGTCCACATGTTCCATACCATCCAGGATCACCATGGGGCGACGGCCTTAAGACGTCAAACCCCACAGTGGGTGACATGCATCAATGGAACGGTAATAATCTCCACATTGCGTCACATATATTATACTTACGATGTATGCAGTGTGGCATGGCACACAGGAAAAATACCAGATTTTTGATACGCTAGGCGGCCGCTTCAACAGCGAATTCGGCATGGAAGCATTTCCACATATCGACACGATCAGGTACTATTGCACCGATCCTTCTCAGTTGTATCCACAAAGCCACATGCTTGATTTTCATAATAAAGCGGACGGACATGAGCGAAGGATAGCCACGTATTTGGTGGAGAACTTTCGCACCAAGACTGATCTAGAGGTATGTGCCGTCCGACGGTTACCCGGTTCATGGTCGGGAACTATGACTAAGTGGGCCGCAATATAGCCGGTATAGGTACTAACAGCGAATAGTCGTTCATCCACCTAACACAGCTATCCCAAGCAGAAGCACTAATGTTCGGCTACAGGGGCTGGAGACGACAGTGGGGTCAAAACAGGCATTGTGGTGGTGCACTCGTCTGGCAGCTCAACGACTGCTGGCCAGTCACTTCGTGGTCTATCGTCGATTACTTCCAGCGCAAGAAACCGGCCTACTACGCTATGCGCAGAGTCCTTGCCCCCATCGCCGTTGCAGTCAAACGGGCGCACTTTGATTGGAGCGTAGTACATGCCAGAGTACCCAAGACTAGCGACTATGAAGTCTGGGTCGCAAGTCAGAAACTGGAGGAAGTGACAGCAACCGTTGAATTGCGATATATTAGCGTTGAGAGCGGCAAGGAGATTAAAACGAAGATCGTCAAGAAGGATGTCAGGCTCGTACCGAACGGAACGACCGACGTCCTCTCAGGTACCATCGACAACCGGAACGAAGAGCCGCATGTCCTAGCCGTCCGCATATGGGTCGATGGCGAAATTGTGTCTCGCGATGTCGATTGGCCCCAGCCACTCAAGTATCTCGAGTTCAGGGACCGCGGCTTGGAAGTCATACCGAAGGGCGAGACTATTGTGGTCAAGGCCCAGAAACCGACTAAAGGCCTGGTCTTCGAGGAACGTTCAGGCGTCCTTGTACACGACAGTGCTATAGATGTGGTGCCTGGAGATGAGCAGATCATCAAGGTAAGGGGCTTGGGCAAGCAGGATGAACCGTTGAGGTGGACATATTTGGGCAAAGATTAGGCGTCAGCTCGCAGGATTCGGAATGTGGAGTTGCTTGGATGATGTGGAAGCAGGATGACCGCTTTGTGGGGCATAACGTGTGAATGCAAGTACATGTAGTTAGAGGTATGTTCAGCGCATGCTGATGCGCAAGTACAACAAGTCCTTGATCATCAAGAGCGTCGACTAGCTCATCGGCTCGAGTTCGTATGTCGCGACATAAACTTTGGAACACGGCGAATATAGGCAAGGACCAAAGGTGTGGAATCGCACTGCGTAATAACCAGGCATTGTCGAGTAGAGTTTGGACCGAAGGGTATATGTGAGGCTGCTATAGGTCCATCGTCATGTATATGCCAAGCCCTGGATATGAACGTGTCTATCGAACATGCTGAATTTCCAGGGTTAATTAAATGGCGCCGCCCAGCGCTTTACAGCATTGGCTGGAACTGCCCTGCATGGGGTAGAGGGTGCAGGCAAATGCAACCTAGCCGCATGCCATCACGCAAAGCCGGTTCGCAGCGAGCACGCAGCAGCGTTCGGTGGGTTTTTGAGCTTCTCGGCCCACACTGGCTCGCGACCCGGACGCTGGTATGGGCTTTTGACTGGTGATATGTCGGCAGAAGGCGGCGGTAGCGAGTATGTCGCATGGTTGTCATTCCTCTACGCCTGCAACGCGGCTTGCCTGCAACGGCCGTCCTTCATAGGTCGGGTACATCTCACCCGAAAGCATGTGTTCGACGTTAGGGCTTGTGATTTAGGTTCGCATCGCACCACCCTCTCCAGAGGCCCACACACACATGTCACGCCTCTAACGTAGGCACGCAATCCATGCCCACCTGCGCCCATGCGATCGAGGGTGCGCGCTGCTTGATCGTGGCGGGAAGGATGATCCGCACTCGCTGAAACGACGTGCAGTAGTGCTGCCGCAGCCAGAGCGAGAAAAAAGGCTGCTTCATGTCAGTCGCATAGCGCAGCGCTCTAAAATGGTAATGTCGTGCGCGATCTCTTCTGGAACCCTTTTCGAAGCCGTCGGCAGCGGCACGCCCCATCTTTGACTCCAATTTCGCTTGGCCCCCTCCCCTCGCGAAAGACGCAATCCTTTCCCGTCCGCCCGTCTCAACGGTCGCCTGCCCTTTTTTTTCTCCTCTCCCTCTCGCTCCACCAGTCAGCCCTGCTGCATGCAAACAGGGGTGCTGTGGGCTATAATGCGGGGATTATACCCTCTCGAATGTCCACTCTGGAATGCCTTTCTGTCGCCCGGGCCCTGCGACTTGCTGTTAGCTTCCGCGCCGAGTATACCACAAGCTTCTGCAGGATTATGACGGCACATGCCTGGGAACCAGACGCACCTACGTTACGTTTTGCCTCTGTGCATCTTATTTGATTCAGGCTGCAGGTGGTATGCACTGCTCAAACTGCACTACCGAGCGTCTCTGATATAACGATCCCGGTTCGTCGACCTTTTAGTTCCGATTCTTGTTATATTGGTCCCTGAACGTACCACCACTAGTACTTTGTACCATCATTCTGGTCATCGCCTTCTTGTCACGACATATTTGACCGACTGTCCTCCTTGACCTGGCACCTGGATGCAGGGTCGCCTGATACCTCTGGTCTGAAATACCTGTTCTTCTTTCTTGAGTTGCGGCTCTGAAGCACGTCGCCGACTTACCACCGAGGTCACTGCAACATGTTTCATACCTTCCAGTCATCCGTGGGAATGCGGTCACCCGGAGCAGACAGTGACAGCGCGGGGAAACCATCACGCCCACCAGGCTCACGACGCATATCAACCAGCAACGCATGTGTCGAATGCAGACGACGCAAGATTCGATGTGACGGTTCACAACCTTGTGGACAGTGCCAATGGTATCAACACCCTGAGGCATGTGGCTATTCGAAGCCTGCACAACGAGTTGTGCCTAGCAGAAAGTGAGCATTCTAGAACATTATCAAGACGGGTCGGGCTAATTAGTTTGGTAGACTAGTCGACAAGCTTTCCAACAATATTGAACAGTACAAGACCATCCTCACAAAGTTGTATGGAGTAAAGAACCTGGAGTCGCTGGCTAGTCTCCCACGCGAGGAACTGTTAGAATTAGCTCTCTCCTCCAGTGCAATTCACTCAACGACATCGCCATCGGCAGCCGACTCGCAAACGCTATCGGACGTGCAGGTTGGATCTGATGGAGCCGAAAGCTTGGAAGCGCTCGAGCAGGCTCCACCTGAAGATCCTTACTGGGACGAGGCACGGAAGCACCAGCTCCGTGTCCAAGGCATCTCCGACGATGTAAATGGACTATCAATGTCCGTCGACCGCCTATCCTCTTACGTTGGCATTTCTTCTATTACAGCGGCACTAAAGGTTATTGTACGATGTGCACCTCAGACACGTTCGCTCATCGCACACAACAGCCAGGAGACTGCGCTACCAAGCCGCGCAGGCTCTCCGCCACCGGAGTTAGCAGACAGCAGGCCAGATGCCTTACCGACTGCCGAGCATGGTCAAGAGCTGATTGAAAGCTATTTTGACCGCGTGCATCCTTTCTGTCCTATGATCGATGAGCGAAAGTTTTGGTCCACGTTCTTGTACGGCAACCGCAAGGACTCAGCATGGCTGGCGCTACTGAACATGGTCTTCGCATTGGGGTCGCTTGCCTCTTTAGCTGCAGACAACGAAGCACACTATGTCTACTTCAATCGATCTCGGCAGCACCTGTCTCTGGAGTCGTTCGGAAGCGGCAACTTAGAAGTACTCCAGGCTCTAGCCATTATGAGCGGATACTATATGCACTATCTCAACCGCCCGAATGAAGCGCATTCCCTGATGGGCGGTACGCTTCGTATGGCTACCGCGCTAGGTTTACATCGTGAGTACTCTGAACGCAGTGACGCAAGCAGGCAGTTCATGGCACCGGGTGAAGAGGATTCTATTTCCCCGGAGATGAGACGACGCATCTGGTGGAGTTTGTTTTGTCTGGATTCTTGGGCTTCCACTACGACGGGTCGACCTTCGTTGGGCAGAATGGGGCCTTCCATCACTGTCTTGAGGCCTGGAACGGCCGCAAACACTGTAAGCCTTCTTGACGACTGCTGCAGTCGATAACTACTGACGTCAAATACAGTCCCAGGCAATACCACCACCCAACAGCCCTCAGTACATCGAGCAACTCAAGATCCTGCCTCTAGTGCACGCTTCGGCATTTTGTCAGATCGCTACTAGGATACAGGATCGGCTCGTCGAGTCTCCTCTGCTTTCCTCCACAGAAACCGCTAGCTACGACGCACAGATTGTGAAGTGGCATGAGGAATTGCCGTCGATTCTCTCCAACCCTGACGAGCCGTGTCCAGAATTTCTTCGGCGAACCAGACTGGTTATGAAGTGGCGCTTCCAGAACATTCGTATCATCCTCCATCGTCCAATCCTGCTTACTGCAGCACTACGGCGCTCTCCTTGGGTCGCCCTCAGCGCGGACGAAAAGCTCGCAGTGGGCAAATGTCGACTTATCGCATCCAAGACAATCGAAGAAATCAGCCATGAATGCATGCCCGATCTCATCTCAAGTTGGAACGCAGTGTGGTTTTGCTTCCAAGCCTGTATGGTACCTCTGGTTTCATTGTTCAGCGATACCAGCATACCGGAAGAGGTTGAGAAATGGAAAGCCAGTATCGAAACAGCACTCACATTTTTTGAGACAGTCAAGGACTGGAGTATCGCAGCTAAACGAAGCGGCGATGCAGTCACCCGCCTCTACGCCGCGTACAAGACGAATGTATCGACACTATCCCATCAGGGTCAGCCTGCTATGCCACACATTCCCCAGCCCCAGCAATATCGACAACAGCAACCTCACCCGCATGCCCACACTCACTTCCCCGTCCCCGGCACGTCGGCCGCGCCGACGATGCTCAACACCCACCCAGTCGCCTACGGACAACATCATCCCTCCGCGTTCGGACACTACAACCCTGCAACACCTACCTGGGCCAACGCCGGGAACGATCCGACGATCTTGAACAACTTTTGGGATGATATGATGTGGGATACCAATTTACCGGATATGTTAGAGACGCCGTTTGGGTTTGGTGGGGACTATGAGTTTGCAAGTGCGGCACAGGACTCTGGGGCGCAGGGGGCCTGTTGGATGCATGGAAATTAAAGAGACCATCAGGGAGCGTTACGTTAACACTCCTGTCGATCGTTTCAGTATTCGATGTTTGCCCGAGTCTGGACAGCACATACCGCGTAGGCAGCATTCGAGACTATACCCTAGCGTAGGAACGCAGGTCTGCGTGTGCGCAGCACATATGCGCTGTCAGTCTTGATGAAGATGCGCCAAGACGACTTTGTGCGACTGACGATGCCGGAGCCGACCGGACGACGCATAGCCACCGGGATATTGCCTAGCAACCCGATCGCATATACGAAAGCTCCCAGAAAGAAGTAGCAATATGCAACAGCCGGCAGTGAAACCGAACAAGCGGAATATTCAGCACAAGGGCTACCCTTTACCCCCTGGTTTCATATACACACTCATGGCAGTCCAGGGTTCAGGCTGCTGTTCGGAGCAAAGGATGATTTACACGGATTATAGATAAGTCAGCGGCTTCTAGCATTGTTCTCCCGAAGTCGCTTTATTTTTTGTTCTTGTCGATCTACCACATCCTTACACAGTTGCACGGATGGAAAGTAAGGCTGGCTGGCGTGTCCAGGCCATGGAGGCGGATCCGTATGTAGATGTCCCCTTTTTCTTTTCTACACTTTTGCTGCGCTTGTCTGCGTCGTTTCCGCATCCTTCACCCCTCTTCTATGTTGCATCACAGCCTTAGCCCTGCACTTTCTCTCTTTAACCTCGACTGTGCATTGCGTCCACATCACCCTTTCACCGTTTTGCAGATGTATGTACCGCATAGGTGGTTAGATTCTCTTCTATTCACTCGCTATTATAGACATGGGGTGCGCACTATTTGTACCCCGGATTCTGGTGATGGCTAAATAGGCATGAGGTTGATCGCATACCAGGGCCTGCATGCAATGTCGGAAGTAGTTAGACATAGACACGAATGCATACACCGTTTTCATCCGCTTAAACCCGAAAGAGGATTCGTGCAATGGGCATGATGGCTTAACAGAGGAGCTATAGGCCTCTCTGCTGTTACTTGGTTATATTGTTACTAATCCACATTTCATTGAGTGAGGGTGTGTTTAGCCTAAGGGCGTCGTGCATGTGAACGTGGATCGGACTAGGACATGTCGAGTGTATGGTCACGTACGTAGAGTAGAAGTGTAAGTAGGAGTGATCTTGCGGCTACGTCCAATGCTGTGTACTCAAAGAAGGAGGGAAAGAAGGTGCACGTCTACATTGTCTAGGTATTGTCACACGAGACCAAGAACTCAAAGTACAATAAGACAAACGCGCTACTGTTTCTGTCTGCACACTACAGATATGATGTACCAAGCGCACAGCGGGGAACGAGTCCATCTTGGCTGCTTGTCCGGCAACATCAAATGCTTAACCGACATGTGTTGTCATCGGTGAGTATGCGCGGATTTTGTCCAAGGTGACGTTTGAATTGTGGTATGATATGTGCAGGGTTTGCAATCCATCGTGAAGGAATCTGGATAGATGTGACGCACGTGGTTCTGGGCGATGTGGGACATGGCAGGCGAGGCGAGGCGAAACGGGCTGCGGGGATGCCGATGACGGAATGTTGCGCGGATCTTAACGATTAGCCGTCTAGGAGAGTCTCTGTTTGGTACTGCACAGTGCATTGGAAATAGGTGACATGTGACAGATGGATCCGGGCTGCAGATTTTGGATTGAATACACCCAGTGGTCCTGTTTGTACATGCACGACTAGACGAGAGCGAGTTCACGTAAAAGGGGTCGTGACGATGAACCAAGTTGCACCTAACCTTCCCGCCACCACCGCGCACGTCTTACCCACGTGCACGTTGGCCCACCAGCTGTCGATCGCAGCCATGGAGCTTGGCTATCTATCCTCGGACCTACTTCACCGCCGCCGCCTTGGTCATGTATGTGAAAGGAGCGCGATAATCGCATCCCCAGCTTTTGTTCCTCCCCATCGACAAGCGGATTGATATCCCATCGCAACAATGTCAGAGCCCGATCTCCACCGCGCCATATCCATGAAGCCCCACCCATTCCACACACATCCCGACCGCATAGAACGCACATCAAGCCCCCACGTCCACGTGAATGCCAGCAGTAGTAATAGTAGCAGCGCGCAACACCATGCAGATAGCTCCATCCGCAAAAACGATGCTAGCAGCACCGCCGTCGAAACAGCGGCTCCTACGACCGACCACGACCCCATAGCCCGCCACGTCTCTGCGCGTCACGGCAGCTTTCACCAAGACATTGAGTCGCAATCGCCGCCCTCGTACACCCCCGACAATGACCCGTACTCGCTGTCCTCTGCCATAAAGCCCGAGTCGGAATTGGCCTTGATCCGCGCCAACACGTCGCGAAAGCGCGATGGCTGCGGTCCCATCACCCTCAACAAGAAGGCTACCTCGGCGAAGAAGTTGGAAGAGTTCTACTCGGCGCAGAACGAGAACATTGAGAGGTTGCTCAAGCCAGTGGCTGAACACCGGGCTGCTGCAAAAGATGAAGATACAGCCAACCACCTCAAGTACAAGATCGCCGTCATTGGATCCTTTGCTGCAAACATCATTCTAGCCGTCCTACAGCTCTACGCCGCCGTATCTTCTCGCTCGCTGTCGCTGTTTACGACAATGGCGGATTCGCTCTTCGATCCCCTTTCCAACCTCACACTTATAATGTGCAACCGCGCCGTGGCACGCGTTGATGCCAGGAAGTTCCCCTCGGGAAAAGCAAGAATTGAGACCGCCGGAAACCTCTGTTTCTGTGCGCTCATGATTACCGTGTCTGTGGTCATCATTGTCGAATCTATCCGTACGGTTGCCGAACACTCCGGACCCGAAACCAACGACTTCTTCCTACCCAGTGTCATCGCCGTCAGCATTGCTTTTGCGACCAAGTTCTCGCTGTTCTTGTATTGTTGGGCCTTGAGGAACAAGTACAGTCAAGTCAGGATTCTGTGGGAAGACCACCGTAACGACCTGTTCATCAACGGGTTCGGTGTGTTGACGTCTGTCGGTGGATCCAAGTTGAAGTGGTGGTTGGATCCCATGGGTGCCATGATACTGTCCGTCTTGATCATCTTCCTGTGGTCGAGAACCGCGTACTCGGAATTCCAGCTTCTCATCGGCGTTACAGCTGATACGGCCATGTTGCAGCACATCACCTACATCTGTAAGTCTCTTCCCATTACATCTACTTGGCCGGTGCGCTAATGCTTGCTATCCAGCGATGACACACTCCCCCACCATCCTCCAAATAGACACTGTGCGTGCCTACCACTCCGGTCCCCGCCTCATTGTCGAAGTAGACATTGTCATGGACCCAGAAGCTACATTGAGAGCTACACATGACGTAGCTGAGGAACTCCAGATAAAACTGGAGAGTCTTCCTGATGTTGAGAGGGCGTATGTCCATGTGGACTATGAGACGGACCATCGACCTGAGCACTTTTTGAAGAAGGAGCTGTGAGGATATGGGTGAGGATATGGGTGAGGATATGGGTGAGGATATGGGGAGGATGTGCGTGGAAGAATAGCGGGAAGAGCGAATTGAAGGGTGTAAGGGCATAAGAGAATTGCCTGAACTTGTATATACTTGTTATCAGTTCTTCGATATGAAGAAGATGTGGGAATTTTTCTACGCTTCTACCGACTATCGCTATCAGGATGAATGCTACTACTCGTAAAGTCGTCTCATGCGCGTATGCTATCCTCGTTCTCCGAATCGTATTGTCCGTTTCTAGGATGAGATTGTAAACCACCATGTCGAATGCTAGCTGTGCTGATGAGATCGGTCTGATTTTTGAGAAACATACAAAACGCATATATCGTTATGGATCCAAAAAAAAAACTCTCCCAACATTTCAACATTGAGCACTTTCAAGATCATGTGATTGTCAGAATTGTCGACGCTTACTCTCTTGGTGGCAAAGGCATGGTTTTTTACTATGATACTTGTCATGTGAGAGCCTCCTCTTTCATGTAGAGCAAGCAGATCTCGAAAGTCGTGGGTGACTCGTCGAATATGGGCCATGGTAGTTCCGTGGGTCGACGTAGATAGCAGCGGATGTATAGATGATCACTGGGTCGCATACGCCACGTGACTGGCAAGCAGTGGTACACTTCAAAGACGCGTCTCGTTGAAAGTATCTCTAGCAGGCCTTGAAATAACTAGTGGTTATCACGACAATGTTACACAGTTCATCAGTTGAATCGATGGTAGAGCCCAAGTAAGCGTCATTACGTGCTGCGCAACCAAATGCGCAGTGACCACTTATCTATTCCAATGTCTATTGCTCTTCACTAGCGAGTCTTCTCGTGATTGTTCGCTTCCGTGCCGTTTTATCGGTCACCTTGGCTTGTTGTTGTTGAACAAGAAGAGAGTATGGAGTTGATTGTTCTATGTACGAAGGAGAAATCCCTTGTTTATATAGGGACGAGAGAGTACGCTAGTGAGTGAATGTAAGTGGGTCGCGTGAGAGGATGCAAACCAACAGTTGTTTGGCTCGTCCAGTCGTGCCTGCCTTGCACCCACAATTCACGGTGCTGGTCACCCAACCTACTACGAGCGACTGACACAACTCTGGCCCAGCACTTGCCTCGAAACACAGTCACCCCCAGGAATTTCGCATTATACAGGCGCGATGCCACCGTCTGTCGTGCAACAGTTCGGCAATATGCTCTCCTCCCGCTGGCGGCTCAAAAAAGATGCATCACCGTCACTCAAGCAAAAGCCCTTACACGAAGTTGCCAGGTACCCTCAAATCATCGATATTACCCCAGAGAACAACTCGTGCCTCAATCCATCGATGTCCTACGAGCACATACTGGAATGCAGACACATCATCGTAACAGCGAGGCCCGACGAGCCATGTGCACCCAACTGCTATCATGTTGCCAGTAACAACTCGTCGAAGGACAAGGGAGCACTAAGAAGAAGCAATGTTCTGAATTTCTACTGCGATGCCTGTATGGCAACAGATAGCGAGGCGCTCATCTCCAATGACCTTTCCTCGCTAGAGGCTGGCAAGTGCACCAATAATGGCGCACAGCGACGACACTGACCGAGTGATAGAGGCCATACGGCTTGGAATGCGTCATGGAAAGGCCGAGCTATGCGGAAAGGAGGCAAAGTTTCGTAAATGTTACATCGCGCTCAAGATCACTTCACTGCCCTGCAATAGCGACGGTACAGTGAAAGGACAATACACACCAAGGACGAATCATCACCCTCTCGATACCACGATCCCTCGAGTAGGCGACAATTTCTTCGAAGACGTGCTCACCAGCCCTGTGGAGGAACTCAATCCGACCAGCGATCGTGGCGCGAGTGCATCCGCATCCATATTCGAAGACGGCACTGATGTTGACAGCAGCCCTGCGCATCTTGGAGAAGGTGGTTCAAACTACCTCCGGTACACCCGATCCATTACACGTAACAAAGGAAAAGCAGCAGCACAGGAGGCTGAGCCAATTCTGAACACGGCCAGTAAGACTCCATCGCGTCACGCTGGCAAGAACCCTCCCATCACACGGAACGCCGATACAGCCTTGCCCGTCCCTGCACAGCGGAAGCGGAAGCGGCCCATAGTCACTGATGAAGACGATGACTACGTGGATACTCTAGACGAAGAGACAGTGGTTTCCAAAAGGCCGGCAAAACGACACATGAAATCTACTATCGCAACATCAACGGTACCGGCTGCGAAGACGAAGCCTGGGCGTCTTATGAAACCTGCGATCCATGCGCCTTCAAATCCAGCTACGAAGCGGAACACTAGGAGGCTAACGAAGAAGCGTTCATAGGTAGACGTCTTTAAATTTGCGTGTGTCGGAAGAGAAAGCCTGCGCAATTGAAGAAGAGATAGTCAGGAGTGATGTCTGGATACTATCGGATTGGGCGGCGGTGGCTCTACGAAACGCGGATTAGATGCTCTAGAAGCGGATCGAGATCCTTATGTGAAACGCGGAAGGCGCTACGCGCTGAAATTGACGGCGAGCAATTATCGTTCTAGAGTTGCAGACAATGTGGCTGGTACAAGATGATAGTATATTCAATAACCGCGCTGACTCGCCCCGGGAAGGTTTCATCAATCCTGAGTACAGAAGGAGGGAGGATCAAGCGCACGAGTAGTAGATCTTGCGAAGCGCCCGTGAACTCCTGCTGAATGAATGAAATGCGTCGTGTGTCGGTCAACCGGTAGCACAGGCCTCGTAGGCATCGAAAAACTGTAAGAAACGTCGTGGTAGAGTGTTGGATATACATCTTCGTTCTTCCAAGCCGAATGCGTTAACGGCAAACCGAAGGATCCAATGTGTTTGACCTGGTGTATGCATGCTCCTCACGCGTAGCGATAAAGGTGCAGCCGGCATGTGGGGCATCTGACCACATCTTTAAGTACGTCCCGTCTCAATGAATGCAGCTACGTTTACTGAGACGTTCCAGTGTCGCATACATCAGCTTCTACAGCAGAAACGCACCTGTTTCATTATCGAGGATACCATTGAAATCGTCGCAGTAGAACTTGCTGTGCAGGAAGTTCTGACCTCTGTCCGGCAATCAGCAGAGCGTGCTACAATGTCTCAATTCGAGCTTCGCGCTGCAGGCATCTCGGATCTGTCTGCGATAGCGACAGTATGGACAGCCGCGTTCTTTGACGATGAGATCATCGGAGAGATCATGCATCCGCATCGCAAAGACTATCCTGATGACGTTTATTGGTTCTTACTCCGCGGGATCCGAGAACGATTCTTGGACTGGCGCCATCAATTCATAGTCGTAACAAATAATGGAAAGGTGGTCGGGGCAGCAGATTGGAGGAGGCTTGGGAAAGGCGGAGAGAGCAAAGAGTTGAGCGTACTAGATCCACGTATGTTCGCCGCGAAACTTCCCATGATAGATGAGTCTGGCTCCCGACTCACATCAACATTCTTACAGGCAATCTCATCGCACCCGTCTTGAAGACCTACCACTTCATATCCCTGGCGTTGTTCCCTAATCGTGCCGCCGACCCTACACGCGCCTCGTTCCTCGATACCGCTGTCGCAAACTCAGAGAAGTACTGGACTGGCCAGCGAACCGAATGCTGGGATCTGCATGTTTGTGGTGTACATCCAGACTACCAAGGTAAAGGTGTTGGAAAGCTGCTGGCCCGATGGGGAGTTCTGGAAGCGCAAAAAGAAGGCGAAGATGTCGTAGCTAGTGTGCTGTGTGGGGAGAAGAACAGAGGCTTCTATGGCAAGGCTGGGATGAATGTGCAGGTTAGCGAAACGAAAGGCGAAGGGGGAGGAATTGCTTTGTTCACAAGATAAACCACACTGCCCTCGAAGCGGCGTCATATGTCGACCAATGAGCGTCCAAGGGGTTGATGCCTTCTGTGCCGATGACGCCGTTTACATGCCGTACTTCCACACCCGCACATGTCCACAATCTGATAGAGCTCAACCAACACAATCACACTCGCATATCGAACCTATTTTGACAGAACAATTGTAGGTCAACTAACCCCAGCGCATTCGCGCATTGCTTGTGAAAACAAAAGACCGAAAATGCCGGCCGCATAGACCGAGCGCTATCTTGACAGCGTTATATAGCTGTTGCTACGCGCCCTAGATGATGGCAAGCAGCCACACCTCTACATAAAACGCCCGTTGCTGTCGAGGCAAGATGCTTGACATTCATTTCGTCATCACTTTCGCTGCAGGTATTCTGCTCCATACTACAGTCTTCTCCAGACATTTCGAATGGGATCGACACGCACCCAACATCTTGACGTTCGCCTGTGCTACTTTCACAGCTACGTTGGTAACAATCGCCATCAGTGAGGATGTCTCCATCAAATTGTCGGTCGCATTTACCAGCGCGGTTGCTGCATGCTTTCTCAGTGGCTTCCTCTGTTCTATGATCAGCTATCGATTGTTCTTACATCCTCTCAAATCATTCCCTGGACCAACAGCTGCTCGCGTAACTAGTCTCTGGGTCATCAAGCAAAACGTACCATACCTGAAATTGTACGTCAAGCTACGCAGTCTCCATGACCAATACGGAGACTTCGTGCGTATACGTAAGTCGGGACTACAGCCGTATGAATGTGCGACTAATTCCCTCTAGGACCACGCGAACTCTCAATTTGCCATCCCGATGCCATAAAGGACGTTCATGGCCCCAGAAACAACATCAGGAAAGGCGAATTCTACGATCAAACTTACCCATCCCACACCTTGCAATTTATGCGTGACTCAGATCTTCACAAACGGCAACGTCGGTATTGGGACAAGGCTTTTCACAGCACCGGTTAGTGAAGATGAATTGTTGGTATAATGCTAGCTAACGTTCCTAGCATTACAAGGCTATACGCCACGTCTCACGAGGCACTATCGCCTTATGGCCGATATACTTTCCCGTCACGCGGCTTCCAGTACACCAATAGATGCTAGTGGTGCTTTTCTAGACCTCTTCTTCGACGTGATATCCGACCTGACGTTTGGTAAATCGTTTGAGACGCAAAGTACGAATAAGCGAAGCCCGATCGTGACAGGATTCCTCAGGAAGCAAAAAGCGGTTGGCTTCGCATTGCTCAGTATGCCACTGCTCCATATCGCCAGGAAACTACGCATTTCACTAAAAAAGCAGAAGTCTTGGGAAGGTTGGTACGACGAAGCTTTGCAACTGCGCATGAAGGTAAATCGTCTAGGCGCTATATCCCTCACACTAGATCTGCTCACACGCGCAGATGCATATCCATGAGCCGGACATATACACATACTTATCGCAATCCGATGGATTCCAGAATAACACCTTGAGTGAGGCGAAGTTGGCCATCGTTGCTGGTGCTGATACGAACGCCATTACAATGTCTAATGTCTGCTACCTGATGTGTCAGCACCCTGGATATCAAGCAGAGCTTTACAAAGAGTTGTCAGATTTGCGGAGCTTAGACGGAATCATCGATGACCATGACTTGTTAAACAAGCCTTATCTGACTGGCATTATCAACGAAACGTTGAGGCTGCATCCGCCCGTACCCTCTGGCCTTCAGCGAATGACGCCTGCAGAAGGTGCGATTATCGCAGGTCGTTATATACCAGGCCACATAAACGTAACGACACCAACGTACGCTCTGCATCGAGGTATTGGCATCTACCGCATAGCAAAACTTCCACTGATTTTATAGATCCACGCGCGTTTGTCCAGCCCAACGACTTTATACCTGAACGCTGGTCCTCCCAGCCTAACCTCATCCTTCGTAGAGACGCGTTCGTGCCCTTTGGCTTTGGAGGATACAATTGCGCAGGGAAGCCATTGGCCATGATGCAGCTGCGTATGGTCGTTGCCATGATCTTTAGAAGATTCACGGTGTCGTCCGCGACTTGTAAGGAGAGTTCATGCCAGTACTTCATTGACCATCAAGCCGACTGTTTCACGCTACACCTCGAACCGCTTCCACTGCTTTTCAGAGAAAACAATACCATCTCAAAGGGACAGAACTAGGCCAACCCATAACTCAATTCAGTTTCTTGTCGAAAAATCTCACAATACACCCATGGTTATGATGATCCATTGTTGTGAGCAGTCAAGCTTTGTTGCATGAATCGTTCACTTATACGAGACATGAGCTTTCAGAATTAATTGTAAAAGATCGATATTCTAGCTTCTGTAGAAGGACTCTGTAGATGCTGAAATAGCGACTATTTACACAGTGACAGCGACAACCTTTCCACCCTCGGTGTAAGTACCATTCACAGGAGCAGCTTGACCTCCCGATGTTACCACATAAACAACGCCTTTATCCTTCCAAGTTCTTCCAAAAGCAGCCGAAGTCGCACCAGCAACCACCGTTGTGTTCAGTCCTCCGGCGATCAAGCTTCGAGTCCCATCTACATCTACTCGTTCCAATGAGTTCCCGCTATTTTGCGCAATGAAAGCGACACCGTCCGCAGACATGACGAAATCATCCCCCCCAGGCAAATCGGTTTGGAGGGTTTCATATGGTCCGACCGCCTCACCAGTCGATGTGTCGATTTCAACACGGCAGAAGAATCCTTTCAACGAATTGGTGTAGTAAAGATACCCATTGAAAATATCGATCCCGTTGATGCCCAACACGAGGGGCGTACCCTCCGCCGGCTTCATCGTTTCATCTTCGAGTACAACATCGTACTTGCCCGTCCAGACATTCAATCGCCAAACGAGTCCCAGAACAGAGTCGGAGATCAGGACGGTACCTTGCTCGCGATCCAACGTCGTCATTCCGTTCAGGAAACTGGCTTCGGGGAGCGCCTCGATCTCGGAGACCTTTTCGCATTTGGCCAAATCACCACGGTTAAAGTCGATTTGCCATACCGAGTAGCTCGCTGCGTCTGATCTTGCTCGTGCGATAGAGAAGTTGCCTGCGATGAATACGAAGACGTCGGGGCTCATCTCTGTGATTCCTAGTAGACTGGTCGTATTCGTTTCATCATCGAGGTTCGTGATGAGGGTTGCAGTGTTGTTGTGGAAAGGATTGATTTCGTACAGGGAGGGGCGGTCGATCAGTGTGACAAGGAGGTTTCCGTTTGAACGGACGGCGATGTTCTCTACCCATGTGCCATTGTCGAATTGGTATATTTGTCGAACGGAAGCCTGGGAGCTGGCCGGTAGAGCTGCTGCTGCTACAAGAGGAGCTCGTAAGATCGAGATGGCGAGAAAAGTGATGAAGGTGCTGAGGTGAAACATATTGGATGGATGTCAAGCTGTTCTGGATATGCAATGTCATTCTTTCGTGCAGCATTTATACGCTGTGTAAAGAGTGCCATCATCAGTCGTACAGCTCATTTTGCTTGCTAAGCGTCGTCTGCTTGGGAATTCGGTGAAGAGTATGCTCGGCATTCGTTAGCACATAACGTCGGTCTAGGGCTTTGTAAGCTTATACAGATCTACGTCCCGAGGCTTTGCCCAGGGTAGCATGCTTTGATCAAACGAGAATATGTCAACAATTGTGAACAGAAATCTGATTCATTCAGAGAGCTACACGAGGCTGGATTCATGTACAACTCTTCATTTGTTGACATGAAACGTTCCCCAATCACATCTGGTGTCTGCTTCTACAGCCATGTATCGTACGACTCAAATGGCAAATCGTGTCTGACCGACCTTGCAGTAAGTCGACAAAATTAAGGGGAAGCTTTTACGGCTCCCCCCAAAAGATTAGATGAGATGGAAGGAAACCAGACGAGATAGAGGGTCCCTAAGCCACCAATACGTAGTGATAATAGCAGAGGTTGTCAACACCTTTGAGTGTCATCGCCCGATTAGGCAAGTTCTTAGTGAAGGATTGCTTCCGTCTGATCTTTCTGAGTGGCGGAACGCTTCCGTCTGATCTTTCTAAGTGGCGGAATGCTTCCATCTAGTCTCTCTAGGTGACGGAGCTCTTTCATCTTATATTTGAGGATAGTATCTCTAGGTACCTAATTGCTTTCATTTGGTCTTAGATCTCTATGTAGCCGATTGCTTTCATGTGAACTTTTTGGGGGGAGCGGAATAGCGTTTGGGCAGGAGCCGGAAAAGCTTCACCCAAAACTAATCATTGCTTCGGCGATAAGTAAGTGAACCATCCCGTGATCTGAGCTTGTGAGGATGCTATGTTTAGTAATCGCAATGCGCTTTGTTCGTAGTTTCGAGACTACGCATGGTGCCAGCCATGTTTTGTTCAGTAGATTTTTGAAAGTCGGGCCGCTTCGCGGCCAAATCGTGACCTTGTTCTACATGACACTTGGTCGCGGCCCGATCGTATCGCAATTCATTGGATAAGGCATGATAAGCCTAAATATTGGCCTTCCGAGCTAGTCTCATACGAGTATCTCATTTCGCCAAGCCAATGCTAACAATTGCATCATGAAGAGATGGGCTTGGGAATAGAAAGAAACATTAGTCTGTTCTTACTCTACAACGCAACGTCATTCGTTGTTGACAACCTCGCTCATTTCGATGTTCGCAAGTACAACTGTCCAACTCCCCATCTCCCAGCGAACATTTCAACCACCCTCTTAAACCTTTCCACCTCCTTCTCCTCCACACAATCACCATCTGAGTAGAATTCTCTCGTTTTCAAAACTGCCACCCCCGCTCTAACAACACAACATAACCCTGCAAAAGGTAATCTTCCCACTTCACCTACCCCTTTCTCTCCACTTTCTCCTTCTCCGCTGATCTTCTGGATCCCCACCTTCACCATATCCCACGCCATATGTCTCGCATATTTGAGCGCCAAATGTACCTTTTCATACTCTGGACGTGGACGTCCTGCTAGCACCGGCAAGGTAGATGACAGATGCCGCATCTGTGCTTCTTGGAGTAGAATGTTTGTGCAAAAGGCCAGGGCAATGGCGTCGCAGTGCAGCCAAGTATGCGGCTCGGGCTTGGAGACCAGGGCTTGAATACAGGATGTTAGACTTGATGTGGCTGTATCGTAGGCGTGAGTAGGTTGTGACAAAGGGTTGAGAACAAGAGAGGATATGTATTCCAAAGCTGAGCTTGTAGCCAGAGCGACGGTGGATCGAATGTGTAGTTTCCGTGCAGACGTTGCTGATGCTGATCCAAGTGGTGGGTGCGGTGGTATTTCAGGAGCCAGATTGTACGAGATACATTGAGTGGTTGTGTGATAAGAGGGCAGAGCCAGAGGAAGGTGCGTAGGTGATGTCAGAGTTAGGACGCGGTCTAGCATGAGCAGACTTGGTTTTATCCATTCTAGTGTCCAAACTAGGTTTGCGCTTTTTGTGGCTGAATGTTGTAGGAGTTGGAGTATACCCACACTTGCTGACATGGTTTGGAAAGCTTGGTTTGACATGCCGTGACTTGTTTCGTAGAGAGTAAGGAGCATGGATGCTTGGAGGATTGATATGTTGACATTAGTGCCGCTTTGGAACATGGCAAGCGATTGTTTCAATGCGCGGTAAATTTGGCAGTGGGTTATGTGCTCTGCATTGTCGCATGGTCGGCGGCTCATTAACCACAGACATAACGATAGGAATGGACGGTATGTTTCCTCCTGTGGTGGTTGCTCATACGAAGCATGATTTTGCCGATCTTTCAGAAAGTCTTCCGGGACGATAGGACACCATTGGTGGATAGACGGACCGAAATCTTCCAAAACAAGAGATATATCCACGTTGGCTTGATCCAGTATGTCGTATACTGTATCCGCTAGCATTGCCTTACTGCCGGAAGCATCCTTAAAGTCGGCAACTACTGTTACCGCATGCAGCAATGCCGTCGTACTCCGCGACGAAAGATCGACATGAGTACATCCTTCGAAGCTTATAATTGATGGCTCTGGGTCCACGTCTCCGAGTCGTGGCGGCTCTTTGTATGGCGTGTAATCACATACTTTTCCTTTCCTGGCAGTATATTAGTCTAAAGCTACTAGACTCGGTTGTCAACAAAAGCATCCCAGAAAAAGAAAGGACTCACACAGCACATCTCTCGCACTGTGGCAGCGTCCGGTCGCATTTTTGTTTTCTTACCCGACAATACAGGCATACATTCGCCGCCTTTGCTGTTACAGGTATGAAGCCAGCTATCGCACTCATCTTGCATTCGAGCCCTCCAATCAGATTGTTCAGAAGATATGACGCGGAGAATTTAGTCGGGCACTGTAGTCGAAGGTGTTACTATAGCAAGTTAGCAAACAGCGGCCGATGCAGCAATAAAGACAATCAGTAAACATGGCCCTGGCGCTGACGTATAGGTAAGCAGGGTTTAGCGAGTCGGCATCGGCATCTTGTACAGCGGCATTGTGACCTACAAATCTGGTTTGCTGCAGTGTCAAATAGATTGCTATGGTTTATTATTGCGTTATTGGGTATCTACATCTCTTCCCCACTTTCATTCTCCCACTTATCCAGCAACCAGTCCATCCCTGGGCTCCTCTACAATCTCACTGTTCCCATTCACATCATCCGCAACCTTCTCCTCCACCCTACCCCCAGGCTCGAGCCCCACGGCTTTGGCTTCATCTTCGTCTTTCTTAGCCAACTTCTCTGCCTCTTTTTCTAGCCTCTTCTTCTCTTTCTTGCTAACCGTCATACTCCCTTTCTCCAATGCTTCCTTAGGCAGCGGTCTGACATATGGTTGACAGACCCAATATGGTCTTTTGACGCGAGCTACAGTTGCGAGGGAAGATTCGTACGGATCCAAGTTTTCTCCTGTGATCTCCTCCATCGTAGCGGGCTGTTCTGGCGCGGAAGCCGTCTCGTTGGCATGCTCCTCCTCATACTTCTGGATACCCTCTTTGACGGCTTTCTCTACAAGGCTCAGCACGTTTTCAAACGCGTCGATGTCGCCTGTCCGTGATCGAGCGAGTGCGTCGCGCACATTATGATGTTGCGAGACGAGAGGACGTAGGAGATGGAAAAGATGTGCTTGCATAGCCGTGAGGTTGGGATTCGACGCCTCTTTCTTCTTTTCCGATTTAGACATTGGCTTTCTCTTTTTCTGTGGTGGGCCGTCTTGTTCATCTCCTGCTCTCTTGCCATTCTCCGCTGCGTTGTTGGTGTTTTCTTGTGGCAGCTCTTCGATATCTCCAGGCATCCAAAGTGGTTTCCGTTGTGGTGGTTCCTGGCCGAGGGCGTATTTGTGAATGATGTCCATGTATCGTCGCATCACAGCGTCCATCCTATATCCGCCTTTTCCGTCGCGCCCGCGCCAGTACTCTCGTCCTTCCTGACCAGATGGAGGTGGTGCGGCGAATATGGTCGGGTCGTAAAGGTTTCCTTCTGCGCTCATGACGCCATCTGCGCCTGTCGCTTCCAGACATGTCGCAATATCTTCGTGCTGGAGGATGTTTCCATTGGCGAATATCACAGTCTCTTTGGGAAGGTTCTCCCGTAGATGCCGAATCATCTTCCAATCTGCCAGTCCTGTGTTGTGGCCCTTCTGTTCTCTCCGTCGGCCGTGTACTGTGATGATACTTGCGCCGGCATCTAGTAGTGTTTTTGCGTATGCCAGAGTCTTCTCCGGTGTCTCAAGCACCCTCATCTTTGCTGTAACCGGAATTTCCAACTCCTCGTGCAGCTTGCGTATCATCCTTGATATCAGGTCCCAGTCCTCTTGTAGAAAAGCGCCGTACTTGCCTCTCTTCGCAATACCTTGTGGACATCCCAGGTTCAAGTCTACCGCATCGCAAAAAGGCGCAACATGTTTTGCAGCCCGCAAGAAATCTTCGGGGTCGTTTGAGCAGAACTGTACCGTAAGAGGTCTGTCAAATGCTGGGTTGCCGTCTAGATGTCTATCTGAGTCGGGTAGTTGTGAAAGGTGATAGTAGTCGGTGGGTGACGGAATAGTCGATTTGAGAGGCTGAAAGTGAGCATCGCGGTAGTTGCTCTTTTCACCGAACATCTTGGAGTGGAACATTGGGGTATACGCTAGGAGGTTCTTCTGCTGAGACTCGGGAAGGAACGAGCGCGACAGTAATCGCCATGCCTGCAAAAGTTATGTCATTAGCCATGATTCCAGGCCAGTTGTATTGAATTGAAGAGACATACGAACTCTGACTGCTCCACCATAGGCGCGAGTACCAGCTTCGGACTGCCGATACTCTCATAGAATGCACGTCCGTGGAGTTTCCTTCTGTTTCCGTTTTCTTGAACGGACGCATCTCCGTGGTCTTGACCGTGTATAACCCCCGCCATCTCTCCGTTGGCCTGCATCGTCGTCTGGGTCGTGGTCATCGTGTTCGCAAAATACCGTCTCGGCAATCGGCTCGCTACCCTGGGGGCGATGGCGCCCCCAAACGCTTGGAGGAGAAGAGGACGTATGACGCCGAATCTCTTACGGTGTGAAAGCACGAACGAGGTGAGGCCAGGTACGAACCGTGCGCAGTTGCGAGATGCGTCAGGGTAGCTTTGACTCGTGGTGTGCTTGTTCTGCGAAAAAACGCCATCCCGCACTCCACTCGGCACGAAACACTGACCAATCGGAGTGCAGGATATCTCCGTATCGCCATTGAGCGTTTGTTGAAACTTTGTCGTGGTACAACAAGACTCACCTTATGTTATGGTGAGCTCGATCTTCCTTTCTTTCTTTGCATAGCTTGTCCACCATTGATATTGCTGGTTTCTCAGCATGAACCATGGATTCAGCTTGCTCGTCAACACGTCTTAGGCACCGTCGTCTGCGCCCTTTCCCAAACTTGTTTAAGGTCACTGACCGTCTTCACACAATTGTACAAACTTCACTTTTGATCATAGCAAGCATTGCTTCCCAGCGACATGGTACCTAGACACATCAACAAAGGTACCGTGCCATAGCCTAACACTGGTCCTTGGCTCGACCATACCTTTCCCGACATCACGCCATCAGGGTACCACATCACGACACCTGAGTCAAGCAAATTATCCATATATCAAACACTCCGCATCTCCAAAGCTTGTCAAGGACACACAATCGGAATATACCAGTGTAGATTCATCACAACATACAGCTACATGACCACCCGCAACACAAAATACGCCAGTTGTTCCCAATCAAAAAGCCTCCATCCATCCCGCATCCTCATTGACTAGCATTAGTCGGATATCTCATCGGCCGTTATGACGTCTCCACAAAGGGAGAGAAAAAGAGAAGACTGTTCTCTATGGTGTAGGAGGTGAAGGAAAACGCTGAATCGCAAGAGAAGGACAAACACCACCTATCTTTGGAAAGGTCCCAATGGTTGAAAAGCACGACAACGCCGATGATATGCAGTTTGGTTTATGCCGGACAATGCTTCGTGGAAGAAGCCAAGGAAAAAGGTGGAGTGAACCAGTGCACAAAGGCAATGCTGGCCAGTCTCCGGATATCATCAAAAGAAGGTACGCCGGGATCAGAAGACCATCCATCCGTCCAGGGGTCATGAAGATATGAAGGCGATGCGGAAGACGCCGATGTTGTTTAGAAGGTACTCCAGTTCCATGTGCCCTGGAAACTCTGGGCTATGCTGCCAACGCGCGTGGTCTCGGGGCGCTTCGCCGCAGCAGGAGCCTCGATGGCTTTTGCGGCTGGACTGGGCCCGTTGCTGCTGTCTGAGCTCTCGCTGTTGGTGCGGCTGGACCGAAGGTGCTCCCACTCGCGGAAGGAGCTGTGGCATCGGTCGCAGGCACGGTGCCAATGGCCTTCAGGATGGAAACGTGCGAGCTCATCGAGACGGACATTGTTGCGCGAGTGCTGCCAGCAGAAGATGCCGCCGCACTTGCGGCAATGGTGGCGACGTTGGAAGAAGCCAAAGGGCTCTTGGCAGGATGATGCGGAGCACACCGAAGTGGAACTATCGGCCTAGGGACTGTTAGCATGACTGGACTAGGCAGGGATGAAAAGAGTGGACAAGTGTCGCTAGCACGAACTTCAGCCCTGCATCGGGTAAAGAATAGCGTGGGGGACGACTGTCTGAATAGAGCAAGCGGTGCCGGCGTTGTACGATGGAAATTATCCGAAGACGAATCCGACATGCACAGGACGATGACCAGGACGGCCAGAGTCGCCTCCGACAGGCGGTGGCAGCGTCTTGTTGAGATGTGGCACACCAAGCGCTCGGCATCTCGGCTCTGCAGACAGCGGGAGGCCAGACCAGGGCACGCTAACAGAGGATCCACTCGGACCATGTACGTAAGATCTGAGCCTCGAGGCCTGGTTGAGCACGCGACAGGGAAGGCCGTGCGGGCTAGCAGCGGCATAACGAACAAGTAGGAAAAGCGTCAATACATACCTGCCAGTGGTTGCGTGTGATTGGCCCAGCGACAGGCGACAGTGGTTCGGCGTTGTAGAGGCTCTGCATGTCCTCGTTGCCAATCTGCGAGCCAGGAGTCGCGCTGCCCTCATTTGCGACCCACCCAAATGCTCCCGCCGACCATGCTTGGCTGGGAGAGCTGACGCCAGAGTCGACCTTTGGCGGCGACCTGCTGCTGGGCTTCTCCGTCTTGCGCAGCGCAGCGGGTATCCCGATGGCGGTCCTGGGCTGATAGATGCCCTGATGGCGGGCGAGGGGCAGATGTGTGGTGCGCGGGGAGGTAGGAGAGATGTTGGCGGGCGTGTTCAGGCCCGAGTTTGTGGGCGAGTACTGCGAGTGTGTCGAGTGTGTCGACTTGCGGTATGCGTGGTGTTGGTAAGGAGCATGTGCATGTGTGTTGTGCGGAATCGCCGTTGCTGAAGAGAATGTTGTGGCCATATTGAAGGTCGTAACTAGAGGTTGGATGTAGTCGGGGCAAAGCAAGTCAAGTCGACGGGGAGGTGTATAATACGTCCTAGGTCGGTATCGACTGGCGGTGAAAGTGGACGACTGGTATTGGTGCAATCAGTGGTATGCAGCCGTGGAACGGGAGTGCGGCTCCTTGTAGGGTGTGTTGGTGTTTTGGTTGGTCGTAAATTGGTAGCTGACGTGCAGGCGATAAGAGGACAGTCGGGCGGTGGTACAACAGACGCCGGGGCCACAAAGTCGACCGTGGTTCAGCAGGACATAGTCGAGTGAAGGGGAAGGTGATATGTGTGGTGATATGCGAGAGATATGTGAGGCGAGATAAGAAACAGCGGTGTCGCGTGAGTGCGGAGGAGACCTGGGGTGAGGCTCTGGGGACAGGCAGGATGAATTAACTTGTAGCCAGCCAGCGCTTCTGCTAATAATTACCTACAGCGAACTGACGGATGGGCGGCGATAGCCCGAAGGGGGATGCCTGTCATGCTTGGCAACCGAAAGAACGACAGGGTATCATCGGGCTACGACCGGCCATTTGAACATTGCATCGAGTAACGCCTTGGGAACTGCCTTCTTCCCACCAGACTTGCTCTGCTCTGCAACACTCCCAAAACACACCTCGACAAAAGCGCATAAACAACCATCTCCGTCCCACGCGAACGCCTCCGTTTCCCGTTCCCCCAAAAGGAACTCCCTCCCCTCTTCCTTCGCTGTGTGAGTTTAGCCCTCTTGAGGCGGCCAGCCGTTGGGTTCCACTTCTTCCCGTTTGGGCGTCTCTTATCTCTAGCCAATCACACCAGGGCCAAACGAAAAGCAACCCCTCGACCTTCTCCGAGGACGGAACTGCTGCGTCAAGCGTGAACTCTGCCCTGGGGATATGATGTAGTCTCCGCGTCGTATCGTGATTGTATCCTGCTCAACAGACCGCGATAGACGTTGATGGACACGATGGACATGACAGCATACCTCACCTCTAAACGACAGGCAAGTAAGCCGCGAGAGGCGCCCCAATCCCGCTCAACTGCGGCCAGCCTGCAACAACTGGCGGGGCATAATTGCCACGCTACCTAGCTATTCAATGCACCTCATCCACTCCGATGCCACTGCAAGCTCCTGTAGCAACGACGCGCGCGCGCAATTATCCAATATATTATGCTCCACTCGATCCCACCTGGAGGCTATTCGGCCAGACCTCACGATCGTGGAAAAGGTGGGACTCTTAATGAAATCGTACCCGCTTATGGGTAAGGTAGCGTCGCGTTGTGAGCGTGGATCATGAAGCGGTCCTTGAGAGCTGAGCAGTATGGCGTGCAGCCATCCCCGGTCGTCTTTAGCACCACGCGAAGCCCTGCCATCAGACCAGAACCCACCCACTCCGCAACTTTCGCCGCCAAAACTTTGACGTATGCGCGCGTCCAAGACGTTGCAAAACGTCTGCTTTTCATCCTTCCGTTGATTCACCGGTCTTTCTACGGCCGATACACCTTCACCGCTCCTCAGTGACGACGTTCTCTGGTTCCTCGATGCCGTTTACGTCGTTTCTGCAGTAGCAACCGCCGGACAAGGACGACAAGTCCTCGTGATGTCTCGTGACGTCTTTTTCCTACATGGCAGTAATTTGTTTTGGTAATATCCCACAACGGCATGGCCGGCTGTGATGCAGAAGATACCGAGCATACTGTGACCTCACAGTGGATTATCACGTCAAGTATCTAGGATTCTCATCAATCCGGGACAATCATGAAGCTGACAGCGACGATCTCTATATGCCTCGATGGGACATTAAAGATAAAGACGTCGACAAGCGGCAGGTGAAACAGCTTGAACCTTCTGAGCTAGTAGACCAGCAGCGACGCCTTGATGATGAGTTCAACCTGAACGTGGACGAAATCGATTGCATGGTCACAATTGCTATGGACGACACTACCATGACAGGTACGTCAGCCTAGTATACTGGATCTCGCAAGACAGCTTCAGGCCCAGTCGCTTAATGGTAAGCGCATACCCAGTAGATCTTTATCCAGGGATGTAAGAAGCTTGGGACACAGCCTGGAACCAATCATTCGCGTGAGTGAGTGAGGTGTAGATTTATTGTATTGCTGAAAACGTCCATCTGGCTTACAAGAACAAACAGCACGACGAAATCTTGGAACATAGCCTAACAAAAGTTTGTTTTTACTGCCGTTCCGGCTCATGAGCTTATAGATGTGAGGTATGCCTCCTTGACCTTTCGGAAACCACGGCTTGTAGCAAATGCCGACCATGATTACGGCCGGGCTTTGAGAAGACACGTTACCTAGGTGTGTAGTAGCAACGTAAACAACTCTGAAAGCCGGGCACGTGCGACTTCCTAGATAGTCAAATGCAACCTCATCTGTTGTTCTCGCGTACTAATCGCATGATGCTTCATCCGTGCATATGTACCAGGTGCAGATTCTGGCTTAGACGCCGGGCAGTCTCGCCGAGACTCAAACATCGTGGCGTTAATTCCGCCATCTTCGGGTCGCATCGTGCGCTTCACTAAAATTGCGCCGCCGGCCAGTGGCCCACGACCTCACGATACCGCAAGAACTTCGGATTATGCTATTTGAGTGCGCCGATGGAAGATCCACGGTACTCAGCTTCCAAGGCTGCGCAATGGCCCCGTCCCGAGGTCGAGAGCTAAGACGACTGCCACTGTGATCTGCCCGTGGATTTTACCGCGTAGATCAATGCAAGACATAGCAATATCAATCCACAGCATCCACAGCATCCACAGCCCTCACGACATCAAAGCCAGACGTTCTCAAATCTCCGGCGAATCTGCTCTTCCGGCTTCCGATGTTCACGGACAACGCCTACCTTGGCGTTCCTTGCCGAGACGCCATCATGAAGTTTGTTTTCCGGACCGAGGCTCAAATTGCCACGCCAGTGTCGCCCCTAATACCTAGGTAGTTGACAACAATGGAGCAGCTTGTGACGCGGGGAAGCGTTGCTTTCACTCTCGACGACTGTGGATACAAAACAAGACGACACCTGCGTTTGCACTACTTTAGCATGCCCGGCTGCTCCACCTGAAAGACCCTTTGAGGGTCCACGCGCGACATCAAGGCTATCCCTGGATTCTCAAATCTACGTGGCAAAATGTCTTCAACTTTCTCAACTGAGCCCGTTTCGCCGAAAGCTACTCCGCTCCCACCATTGCCGTCTGAGGATCCGCTCACGTCCCAACAATGGAAGACGCTTCTTGCTATTGCGGATGCGGTCATCCCAGCAATCAAGCCCATGTCCACGGCGAAGACGCGCACTGAAATCGCTACGACCGACACCGATTACTCGACCGCAATTAGCAAGCTGAGGGCTCTAACACCGGAGAATGACCCTGATGCGGTAACAACGGTGAAGGACTACCTGGATGACTATGCGAGTCAGGACCCAGCGTTTCGAGCGGAATTACAACGTGTCTTCGCTATGTACATGCCACAGAACCAAAGAAAGGAGCTGTGTATGGTGCTGAATGTCCTCAATACTAGAGCGGGATCACTAGCACTGACTGGCTATCTTACACCAATTAGCGAGCAACCCGCTCATGTAAGAGAGTCAATCATTCAGGGCTGGGCTACCGCGCGGCTTGGAGCGCTTCGCCAACTGCGTCGCTCGTTGGTGATCATTACTAAACAGGCTTGGATCAAGACGTCGCCTGCATTGAGACGCGTTATAGGCGCCCCACGCGTGCCCCTGGGCATGAAGCCTGGGAAGGGTTTCGACTATGAGTTCATTCAGATTCCTCCCGGCGACAAGCCTGAAGTTATCGAGACAGACGTGGTGATAGTGGGAAGTGGGTGTGGAGGTGGTGTGACCGCGAAGAACCTCGCGGAAGCCGGGCACCGAGTGTTGATCGTAGAGAAGGCATATCACTGGAGTCCAGATCATTTCCCAATGGCTGAATTGGATGGATGGCACCATCTTTTCATGAGTGGATCGTTCTTGACATCCGATGATAGTTCTGTCAGTGTTGTAGCAGGGCAGTCCATGGGCGGTGGAGGTACTGTCAACTGGTCTGCTTCTCTCCAAACACAGGGCTATGTCCGTCGCGAGTGGGCAGGACGAGGTCTTCCATTTTTCACGTCTGCAGAATTCCAAGAGTCATTAGATCGTGTCTGTGATCGCATGGGCGTCTCAGACAAGAACATCAAGCAGAATCGCAACAACGAGATACTACTTGAAGGTGCCAGGAAACTTGGCTGGACCGCTAAGCCTGTGCCACAAAATACCGGTGGACAACAACACTACTGTGGTTATTGCAACTTTGGCTGTGGCTCCTGCGAAAAGCAAGGCCCGGTAGTATCCTTCCTCCCCGACGCTGCCCGAGCGGGAGCAAAGTTCATCGAAGGCTTCCACGCAGAGAGAGTAATCTTCTCCAACAAGAACGGCCGAAAGATAGCAACCGGCGTACTTGGCACATGGACATCCCGTGACGCTCAAGGCGGCGTTGCTGGTTCTCCCTTAACAACCCGCCGTGTTCTCATCAAAGCAAAGCGTGTTGTCGTATCAGCAGGAACCATGCAATCTCCGCTTCTCCTCATGCGTTCTGGACTCAAGAACCCGCAGATAGGTCGCAACCTATACCTTCACCCCGTCACCTTCCTTGGCGCTTATCACAAGGAAGAGATCAAACCTTGGGAAGGCGGGATACTCACTGCGGTAGTAGGCGAGTTCGAAAACATGGATGGCAAAGGCCATGGTGTCAAGCTTGAAGCTACGAACATGGTTCCTTCTGCGTGTCTTATGTGGGTTGATTGGAAGAGCGCTATGCAATACAAAATCGACGCGGCGAAGTTGAAACACATGGTTGGGTACATTTCCATTGCAAGGGACCGCGATACAGGGCGAGTGTATCCAGATCCAGTCGACGGCCGCGTGAGGTTCTCATACCAGACATCCAAGTTTGACCAAAAACACGTATTAGAAGGTGTTATTGCGCTTGCGAAGATTCAGTATGTGGAAGGAGCACAGGAAATCTTCACCGTAATACCCAATATGCGACCATTCGTTCGGGATCCTTCCATGCCCGCGGGCGAGGGTATTAATGACCCAGAATTCCAGACTTGGATTGAGGATATCAGAAACATGGGCCTACCGTCACCCGAGAGTGTGTACGTCTCCGCGCACCAAATGGGTACTTGCCGGATGAGTGCGAAGGAGAAAGACGGTGTTGTTGACCCGCGAGGCGTTGTCTGGGGCACTGAGGGCCTGTATGTGGCTGATGCAAGTGTGTTCCCGAGCGCTAGTGGAGTTAATCCTATGGTTACAAATATGGCCATTAGTGATTGGATCAGTCGAGGGATCAGAGAGGGGATGGAGGAGAGGCCGAGGTTGTAGGAACATCATTCCAAGGAGAATATGTACTCCCTAATGGGAACTCCAACGACATAGAAAGATTGTAATAAATATAAAGCGTTTTTTGTTTTTTTTTTTGAATTTGAGTGCTATGAGAACGCATGATAGCTTCTGTCATTGACGCACTTTATGCTACTGAAGACTTTTCTTCAATGTTTTCCCCAAGCCTTTTGCAGAACATCCCTTATTGAGCTCACTTTGATCTCAGGAAACACCTGGTTGAGTGTCTTTTCGGGCTTCAAGTCAAACACCCCGTAGTCTCAAGGTCCGCCACCGTTCCTGTATCAAGCTTTTCGATCGAGTCATATGTAACTTGGAATTTTATTCCTATTTCATATTAGCAAGTACACTATGGTACTTCCTGGCGGGATATATTGCCTTTAACTTCTTCTGCAGTCTTGACGAAATCATTCCAGGTAAGCCTGTTCCCAAGAATGTAGCTCTCCTCGTCCCACTTTGGGAGATCCAAGCTCGCAGCTACAAACTTCGCAATATCCACAGTGTGGATAAATGAGATTGGAGTCGTTCCGGTACCGGGGAGAGCGGCGAACTCGTTTTGCATGTCGACGGCCATAGTCAGAGGTGCTACATGTGTAGGTACGTGGGGGTAATCCCAGTAATCAAGAAAGAAACCCACATAGAACCGTGTGTGCTCGAGGGATGTCTTCTTTAGAACTTCCACACTTTCGAACTTGACACGGCTAATGATGAAATTAGCGGCGTCGGCTTGTCTACACGGTGTGTACAATGTAAGCAGTTCTGTTGCCAAATGGGATTGGAACTTCGCTAGCACTTACTCTCGAGCCATGGGGACGCCCCAAATACTTGGAGCAAAACGCTTCGTTACCTTCGACGCATCTGCAGCCATCACCAGGTTATTCTGCGGCTTTGCTGAAGTGGTCAAAAACATCATAGAGATCACTGTATGAACATCATTCTCTTCCAAGATCTTTTTCATACTGTCAATGTTGTCATAATCGACAGCGATAATTTCACTGCCAATCTCGGCTGCAAGCTTAGCATCCGCCTTGATGTTCTTAGTATAACGAGGTCTTTTGTTATCACACAAGTAGTTTTTGCTTACTGATCTGCTCAAGATCTTCACCAGATGTTTGCCCTGGCGAAGAACCGTCTCCGCAATAGTGCGACCCAGGCCATTTGCACCACCAGCAATTGCGATGACGACCATGTTGAACGATTTTGGGAAGTTTTCAAAGAGAATTGATGGGAGACTTGTAGCAGTGACAACTTACAGGTTTCAGATAGAGACCTGTAGTGCAACAGTCCTCTATATCTGTATGGGACGTCACACTGACAGGCTCAAGATGTATATATATAAGCATGCGTTTTGGAATTAGAGTTGAGTGTTCGTCCGTCTAAACATTCATAACTCACTGTTACGAGTGTAAATGGTGAATGTGAGTACGACGGACGTCAAAACTCGGAGAATCATTAGTATTTAACAAACAGCATAAATCTCTTAGCTAACGAGAGATGCCAAGCTTTAATAAGGTATTTAAGCAATCTGATCATAATTTTCTTGCTTAGCCTTGACAACATGTATCCACATTGTTGATTTGTGGTCAACCCCTGGGTGGTTACAATGGTAGCACGTAGATCCAGATGGTAGACCTTTCTGACATGACCACTGTATCAGTATTTACTCAGCGAATGCAACATCGCTCTGGGCAGAGATAAGTGGTGATCGGTTGTTTAGTGCCGTCCATGCATGGTGATGTTTATGTCGTACTGCAATTCCCCGCAATATTTGTTAGCCCGACAGTGAAGAAAGAAGTCCCACCAGCCGGCGCTAAAGTTCACCATCTGGAGGAAGCTAGAATAGGCGCTATGTCGCACAGTCCTTGCAGTGACAGTTGTACCAATAGACCGAGAGTGACGATGGTATATGGTAGGGAAGTCAGTTAAGCTTGGGGTCATCGTTGCGCTGGACACATAAATGGGCCCATTACGCTGGTAGATGGGTATAATATACCCAGTTGTGGGTATTGGTTGGGTTGTGGATGCATGGACCTTAGGTATAGGTTGGGTTAGGGTATACTTTAACGTGGGTATAGGTTGGGCTGGGGTGGTATTGCAGCGTGTACTTGCTGCTTTTTGTGCAAATTTGATTGATTCTTAGAAATTGGGAAGCGAATGCATCGCTGTACGTGTAGACAGGGATCGGGCACTGTGTCGTGTCAAGAATCCATACCAGTCTGCATCGTAGCATTACCTCCATGTCCAAAAGCTTAGTCCTGAAAGTCGTCTCCCCAGACGTCCCCCAGGGAGTAGATGAACCGAGATCGTGGCTATCGACCGACGACTATCTCTTGGTAAAGACAACTACAGTAGCGGTCAATACCAACGGATGAACGCATTTCTACATCGCGCAGCTCATGAAATGTGTAGGCGGCTGTCTTGGCCGCGACTACGCTGGTATTGTCGTCGTGAGAGGCGACCTCCAAATCCGCATACCAAATACCATCTCAAACATAAAAGCCGCGACCCTGAGTGTAGCCATATCGACAGCTGGTCAAGGCCTCTATCGACCACTGGAACAGCCGCTCTTGTTAGTGGTAGCAAGTTAGTTTACACCATGTGAGACTGATAATACCACGCGATAGATGTCATTATGACAGCATCTGCTTTCGTCGGCCTTCGCTTATCAGCACTGCCATGCAGTGTATCGACTCGAAGGATCATGCCCAGATAGCGCTACGTCGAAGGATTAATGGCCTCCAAAGGATCAGCCGTCGCATGAGGTTGGTGAGGCGAAGGAGCGCCCAGGTGTCTTGAAGCCAGGCGATGTGGTGGCCAAGGCGCTGCCTGACATGTGAAACGAAAGCAGTAAGGCACAGATGATGCACCGTGGTAGGCCAGAATGTTGAAGCACGTCTGATTCGCTCTCGGTCCATGTGCCGCGTTGATCTGTGCGGCCCGGATAAGGGTCCAAGCTTGTGACATCACCGTCGCAACGTCGGTGGGATGGCCTCGAAACCTCACTCGCCCGTTGAGTTCCTCGACGCGCGATCTCCAGCTTTGCTGCCGCGAAGAGGATAGGCGTTGTCTTAGGACCCTGAGCGCCTGAAACTACGGGACCCAAAACAACGTGTTGCATGCTACCCGTAGAGTTTGTCGGTGTGTCTCTTATAGTGCACATGGCGCCTTTTCGCTCAGGCAGGGTTTGCCTGCGATTGCGCGAATTGAAGACGACGACTGCCACGCAATTCCTTGACCACTGCCACCGAGCACGCCATTGCAGTACTCTCTCCCTGCCTCAACGACTCCTTCACCACCACACCGACCCCGCCTGAATACAAGGCAACATCGACAGACCTCGACGGCGACGCCACCACAATCATCGCCATGACCAGCGTACTGAAAGGCGGCTTTGGCTCGCCAAATGGTGCGCCTTTGTTGGCGACCAACTCGGGCACTGAGTTTGTCAACACCATCTGCCCGCTCAAAGGCGCCCTTGATGGCTATGACAACACAATACCCTGCAGCAAACAGAAGATCCACGTCCCGCAAAACTTCTGCGATGCCATGGCCATCCGCGAAGAAGTCTATGGCGAGCAGGGCGTGCCTCTTGAAGCCGAGTTCGACGAAGACGATGCCCGCAGCTGGCACTGGGTCGCTTATGCCTCCGTTGCCACCCACACAACCCACCCCCCGAAGACACTGCGCCGCTCCGACTCTGGCAACACGCCCGCTGACGACGCGCGACGCGCCTCTGCCACCGCCACCCGCGTTCCCGTCGCGACGATCCGGCTCATTCCTCCGCCCCACGGACCGAACAAGTACGTCGACGAGGACAAGACGGACAAACATGCCGATGCAGACCCACCCGGCGAGGAGCACGAGACTAAGCACCCGCCCGAACCTTACATCAAGCTCGGCAGACTTGCAGTCCTGGCACCCTACCGAAGCCTCGGCCTTGCGAAGCTGCTCGTCAACGCTGCGCTCGACTACGCCATGATGAACTCTGACCTCATCTACCGACCTCCATCTCCCACCGCTTTGGAGATGGCTCAGATGCTGGGCCACAACAAGGAGCGCGAGATTACTTGGCAAGGGCTGGTCATGATCCACGCCCAAGCTAACCTCCAGAGCATGTGGGAGAAGCACGGTTTCCACGAGGAGCTGAGGAACGAGGACGGTCAAGTCGAGATACCAGCAGAGCCCCATTGGATCGAGGAAGGCATCAAACACGTGGGCATGTGGAAGAGACTGTCTGTTGAGAAACGAAAGAGGTTGTCTCTATCCTCCCTGGACTCTTCCTGAGCCTGGTCGCGTCTCCGCCCGCGTCCATTGGCTCAACATTCTCACGCAATTCGCGTGTATGAGCCTAGAAATCACTCTCTACTTCTTTGCGGGCCCCTTCATAAGACTATTTACTTACACTTGTGTTTCAAGTCTTCACGCCGGGCATCACCCAGGATCTAGCATCGCTACAAGACCCTGGATATTATGACGACTTTCACACTCGTTTCACCCATGCGACGATTCAACATTGCTTATACCCCAACACCGCACGATCACGACGACACGGCCGAACTTCAATACAACTTGCTTTATTTGCTTATAGACAAGAGGGGTAGGAGTGCAAGCGATAGATGGCGTAACGGTATTTTGTATCAAATCAACACCAAAAGTTACATCTCGCACATGTCATTTATTTGCGTATTCACCTGTTCTCTGTCGTTACACGAAATCTCGTTCCCACCGAGTTGTGATCCGTGTAGGCAGGCAATAAAGCTGACTTACTTACCGTAAGTGTATCTGGAGGAAGGCGCATCCCATCAGCACGACCACGTCGCGAACACACCAATTTCATCACATTCACAGCACGTGGGCACAGGGACACGAATGAAGCACATCGAAATACCTCCCGTTGTCGAAAAGTGGTTGATTCTGCGCCTCTACCACACTCCGTTGCAAAGAGCTAGTTCCGGTCTCTCACTTCCCTCTGTTTATTTATCTTTCCCCCACGTCATGAAGGGAAAGCGACGCGCCGCTCTTCCACCGCTTCCATACTGTTAACCAGGATCGCACATCACTCGCTTCCATGTCCGAGCCCACAATCACGAAACCTAATTTCTCAACTCGAGTCCTCAGTCTTCTCCGCTCACTTTGTCGGCCCGTCATCATGCTTCCGTTTATCGGTATTACGGTCGTTATCTTGCTCACCGCGCTGTACGGCAATGTCCACGCTATTCGCCTTCCCAGCGCCGACGATAAACACAAGTACAAGGTCGCTGTCAGCCACTTTCCTTTAACAGACACTCCCCGCAAAGATCCATACAAGCCGGATGAGGATCGCCGGCTTATGGTCAGCCTGTACATGCCCGTACCCAAGGAGTCATGCTCGAACGAATGTCAAAACAGCTACATACCCCCTCAAACCGCTGCGATTGCCAACGAGCAGTTCATCGAAGGCGGGAAGCGTGATGCAGGCATATTCGAAGAGATGGCCTATAGCGTATGCTGTGGCAGCTCTACCGACATCAACGCAAGCAAATTCCCAGTCGTAGTCCTGGAACCGCATGTCGGCACGAGTAGACTACTTTACTCTACCATGGCACGTTTCATTAGCGCAAACGGTGTCGCCGTTGTTGTCATCGACCATCCTGGTGACGCTTCCATCGTTCAGTTCTCTTCCACCCGCACTCGCGACCTCCAGACTGTATATAACAGTGGTACTGTCCCTCTCTCCAACCTCTCTCCCATCACAAGCTGGAACACCACAGTCCAAACTGCTGTCGACACGCGCATGGCCGACATCGCGTTTACGCTCTCCCAAATCGACAACGTCGCTCTTTTGCAACAGCATTTCACGACTCAACGTTTCACGTCAGCATTGAAGACAGCGACTTACGGTATCATTGGTCACGGTCTTGGCGGCACAGTGGCAACCTCACTCGGTCTCACCTCTTCTGCCGTAAAGTTCAGCATAAATCTTTCCGGCACACCACCCCTCTTATCTTCAGATGTTCGAAATGCTCCTTTTTTCTTCTTTGGCCGCGCCGACTTCCGCCGCGAGCACGACATCCACTGGCCAACAACTTGGTCGCACCTCACTGGCCCAGCTACAGAGTTTGACCTCGACGACTCTGCCATCTTCGATGCGTCCGACCTTCCCATAGTTGTTGAGCTAGCTAGGACGGAAGGTGGAAAGAAGGGCATCAAAGCCCGCGGGCTAAGTGGAAATGCTCCAGCCGAGGGCGCGCGTGCGGTCAACTGTTTTCTGGAAAACATTGTGAAGGAGCATTTCAAGCTGAATGGCCAGGGCATGGATCTGGGCGGCTGTATTAGGAGGTTTGAGGGTGTGAAGCCATATCCTGGGTACAAGAAGAAAGAATAGCTGTATCCGCTAATATTTCTTCGGATGGAAGACACATCGGTTAGATTTAGTATCAGGCAAAAGGAGATCAAGGCTAGACAAAAGTGGGGCATCTAGACATAGTCAAGATGTGGAAATGCAGGAGTTTCGAACCATATCGAGTTGAGCCAAGAATTTCATGATTACAGGAATTGCATATACGCTCAAAACCCAAACACATTCTCTCCCTCCTTGAAACCCCACTTCTCCAGGGCCGGCAAGGCAGCCTTCTGAATCATACCTGGAGGTCCACAAAGGAAAACGCCCGTCCCCTCTTCTGGCGCAAACAGGGCTTCTTGAATCAAATCAGCATCTACATGACCCTTCTTGCCCTTCCAGTCGTCACTCGGATGACTGAGGATATGAGTAATCTTTAGTCTACCTCCGCTCGACTTCTCAAACTCATCAAGCTCCTTGTGAAGCAAGATGTCCTTTTCAGACTTGTTCGCATCCAGAACACAAATCTGTATATCAGGATCGCTCGATAGCATCGCACGTGCGATGAGCGAGTATCCGGGCGTGATGCCACTTCCACCGAGAATGAGGTTGATCTTCTTAAATGTGTATTCTTTTCCAGAGATGCTGAAGACGCCTTCGCCGTTGTATACTATCTCGCCGGTTGGGCCTCGGATTTCAATCTCTTCGCCCAGTGGCATGCAATCGAGAATGTTGGACATTGCGCCGCCTGGTTGCGAACTAGACGGAAAGTAGGTCTTGACAGTGAGTTCGAAGGTACCGACGCCGTCTGCAAGATTCTGGTTGTCATTCTTCTTATTATTGCTTTCATCGGATGAGTCAGGAAGAAGTGGCTTGGTAGGTGTGTATGATCGGATGAGCATCTTGTCTTGGAGATGGTAGCCTAGTTGTACGTGTTGGCATGTTGAGAGACCCAGATCAGGGGTATCCTTTGGTAGTTGGAAGGTGTACGCGCGCGTATCCTCCGAAATGGATTTGCGGTCGAGGAGCTTGACTGGTACCCATCGGTGTTTCTGCAGAACAACTTTACTGTGCTGGGAAGACGATTGCGACTGTTCTTTCGCAGCTGCTTCTGCATTTTTCTTGATGAAAGCAGCAGTCTTGTCCGTCACTACACCAATCGCGCATTCTTTTCGGAATGTTAGTGTATGTGCAACAACAATAATTGAAAGACTTACCGTTGAGCTTCTTGTAAGCATAACCGTCGTGTATGCTTTCGAATTCATTACTAGTTTCTGCGTGCACCTTACCGGCATGGCCCAACACCGCGGCTTTACCTCCGGGATGCCATTCCAACACGCTCGTCGCATCGTAAACCTTTCCGTCGACCACGATCCAGCAATCATCCTCTTTGTCATGCTTCTCGATCTCCTGCCGAGTGAACTGCTTCTGTGGTGTACCAGCCGACTGTTTGACAGCCGCCATCTGGTTCTCAACGCTCGGCTTCATCCACCCACCATCTGCCGTGCCTGGCTCCACCGGATGACGGAACATGATTGACGGCATATCGGAGTCGTCTTCCTGTACGATCGAAGGTCGAACAATGTACCAACAGTTGTTCATCATACCCATGACGTTCCAATTGGGGTCTTTCGGCTGTGTATTCTTGAAGACGTTGAAGCAGCGCACTGTGATGCTGTTCGCTCTGAGTAAGTGCGATATCTCAATGTCCACATGCCAGTGTAGCCACGTCCAGAACTTGTTGCCATGTCGGATAGGCGCATCTGGGAATTTTCGAATACAATACAGCCACGTCTCTCCATCGTCCAGCGAGACCTCCACTCTCTGTACTTCATGACCTCCGCCATCATACGCATAACCTTCGATACGGTACGTCTTTCCTTTCTTGGCTTCGGAAAGCGGTATCTGTTCCCCTTGCGCAGGTTTCACAATGACCGAGTTCAAGTTTTGCTCATTGCAAGCTGTGTCGGGATGGCGGAACAACGTCTCTGCAAATCGGCCATCCTTTTCCGTGACAAATGATGGTAGGACGCGGTTATCCCAAATATGGTAATGCGAGTCGTTTTCCTTCTCTGATATCCAGATACGCTGCAGCCACTTGACGCAGCGTCCACCAACGTATCCCGGTATCATCAGTCGCACCGGGTATCCGTGATCAGGGGGAAGCGGGAGATCGTTCATTTCGTATGCGAGTATAACGTCGTTCGTTACATCCATCACGTAGTCGAATGGTAGACATGTGGAATACTTCCCCTCACTGGGCTCGTCTGCGCCCTCGAAATTGACCCAGTAACGTTTCCCTTCTGGCATCTTTGCTGGTAAGCCAGCTTCAAGCAAGATATCTTTCACCAACGGTCCTTTCCAGTATGCGCAACTGACAGCCGCGCTACCCCAACTGAAGCCCTTGGACTTTTTGATCATGTTTAGCTCTTTCCGGCGGTTACCGTCACATGCCAAAGCCACCGGGATGTTGATGGTATCGAAATCGTTCTTGAGGTTGTCCATTGACAATACGAGCTTACCGCCTTCGACATCCAACTCGTGGATTTCCCACAACAATCTTGGGACAGCGCCATGATTGCGCACATAGTGCAGCTCGTTGGGCGTGATCAGTCCGGCGTCATAGAGATGCGATAGGTTTGCCTCGGCGTTCATTGGATGCTTTCCAGTCAAACGAATCAGATCCGAAGAACGTGGTAGCCAGTTGTCCGGGGAGAATTGATCCGCTTCATCAATGGAGATGGTGCTACGATTGTGAGTTTGAGGGCTTTTGCGCTTTCCATCGTTCTGTTCAAGGGTTTGGATGTAGTCCTTCTCGTGTTGTAAAGTGCGAAGCAATGCGATTTCTTGCACGGAGTAACGCTCTCGAAGCTTGTCATACTCTGTCTTGTCCTTCTTTGCGGCTTCATCGCTAGAGTAGCCAGAGTCCTCCCCACTTTCGGCATATGCGTCATGATGCTTGTCGTTGTCGCCCTGAGTTCGCTTCCATTGCTCTTCGTCCAATGTACCGCCACCTTCCTTTTGGTCCTTTGCACCGTCATCCTGGTGCTCATTCTTCTTCTTCTGCTCTTCTTTCTCGCGCTTCTCGACGTTCGCCGGCCACTCCTCTTGGTTCTTGACCCAATCTTCCGTGCACGGGAGCACAAACCTCCAGCCCAAGCTTCTGTTCTCAGGGTGTCGCAGGTGAAGATCCTTTTCTTCTAGCACAATATCTCGAAAGTTGACAAGATCACCCTTCTTCTCTTTTCCCGTCAAGTCTTTGTGACCCTCGCGTGCTTCTTCAACGTCGTCGCGCGTCTTGGTCTCATCACTCTCGTGGGTGATGCCAGCCCGACGGTCATCGCGATTCTTGTAGCCGACACGATGTTGGTGATTGTGTTCGTTCGACCAGTCAGGCTCCTGCTCGATCTCCTCTCGCGTTGAGCCAGGGTGGTCGGTGATGTGAACTTGCCAGGGTACTGGAGGCATCTTTACGCGTTTCTCGAGAGCAGTAAGGCCAAAGAATTACTACATCCTCGCGAATATGCATGTCGCATGCGAGGATATGTAGCGAACTGACCATAAGCATGATGCTGTCGTTGTGTCGTCATGGTTGGTTTGCTTTTCTGATGCACGACGCGCTCCGGAAAATCTCGTTGGTTCACCCACAGAGACTAATCCGTACTATTTGTAAATGCAATGCTTCCGCGGGTAGATCGGAATGTTGGGGTCCCGCCGACTAGTTAGTCTCAACCTAAAAGCCGCTTCCATTGCCGGAGAACCATGATAGGCGAGTTCAAATGTTAAGACGAGGTGCCGGGTTTGCAGCTTGAGACGAAGGACGACGTCGAAAGAGGCTGGATCATGAGTCATAGTAGTGTCGAGCTCCCATACAGACACCTTAAACAGGTTGCTCAGGACATGTAAATAGTGATGAGAATATGTTACATTTGCCACGAGCTTGCTTTGTCGTGATCCTCTTGCTTTGTCGTGATCCTCTTGCTTTGTCACGATCCTCTACACTATCTTACACATTAATCTTGCCAACTTTCCCATCCCTCCTCCCTCCAAACGCCGCTCTTGCCTCCTTCCTTTAATACGACCCTCACATCCTGCACCCGCTGAAATTTGTCCACTGCCTTACACATATCAACCACACTGAGCGCTGCACCCATGACTGCCGTCAAAGCTTCCATTTCGACCCCAGTAGGACCCGTACACTGAACCTTTGCTTCGATCTGGATGCCGCCGTAGCCAGGGTCGACGCTGTATGGGGATTTAGGTATCGATGGCAATGAGTCTGGGGAGGACCCACCCGAGCTGGACCCAAAAGCACGAAGCTCGACCCCGACATGCGTCAAGGCAATCGGATGGCATAAAGGTATTATCTCGGGGCATTTCTTTGCTGCCATGATACCTGCTATTCGCGATGTACCCAAAACATCGCCTTTTTTCAAGCTGTTCGAGCGTATCAATTGGAGGGGGGTAGGGTTAGTAAAGTACACGGTTCCGACGGCGATGGCGGTGCGTGTTGTGTGTTGCTTGTTCGAGACGCTGACCATGTGTGCGGAGCCGGAGGCGGTCAGGTGGGGGAGGTGTGGTTGAGGACTTGCGGGCTGGGCTTCTGATGATGGAGGAGGTTGTGAGGTTTGCGGTTGTCGTTGATGTAGTTTATCTTTCCCGTCCGTCTTATTGATTGCGCTCGGCTTGGATTCGGCTTTAGACGAAGGGAAGTTGGCGTAACATGAGGAGGTCGAGTACATCCTACGACCCACCAACCTAGACGTCGTCGAGCCACTGGACTCCCCTCTTACTGCCTCAGTCATACCATGTTGCGCCTGTGCCAATGCCTCAAGATCAGTTTGCTGTTGCTGCAGCGGCTCATGTTTAGTATCATCAGCCAAAAACCCCAGACCTTCCGCTTCCATCTCATCCCAATCCAGCTTGCCTTCCGCATCACTGGTCAGAGAGTGTCTCTCAGAGAACACATCATGCCACCTCATTGCCATCCTCTCTGCTGCATCATTGTCAAGGTTGTGATCTATCACCATCTGATCTAATACCGCTTTTAGCTTTTCGTCGACTATTCCTTTAACCACCTGGCCCGTGAGATTAACATTTTCGAACCTCGCCTGCCATCTTTCAATCAAGATCTTCAGCCATGTTTGTAGTGTGCGTCTATTCTCAGAGGTCCAGACCTCGTAGGGTAACACGTCGAGGCGTGGATAGGATTTTTTAAGTCGGTCTCGTAGGGCGAGGACTTGCTGCTGAAGTTGGGGGATGGGTGCGTCGAAAGTGACGATGAGATCTTCGTCGATAGGTAAAATGCCGGATGGCGGAACAACGAGACCAGGACGTTTGCTTGGTGAGGATGATAGGAGATCGAATGCATGTCCGTTACCAGGCACCTTTGGCACTCGTCCCTTGTCCATGATTGGATCCGCAAGCGCATTTTCCTCGGAGCTTCGATCTAATTCGTTTCGACCCAAGACCGAATAAGAACCTGTCTCCCCAACTGACCTTACGACCCAGTCGGAGGGTAAGACTTTCCTGTCTCTATGTTCTTGTGGTATCTTAGGAGGATGTATCGGTTCCTTCCTGATCTTTTTCAATGCATCATCCAATATACCACCAAGATTTTGGCCATCCCGCTCTTCTCCTTCTTCCCTTGCTCTTACAACTATCCTAGCTCTTCGTTCGGTTTCTTCCAGTTCTTCCAACTGTTTCACCAACGCCCTTTTGGTCTCCAAAATCTCTTCTTTCTGCTTCCTCAGCTTAGCTTGTCGCGTGAGAACAGCGAATCGACTTGTATACTTTTCCACGGTCTTTGCAAGAAGTTCTTCATACTCAAACCTTTGTGCTTCAAGCCTCTCTTTCTCCTTAGCTTCCTTTACGGACGTTGCAGGCTTGTCGATTTGGTGGACGACGCGGGCGATGCGATCTTGTAGGTTGATGATATTTGTTCCTAATATCTGAATTGTTCGATCGCTTCCTTGTGGTAACTTTACTTCAGCCAAAAAGTCTCGTAAGGAATGCGGATTCATTCCTGTCACGTTCTTGGTGGCCTTGCCAGCTTCTGGAATCTCCTCAGCCTTTTGCAGTGGCTCCAGTTGAGATAGCTTCTCCGCAGCAGACATAGGCGAGGTAGAGAAGGCTCGAACAGTGGTTGAAGGAGGCTGAGACACGATGTTCAGGTAGGGTAGTGGTGAGCTGGGTATGCGATGTCGTGCCAGCAAGGCATAGGGGTTGTCGAATGGTCTTCTCCGTAGTACAGGCCGCCGGGAGTTCCGGCTCGCTAGAGGCTTGTCATCTAGACAGGGTCAGCAAGATACATCACAGACTGAACTGCCGTAAGCGATGGTAGAATCGGGTATATGATTGGTATATGTAGCCACATGTCCATCTCTAAGCGATAGTGTAGACTCACAATCAAGGAGAACGCTCAGAACGCCAACTATGCAGTGACCGCCGTGGTATCGTAAGGCATCTAACCAGAACCATCGTGAAGGAAAACAGAAAGAGTCCAGATTTACCCACCAATTAAGATCATGGGCCGATTCTCCATGTTGGCCAGATCATCCAAGTCGGCGTGCTTTTCCGCTTTGCGTTTGACGGCAGCCCCAACAACGTCAAGGAGTTCGCGCTCGCGTTGGCCCCAGCCAAAGATTGTCTCATCGCTCAAGCGGCCTTGGTGTCGGTCCTTCTCGATCTGCCTGATGCGCTCAAATGCTTCCTGGTCAATGGGCTCGCCATTGTTGCCCTGTCGCAGAACGTCGCGCAAAGACACCTCGGCGTTACCGTGTAAGCAGACTTTCAGATTGCCGTCACTCGTTATTCGTAACCGATTGCAGGTCCCACAAAAGTCATTTGTCATGCTCGTGATGAAGCCGACCTTGCCCACGAAGCCTGGCACCTCGTACGTCTTGCTGGTGTCGTTCTTGTGTCCTGGCACCGGCCTGAGCCCCGGATACTTGGTCCTGATGACATCCAGCATCTCCTGGAAGCTGATCATCTTGTTCTCACTCCACTTGTTTCCACCAAAAGGCATGTACTCGATGAAGCGTACTTCGATGTCCTTTTCGCGGCCCATTTCGACAAAGGGTAGAATCTCGCGCTCGTTCAACCCCCGCATGACGACGCAGTTGACCTTGAGCTTGACGTTGGCGCCTAGCTTGTTCATGTCCAGTATGCGATCAATCGACTTCATGACAGCATCGAAGCCTTTCCGCCGAGTCATGATCTGGAACTGGAACGGGTCTAGTGTATCCAGGCTGAGGTTGACGCCAGTCAGACCCGCTTCGACCATTGCGTCCAGCTTCCGGTGTAGCGAGATGCCGTTGGTTGTGAGTGCGAGTTCGCGCAGGCCTTTCGGGCGCAGACTGCCGATCTGCTGCATGAGCGGGACGATGTCGCGACGGACGGTGGGCTCGCCGCCAGTGAGGCGGATCTTGGTGACGCCCTGTGAGACGAATAGCGAGGAGAGGTAGAAGATCTCGGGTGTGGTAAGCATGTTGGCCGACGGAGCCAGTGGTATGCCCTCTGCTGTTTGTTAGCAGCATCCTTTGCTGTGTAAGCGTACCAATCGCACCTTCTGGCATGCAGTACAGACACCGCAGATTGCATCGCTCTGTGATACTGATCCGGAGATAGTCATGCTGCCTATTGAACGTGTCCGTCAAGAAGTCGGAGAAGGGTTTCGCATTCTTGATCGCTTTCCTCCGGGCGTCTCCACTCGAACGTGACGGCACCGCAACCGGTGGAATCCCCGCGGGAAGGTCGACATTTGGCTCCTGGGTCGCGGCGTTGGTCGCAACGCCTCTTGTCTGTAATGCGCTTATTGACGGTTGTCGTAGATAATTGCCACAGCCAGCAACTCGTTGCAGCGCGGCCGGGCCCGCCCGTATCCTAGCCATCTGCGCCATTAGGAGGAGTCGAGTTTGTTAAAGCCTCGTCCAACATTGGGAGGGGCGCACATGGGGAGTTATATACGCCAGAGAAGGATAGGGCGGAGATGACTGAGATGTGACATGCGGCAGATGCTTTAGGTGGGCTGTCCGAGCCGATTACAGGGATCTGCTGCCAAGTGCGGCGACCTTACTAAGATACCCTCAGCTAAGGTGGGGTAGGCAAGTGTATTCAAATCAGTCTAGATCTTGAGCCTAAGTGCTCCTGATAGCCCTTCTGCTACTTATCCCTCAGACGCGCCGTGGACATAGGAGGTATCATGTCTGTTGATAATTTCACGGAACAGTTCCGATGGTTCCGACAGTGGCCAAAATGGCACATGCACACTACAGTATCCTTGTCCAACATGGGAGTCTTGGGCATTTTCCATATTCTCCATGACCCACGCGTTTTGTGGATATACACAGCGTGCCAGGCTTACTAAGCGGCCCGCGGACATGTGTCTTGACACGACCGCAAGCTGTTCTATACAACCTGTTCCATACAACCAGTGCCCCTCTTCACGCCCTGCCACTACCTTGGCCTAGCATAGTCCTGTTTCTATTCGCGTCATCATTCTTGTTCCTACCTCCCCGCCTCTCTCTCTCTCTCTCTCATATGGACGAGCTCCCGAAACCTACTCTTACCCTTTTCTGTTGGAAAGATTATACACGTCGGCCTATCAAAACCGTGTTCACTGTCTGGAGAGTTGTATAGGTCGATACCACGTCTTGCTCTGAAAGGAATATCCTGCGTTCCAAGGCGCGAAAGGCTATTAGTCAGCGAACTGTCATGGAATCCCTTGACTACCGGTGACTGTGCCAGCTCGCGGACAAGATGCGGATGCCACTTCACGCAGTTCGGGCATGTCCCCTGTAGACAAGGTTGTTGGTATGTTATACTGTTTTGCCACTTCCCTTTCTGCTGTCGATGTGGTCCGCCGTAGTGAAATCGGTGCAGCTTTGCTTTGCAGGACGTGGGCTCGTTGTGTGAGCTATTGTGCTTTCTTCGCCTTACTTGACGAGCTTTGATAGCCGTGGGAGCTGGTGGAAGTCGAAGTATCAGTCTTGGCTTCGAAAACGGTCTATTTGATCTGTGGAAATGGGCTTCAGGCTGATAGTCGTTCCATATGTGCTTTGGTATTCTTATCTTGAGACCCATCTAGCCTGAGAAGCTGTGGCACTAGACTAATGTGGGATATTGGTGTAGAGAACGCGAAGTGGCAGAACTACTTGCTGTTGTCAGCTAGATGTTTATAGAACTGTTTGCTGTTCACCGACAGCTTGTACTTACGCAACAAGCGAGACATTGTGAAGAAGGCGTGACTTCTGCAGCAGAGTTGTTCTAAATAGATGAAACCAGGTTCATTGTCTAACAAACGATTGGGTGGGCATGACCTCGTCTAGTGCCCCTTCTAATAGTGTATCAATGTCAATGGATAAGTACGTTGCGATGCTACAGATGTGCTCCTGATGCGATGCTGAAGGTCAAATGCTGAATGCCAGTATGAAATACGCGCCAAACAACGACATCTACTCGTAACACTGATCCCAAAGGCCGCCGCTTCTTGCAAAGCTTTGGCTGTCTACAAATTCACTCAACGTACACCTGCCATGCTTGTCACCACCACAGAAGTCCAATGGGTGTACGCGGTCGTTAACAATGACACGAACTGATTCTTCCTTCTCGTGCTTACACTGCAGCTTCTCGACGTAGAGACGTGCTGCAAATGGCACGCTCCATGCTGCGGAATAACCATGTGTCTTCTTTGTATTCTCAATAGTGGTGTTCGATAACGGCTTCGTTTTGTTGTACAGGCCGAGCGCAGCCAAAACACCACTAATGTCATTATCGTGGCTGAAGTCGGCGTATACCTTGCGATCGAGAGGGAAGGTCTTGGGATCGGAGTCGAGGGTGCGATTCGTGTTGGTGTTGTCGTCAACAGGCTTGTTCGTTAGTCGCGCCAGCAGTTCATTGACGTATCCAACGCCTTGAGTCGGACCAAGCGGGTTGCCAACGCCGTAGCCGTAGAATTTGCCCAGTGTCTGGAAGTAGTCGTATTCACGCCACTCCTTTTCGGTAAAGATTCTGCAGAAGTCTGACATCTTCGCTGACGGATGCGCCAATGTATCAAATGGGCACATGTCCATCAAGTACACGATGGACGTGGCGCTGAGGTTCGTTCCAAGAGCAGAGTTGATGCGCTCTTGGATCGGCGGCACAAACTTGTCAGCCCAGACATGCTGCGCCCTATCCCCGAGACCATGATGTGGACCGCCCTCGAATGCTGGACAGATGTCGTGGGACAGAGTATTGTTCCAATTCGGCCCTTCTGGAATCACGACATCGATCTTTCGCGGTTCTTCCTTCAGCGATTGCGCGACACCCGCAAGCCACCTCTCAGCTGATTCAACTACACGGTGTTGTCCGCCCGAGCGTACAAATGGTACGTTGTCGTCGATGAGCTTCTGGTACCGGCGGTAGAAGTGAGCACCTGAGTTGACCATTTCCTGCCTCCCAGCATCCGTCAGCTCATCCGCACCCAATGTATAATCGTAATCCTTCAAGAATCTGAACTCTTTCGGATACGATGTGCTCGTGTTTTGGATGTCTGCGATCAAGATGTGGTAGGCGAGGGTTTTGCCCAGAGTGGGATCGCGGCCGCCGTGGCGGGACAAGACGTTCGCGAAGGTGACTTCGCAGCCCTTCGGAGGCGCTACATCGATGCCCGAGGGTACGGAATACCAAAGCGAATATTGGCCCCAGAAGTGACTCGTCTTGGGGCTACAGCGGTAGCCTTGGTTGACGCTGTCGCAGGACTTGTTGGTGGAGACATTAAGGAGGCTTTTAGAGCGTCAGCTTCGGACCATCAAGAGGACTGATGCTTCATACTTGGAAGCTCCGTACAGGACTACGCATGCGCCGAGTGCTCGTAGAACCCATATGCCCAAGCCTTTCGATCGTTGGTCGCGTCGAGATCTGTGCGAAAGAGGCTCCTTCTCGCTCAACGGGAGAGGCGCATAGTCTTGGGAACGAGGGCCACGCATCCTGTTCCAGGGCTTACTCATCTAGACAAGTGACGGCAGTTATATCCGCGAGTCCGCAAACTGACACGGTGGAGTGACAAAAATCCCAAGTATACCTCTGGAGTATGTGTCGGCGTTGGCATGTCGCGTAGCCGCGGTGACGTATGCGCCCATCATGGTGTTGTCGGCAGAATCCGACGACGCCAAGCTCGAGCGCAAGAGCATCCACCATAGTCAACCACCACCACACTCCGTCCTTTTCATTTGCATCGCGTTGTCATCTGATCGCGTCACCTATCGATACAGCCATGTTGGAAAAACGCCCTTGACGCGCAGTAAGGGGCTAGATACGGTCGCGTCCGTAGCCGATGGCGGCTTTCGGTCTTGCATGCAATTGCGCGATGTAACGCCGTTTCGTCAGCCAGAGATAGACGCGAGCGTGGCCTATGATTGGCGTCTACCCCATGTTTTCGGTCAAAGTGGAGACCGTCATCAGGGCGTCTTATCTATGGCTGAACCACAAGTAAGCTTTGACAAGCTTCAACCACTAGGCTGGACATGCCCTATCCGTATCAGCCGACGTCAATGGCGGCATGCCTAACGACACAGCATCCGCGCGTTCTTTGGCGTCGCATCGTCAGGCCAAGGATTATATAGAGTCCGTCTCCTCGTCTCTCGTTCCGTAGACATCGAGTCCCTGTCTCGTCAATTCATTCGCCGCCTGGATACGCCACCATGAAGCCCGACGAGCGACATACACTGGATGACGAGGCCCAATTGCAGGCTCTCGGCCACAAGGGCGAGCTGAAGCGCAACTTCAGTCTGCTGTCTATGCTTGGGCTTGCTTTCGCCATCTTGAACTCGTGGACGGCGCTTTCATCGTCAATCGGACTAGCTCTGCCTTCCGGTGGCTCAACCAGCGTCATATGGGGACTCGTCACAGCTGGTATATGCAACTTGTGTCTGGCCGCGTCCCTGGCCGAATTTCTATCAGCATATCCCACTGCTGGTGGACAGTAAGCATCTCCGAGCAGGTTTTGTATTGTCAGCTCACAATATTGCAGATATCATTGGGTCGCCGTCATAACCCCACGGAAATGGGTTCCACTCGCGTCTTTTATTACTGGATGGATCAATGTATCCGGATGGCTTGCACTGACTACTTCCGGAGGTTTACTAGCGTCTCAGCTCATCTCTGGCCTAATCGCATTATACCATCCCGACTTTACGCTGCATCCATGGCAGGTCTGGCTAATTTATGTCGCTTGGACGATCATCGCCTTCATCATCAACGCCTTTATGAACAATCTTCTGCCCTACGTCAATCGTGGTGCCTTCATCTGGTCAATCGGCGGTTTTGCGATTGTCTGCATCACCGTCCTAGCTTGCTCATCCCCGGAATACGCGTCCGGAGAATTCGTCTTCACCGAGTTCATCAATGAGACGGGCTGGCCGGACGGTATTGCGTGGCTTCTAGGCTTGCTTCAAGGTGGTTTTGGGCTCACCGGTTACGACGCAGTCGCACATATGATTGAGGAGATACCGAATGCTGCAGTTGAGGGGCCAAAGATCATGATTTACTGCGTCTGTATTGGAACAGTAACTGGCTTCATCTTCCTCATGGTCTTGCTATTTGTCTCCGGTGGCGATGCAGAGTCCATCATTTCAGCAGCGCCAGGCCCCTTGTTACAGATCTTGTATAATGCTACAAGCAGCCGAGCTGGAGCAGCATGTCTACTAATGTTCCCATTGGTTTGCATTCTCTTCGCAGAGACTGCCATCATGACCACTTCTAGTCGCATGACATACGCATTCGCTCGGGATGGCGGCCTTCCATTTTCCAAGTTCTTCGCAAAGGTGCACCCACGCCTGGGTCAGCCGCTCAACGCCCTAATCCTAGCTGCAACTTTGACTATTCTCTTTGGATTGATCTTAATCGGATCGAGCAGCGCTTTCAACGCTCTTATCTCAGCATCAGTTGTTGCCTTGGGTGTGAGTTATGCGATACCCGTTGCGATCAATGTCTGCCGTGGTAGGAAGATGCTCGGACCCAGAGCCTTTGTTTTGCCTGGACCCTTCGGCTGGATTGCGAACCTGATTGGTATCGCATACACTATCGTCACTACTGTTCTCTTCTTGTTCCCGCCTGAATTGCCCGTCTCAGCTTCGAGCATGAGTAAGTGCTTTTTGCCGACTACATGTATTATGCTAACTAGTCCAGACTACTGCGTCGTCGCCTTTGGTATAATCTTGTTCATTAGCACCTTCCAATGGTTCGTAGATGGACGCAAGAATTTTACTGGCCCTCGAGCAGATGTGGGCCTCGAAGTCTTGGAAGCCATGAAAAGCCATGAGCCAAACGACGCTACAGCTCAACATTCCAAGGATGTCGATGGGGGCAAAGACTTGCATGAGATGGAAAGGTAGGAACTACTACAAACAGCAACATAATCTATGATTCCATGTCCCTCGGCGCTACTCTTACAAGTTTCACATCACGGCCTAGACACGGTCATGCGCCTTGGCCACATAGCCAGTGAAAGTGCAAATTAGGCCCAGCCTTTGTCATTGAAGTCACCCTCCGCGCCCTTATATCAACACAACCTTTCACTTCGCTTGGCACTGTGATAGTACTGATGCCCCACGCTCTCCTAACTGTATATACCATTCTCCGTTCACAGCATTGTTCCACTTGCACCACCTCGCAGAACGGCCTAATCATCCATAGAAGCCTTACTTCAACATATCGGATTTCCAAAAGCAAAAAGCAAATATGCTTAGCACCTTTCGCAAACTCATTAACTATTGGGGTAGCCTGAACGCGAACGCCCCCGAGAAGCCTAACGACATACCGACCAAGGCGGCGTCTTCCCAAATCAGTGGCTCGCCGTCAACATCGAATAGCAATTCCAATCCAGCATATCGCGCTGCCTTCAACTCTGGAGCCCCTCTCACGCAGTTTGCGAAAAAGGCGCCACATGCGCAGCCATCTTCCATCGCTCCTAATTCAGCGCTGTCTGGATATCTCTTCTCGCGTGTCAAGCGAATTGGCGCCTCTAACATTAGCGATATCCCGCCACCACAAATTCCCCTATATCCCAAACCAGTTACGACCCGCGCTGGCCAGAGGACTAACGACCGCTTTACCGAATCCGAGGATATTGACATGCCCGATGCGGACTTCCGGTCACCTCCGACGCCTTCAACAACACGACCTGGTGGGGACAACGCCCATCATCTATCGAACAAATCTTCACAAAATAACGGAAAAGATACAGCAGCTGCAAGTGTTTCGAGCGAGCCGTCCGACACCGATTCGTCCACATCAGTCGACCGCAACAGCCGCCCTCCATCGATCCCGGTGCGTCAACAAGACCGCCAGCAAACACCCACCACACCACAGACTGAGGAAGACTGGCTCGACGACATCGTCATCGAAGAAGACACACCCGAGAACAATCTCCCTGTCGGCTACCTTGGCACTTTCCGTGGCTCGCGCCACTTCATTCCAGAATATCCAGGCATGCTACCCTGCAGTCATAACACCAAACATCACCTCCTCTGCGGCCACTGGATTTCCAGTTCCGAGCCATGTGGTAGCAACTGCAAAAAGCAGAATCATGCCGAAAAGCCCTTCAACTGCCCAACATGTCAAGGAATTGTTCGCGAAGCCCTCACCGGATCGATCCTCTCAGCGGTCGAGTCGATACGGTTGAGGAAACTAAAGGAAAAGGGCAACAGCATAGTCTATGTGTCTTGTTGTGTCGAGCAAGTCGTCCGCGCTGCACCCCAAATCAAGTCCGGCGTCACCGAGGCTGTAGCCGGACTTCTCTTGGAAGAGTATGGACGTAAATGTGAGCAGGCAGACAATCCAGATCCTGAGGGACTTGAAACAATCGAGTGGATTGTGAGAGACATGCAAGAGCGAACTGAGCGCAAGCAGCGCGAGAGATTCGCCCAAGAGAACCCCCTCAACACACACGACAAACGCAAGAGCTATGAAGATGCGATGTATCTGTCTGTCAATGAGATCAACCTTGGGACAGACCGCTCAGCTACTCAAGATAAGCAGCCACGAGGCAGTTCCTCAACGGGCGAAGACGACAAGCAAGATACATTGTCAGCCAGCAAAAAAAGGCAAAAAACGAAGCTAGAGAACCACCGCGAGCCCACGACGCCCCAAAGCCGCGGCACGAAGCGCCCTTGTCCATCCACTTCCTCCTCAGATGGAAACGTCTCGCCATTCGCCTCCGTCGCTGGCAGTAAGCGTATCAAAACTCCCATGGAGAAGGTCTACACTCCGCCTTCCTCTACGTTTGGTGAGGCTAGTTTTCCCTCTCCAAATGCCAGCGTTATTGGAGCTATGAAGCGGAAGCATCGGAATGATGGAGACTTGGATGGCGGAAGTGATGTTTTAATGAAGAGTGGATTTAAGAGATGTAGAGTTGGGATTTGGCGGGCTTTCCAGGAGCGAGTGAAGATGCAGATGTCAGGATTCGCGGGATTTGCAGCAGCATGGGATGAGGACAAAGATGATTTCTAGGGGTACATACCAGAAGGTTGGAGGACTTGGAAGAGCCGGGATAGGTCTGGTATTGTCGAACATCGAGCTCTCATAGTCCAGTTCAATTAAGTGTTTACTTGCCTGCGTCATGTAATGGATCGTCCTCTTGCAGGGCCGACAACAAGATTGAAAAATGGAGTAGATGCCAATCAAAGTCTGCCATTGCTTCACAACACGCCTAGACCACATTATCGTGACCTGCCGAAGTTATGTCCCTCGATTAAAGTTGGATAGGCCCGAATATGTTGTGGCACGCGATCAATAATCTTAGGCTTGTGATGTTACAAAGTATGGAACGGAACCGCATGGGGTCCCGTTGCACAGGGTCGCATATGCACTTGAGTACACCAAATGCGACTGAGTCTTAATTGTAAGGTTTTATACCCAAGACAAGGCTTGTTGCTTTCAAGCAATGGCTAAGTAAATGATCAGAGCGATACCCTTGACCACCTAGGTATGACGGCCACAGGGATAACATGACGTCACCACCCCTTCCGATGGTGAAACATGTACTCTAGTACTTCAACCTCCGATTACTCTTCACGCGCATCACCAGAGGTATTTGCAAGCCAGGATAATTGTTACATCCGGAATCGTCCCAGGTACATGCCCTGCAGCTGAACCAGCTGTTTGCATATGCTACCCACTATCCCGCGTCCAAACACGATAATCCAGACTGCGTGTTTGACGAGCATGGTGGAAACACCAACGCGATGTCCGACACGCCACATCCATATCTAGTCGCGTGCGACAGCGATCGGTCCTGATGGATTGGCAGAGTAAGACGCAGAGGAAGTTGGGATAAGAGAGCTACGAGGCGATGAGGTCAACCAAGTATGAAGTCTCTTTGTACGTGAATATCAGCCCCAGTACCGCTATCTCTTTGTGTAAAGCTCTAACCAAAGATCGTAGCAGTGAGCGTTCTCGTACATGATCGGGTCTCGCGTGTTCAAACACCGATCGCCGCTCGCGCCTCCAATACTCCGATGATTCACACCAAAGCCATCGTCGCAAAGTTCACTGCAAGATCAGCAATCAACAAACAGCCATTGGCTTTCTTCCTCGACGCGGGCTAGCCACATTCCTTCTGCATGCCCTTTTCAACCCGAACACACGCAGAACCCGCGAATGCTGAGGGTCTGTCAAGCGCCATCCCGCACGCCATCTAGCGAGCCCAGAGAATTCACGGTCGGTAGAGACTTGGGTAGGGATTTTGGGCCGGGTATGGGGACGGTTCGGAGATTGGGTAGAACCTCAGTATGCGGTAAGCTTGCGGCGATCGTTGCAGTGATGTACATCTAGTGTTCTCGCTAACCCACATATAGCGACCACACCGCAAATCCTACACCCCCGCCAAGCGGGGCTGGGTGGCAGACTTGATGTTGTGGTAAACTCCACGAACCACCAAGCTTGCACAATTCGCTGACTTTGGCTTGCTAGGAATGTGCCAACCTAAATGATTTTGTCTACAACATCTCGTCTGAGGTGCTTGCTGTCACGCTAGTGCATGCAAGCAATTAATACGATATACAATACCTCAACCGAGCACCTAAGATCTCACACTTCTAATCCGCCCCATTCCAGGTGACTTTAATGCAGGTTTCGGCGCAGGCGATTTGCTTTATACTTTGTTCGGCAAGGGTTCATCTGGACGTGTTGGTGTGGGTGGGCGCCCGATGCTTCTCATTGGCCAGGATTGCTCTGACAACCGCTCGCGTGCAGTCAGCCTATGCCACGAAGGAGACATGGAACAGTACTCGGAGGCCTACAGGTACGGTGAACTGTCGTTACCGGGTCCCCAGTTGACCGTCGGCCGGTGAGGTCAAAAGCAATCCTGGTACACGATGTCGTCTGGTAGTATTTGGACTAGCGAAAAGAAGAAAGTAACATGGATAAGAGAACGTCTTTGTGTGTATGGAAACCAATATGACTTCTATAAGTTCGCAGCAAGAAATAGACCGCGATACAGGTATTCACTCCCACCGTCTCTGCCATCTACCAGAAACACTTCGAAATCTTGGCTGCTCAGTCCACCATCACGCGGCTTTCTAGTATACGGCTGCAACATCTGCATCTTGCTATGGCGTCGCTCGCCTATGCGTTTCTATTGGCCATTGGTCTACTAGTGGCAAAGGTAATCGCCCGGAAGCCATCAATCTTCCACGACAACGACTGACGATAACAGTTCCTCTATGTTGGCCTCACGTGCCCCACGAAGCATTTACCTGGTCCTTGGTATACTCGCTTCACGCATTACCGTCTGAAGCGTGCCGTAGTAACAGGACAACGTATCTTCTACATTGACTCCCTTCACGAGAAATATGGCCCCATCGTGCGACTATCTCCCACCGAAGTCGCCGTCGCCGACCTGGATGCCTTCAAGGAGATTCACAAGATTGGTACCAAGTACATGAAGAGCGAGTGGTATCTCCGTCTGGCCAACTTCCCTAAGGCCGGTGTTTTTACCATGCTTGACCCACGTGAGCATGGACCTCGAAGGAAGCTATTGTCGAGATCTTTCAGCAGGACCTACCTCGTTGAACATTGGGAGTCGGTGGTAAGAGACAAGGCGCTCATGGCCGTGACGAAGATCAAAGCCGATGCCATGCAAAGCACCGCCGATGTCTACAACTGGTGGATGCTTCTCGCATCAGACGTTAGCGCCCACCTCGCCTTTGGAGACTCATTTGGCATGTTAGAGTCAGGACATGTAAGTAGTCACAGCGATAGACACTCGACACACCAGCTAACGGGCCACAGCAAAACCAATTCATGCGTGTGCTCAAGAAGTTGACAATGGGTGCGGGTATCATGGTCGAGATGCCTTTCCTCCGCCTCCTACGCTTCGTTCCCGTTCCTGCAGTACAAGAGATGTTCAACGCCAACGAATTCATACTTGCTGGCGCCGGCAAAGCCGTGGAAACAGCTCGATCGCGTACCGGCGAGAACAACATTTTCGCTAAGGTCATTGAGGACTGCGAGAAAGAAGGTGAGGGCCATATCGATGACATGGACGTCAGAATCGAAGCCATGAACGTCATCATCGCAGGTACTGATACTACGGGTGTTACTCTGACATACCTCACGTGGGCCGTGCTGCAACGACCAGAGTTGCAAGCGGCACTTGAGGCTGAGACTGCGGCGTTGGAAGAGGGCTTCACGGAGAATGATTTGATCAAGCTGCCATTGCTTAACGCTGTCATCGAGGAGACGCTTCGATTGTATGGTGCTGCGCCGAGCAGTTTGCCGAGAGTTGTACCTCAGGGTGGCACCAAATTTGCTGGACATTATATTCCACAGGGCGTAACGGTTGATACTCAGGCGTATACCTTCCATCGCGACCCTAAGATCTGGAGTGATCCTTTGACGTAGGTCACCTCGTCGTCTCATACTCAATATCATCAGCTAATGCTCATAGTTTCAATCCACAACGCTGGATCGCAGACAAAGAGGGTATGGTTGCAGAGGCTCAATCACCCGCTGCTAAGCTCGCGTTTCATCCTTTCGGTGCTGGCGCACGATCGTGTATTGGTATCCATCTGGCGCGCATGGAACTGAGATATGCTGTTGCATTCTTCTTCCGTGACTGCAGGGGTATAAGGTTGGCCGAATCAACGACGCCCGAGAGTATGGAATTTGAGGTAAGTCTGATGTGAGGGTTGTACATGTGGAATACGTGCTGACGTTGATGACAGAATTTCTTCCTAATTGCACCGAAAGCGCATCGTTGTGAGATCACATTCAAGCAGGGCCTGTAGAGTGAGAATGACTGGCGGAGCACTATCGTAACATGTAGTTATTACCATAAATGATACTTGTTCATGATCCGACGAGTTAAAGTTGTAATAGTGCTATTTGTGGGCGCTTTGAAACCCCTACTTAGATCTACGTCATGGACTAATCGCCAAACAACGTCTTCGTATTCTGATCGAAATTACTAGGGAATTAGCAGGCGTACTCGTAGGTAGACCTGCGATAGACTTACCAAGAATCTACAGGATGCTGCAAACAACGCCGTGCTTTCTCTTACCATCTCTCTTCTCAGCTAGCCTGTTCCAGTCCGTCTTCTCAGTCATACCTCGATGATCCTTCCACGCACTCTGACTTGGACCCTTCTCATTGGCGCTAGCTTCGCTGTAATAATAGTGGAAGTCTTCAGTCTCTTGCTGCTGCCTCTGAGCCCCTCTCGAACTGGAGAACGCGTCCTCTTGCTCGAACTGAGCGAAGTCGGTCTTATGATGAGTCTGATCATGGTCAGGGACAGAGGTGGTGACACCGCCAGAGAATAGGCCTGAGGATCGGTGCACAAGATCAGAATATTTCTCGATTTCAGTTCTTACAGAATCTTACCAGATGTAGTAGTGGCAGCGACAGACATTCTGGTAGCCGCAGGCTCGGCGATGGGGGAGGCCAGGGCAACAGTGGCCACGGTGACCACCAAAGGGATGATGGCGTCGTGCATTTCTAGAACAATGTATAAGGAGACTAGGTCGGTAATTTTAGCGATGAATTGCTGAGCTAGAATGATGACTAGGATAGGTATAGATGAGAGTCGTGCTCGCGAATTATGAGAAAAGATGGTGAGGCGAAGTTTCCCTAGTCCGGTACTTTGGGAACTATATTGCGATCAGGCTTATGTATTGTTAAAATTTTTCTCCGTCTTGAGGATGGAAAATAGGGTACGGAGGATGTGGCGATACTTTGTGCGCCGTTCACAGCAAGAATCGCAACCATTTGGCCACAATAACCACAGCATAACTGATCTGTGCGACAGCATCCTTTTGTTATCTGTATCCGCACACGGGGGCTGGACGACAAAAAATCGCGTTTGGTAACGAGAAAAACCAGGTTTCTTATCCATCGAGCCAACGCCGGGGAAAGCCGTCCCATGGTTGGAGAACGATATGACAGCTTCCATATAGTGGCCTCTCTTATCTGCATCTCCATTATAAAATTCCATCACTACTACGTGCACTTTACAACCAAGGTTGCACATTTCCAAATTTCCAGCTTTGTTGGGCACGGAATAGTCCTCAATGGGTTGGAAGCGTGGTTCAGGCAGTTTTGATCCCTTTTCTTTTGACTCCAGCCATCACTTCTCAAGTCATGTCAGATTTTAGCCTCAAACCTCCGTTCTCTGAATCTCTAGATTGTAACCCACATTCTGGAATAGAAGGTGCCGTCCATCCGTTGACACGTGGTGCGGTAAATCCAAGAAAATCGCATGTTCCCGAACTCTGACGAAGGCATCGTCAGTGACTTCGAGGCCACTTATCTCGACGTGTTCAATAACTGGACACCATGTTTCTTTCAGTCGTGCAAGATCCTGAAGATATGTCGCGTCTAGATCTGCGAACTGGCAGCGTTGCAGTTTCAATAACTTGAGTGACAACGGTAGATCACCAAGCTTAGCGAGCTTCTCGAATTCGATCGTTAGGAGCGACAAATGCTCAAAGTCGCGAATTGAGGGGTAGATATAGTCATCTAGGCCCACACCAGTCTCCCACAGGTCCTGCTGGAAAATTGGATCACCGAGGTCGTAGTAGTAACGAAAGTCCAAATGCAGCGTCTCTAAAGTCCGCCGATGATTTTCTAGTAGCGCTTTCACAAGATCTCGAGGGCAAACCAGTGGCTGATGGGCTACGTCCCACATCATGCAATCATGGCGCCTCCCATCTGGAATGATGAGTTTGAAGACGGTTAAGCGTGGACATGCGTACAAGAGTGCTTTCATGATAGAGAGCGGTCCCAAGCTCCAAAACAGCTCAGCTACTGTGTGTGTCACTGTGTTAGTAGCAGGACGCTCGCCTGTTATGTCTGATACATCGCTCTCGGTTGAGAATCTTTCGAAGGCAGGGTAATGCATGAAGGGGATAAAGTCTTCCAGATCGATTGGTCCCTTTTCATATCGCTTGTGCCTGCAGATCTTTGAGTCAGCAAAATCTGCAGATTAGGCCTGAATGCAGGTGCTGAGTCGCTAGGCAGCTTCTATATTCTGTAGGTGCACTTACAAGTGGAACGTCTTCAACTTAGCAAGGAATGAAGTGTCGGCATCTCTCTTCCCGTGCATGTGTTGTAGCAGCGCGCGCGGATGTTCGATCTGCGCTTCAAGGTGAACATGTTGGACGTTTGGCACTCGGGCAAGAACGTATAACGCAAGCGGTTTGTAGCAGAGTTCCGGTTCGATCTCACCATCATGCCCTCCTATCAATGTTGATAACCTCATGAATGTGTCATCACGTCCAAGGTCAGGCCACTCGTAGCGTATTCCTCGGTCGTTGAATAAAATCAGCTCTCGCGTCTTATTTGCTAGCTCGGGATATTCTATCGAAGCTTCGAGGAAGAGCTTGAGAGATCTCAAAGGGTCTGGCACTGGCTCTGCCAGTTGCACACAAGTGTAAAGCGCCGGCCGCGCGACAGACACTAACGTGCGGGACGTTCGGCATAAGCTCAGTAAGGCTTCAACATCGGGTGCATCGCTCGATGTGAAGTATGCAACAATGGAAAGTAAGATCTCATTAGAAAGGCCAGTGAGTTTGGCCATCGTCTGATGCGAAGTCGGGAAGGGAGGTAAGCTCGTGGCAAAAGGTGCGTTAGCCTGCTGACGGCGACGATGCCCGTCCAGGCTCCCTAGGCCGGGCTGGTTAGTCCCCAGCCACTTAAGGTGTCTGCACCCCTGGTCTCATCACGCCTCATCGCGCCTCATGACATTCGCCAGAACAAAACACGCATGATGCTAGTGGAATCAAGCATATCAATTCGGGTAAGCAGCTCTAACACCAAGGGGAAAGTCGGAAATAAGCTGATGGTAGGGAGCCCTTATTACACCACAACAACGTACATATTTCTAAAATCCAAAATTTCGGAAGTACTCACAGCCTTATGTTGTATCTGTCTACCTTATTATTTTTTTTATTACGACGTTGTAGTGCGTAGTTGAGGTAAGGAGGGTTTGTGTTCTGAATCTTACTTCCGACTTTCCCCTCGGTGCTCAAGAGCAGATAGCTCTGAAGTTCTCATTGCTACATCATCTAATCATATTATTAAGTTTGATCAACAAGCGCATCGGCCCATCATCTGTCCGATCATAGCAGCGCGGGAAACGGTCTTTGTTTTCCAATCAGTAATCGCAGTCTACAGCACCGCCACTGTGTATGGTAACGATCCTCCGATTATATCACATCCCTAGACACCGCGATGTTCCTTACGCGTCTCTGCACGAGCAATGAGCACTTTGAGATTAACTATGAAGCTGCAAGTGGAAGTTTAAGATCGGGTGGGACCATGATTAGAAAATGGTTCCGGAGGTCCTCTTGTCGTATATAGACCAAAGTGCAGAAGTCTAGACATTACTCAGTTCAGATCCGTTATCTTGTTCGACAATGCTGGTGCCGGTCACAGCACTGGCGAAATCGGCGACTCTATCGCTGCCCAGGATGACATAGCAGTTGCCCTTCTCCAGGCTATCAAAGTGGACAAGGTCAACTTGCTCGGTTTCTCTATGGGAGGCGGTATTGCGCAGCACATTACCATCAACTACCCTGACCTTGTGGAGAAGGCTGTCATCGCTGGATCGATCTTTGGAAACGGACCTGGTATTGAACTGGCCACGGATGCGACTTTTGCTATTGTTCGCCAGCCTGTAGTTCCCCAAGAGTAAGGCCTGGGCTTGTTCTTCTACCCTTCCAACACTGGCACGGCTGCAGCTGTCGACCACGCTGATCGCATCGCCGAGCGGAACTTGCCAGGCGAGAACAAGACGAACCAAGTGCAAGAGCCTGATACCTCTGGACACCTCAACGCTATCCTCGACTTCACCCGTAACTCCACATACCTGGAGCAAGCGAAAAATATCAAGGCGTCGCTTTTTATTACCTCCGGAACACGCAATGTCTTAGCACCTTCCTCTGGCGACTTTGTCCTCCAGCAAAAGGTTCCTGGCTCCTATTTGCAAGTCTTCCCAGACTCCGGACATGGTCACCTCTTCCAGTCTCCAAAGGCTTTCTTCGAACTAGTGCAGGAGTTTCTAGGCGCCTAGAAGGTGTTTAATGTATGATAGTAGACTAACAGTAGTTTTTACGATTTTATGTAAGTCAGCCTATTTACATCCCAATATATGAGTGATTTTCACATGGAAGCCTTTGCAAAGGAGTGGTAGTTGTCCAGCGGTGCATCCTTTTCCATAAGCTTCCACAGTTGCTCGATTTGCTGCACTGTCTCAGACTTCAAAGGGCCCGCATCAAGTGCCGATAGCGTCTTCTCCAGCTGCGCTGGCCGGCTTGCTCCAAGGATGATTGCGTCACCAAGTCCCGCATCGAGCTTGGAATTGAAGACCGCCCAGCGATAGGCAAGGTTTACGCCCGAGTCGCCTGCTGACTCCGCAATTCTATTCCATTGCCTCAAGGCTTCGATCACAGCGGGCTTGTTGTACATGGTATTATACATCTTGCCGCCAAATGTCGATGGGTCGAACCTCCCCTCTGCCTTCTTACTCTCCAAGTCGTCCGGCTGTTTGGCGAAGAAGCCACCAGCGAGTGGCGAGTAGGCATAAAAGGCGATACCTAGTTCGCGCAGGATAGGAAAAAGATCTTGCTCAATCGTGCGAGCAAAAGCATTGTAATTGCCCTGGTATACGGAAGGAACAACTCCACCTTTTGATTTTGCGTACGCGTAGATCTTTCGTACATCATCGGGTAGGAAGTTGGAAAGACCGAAGCGCTCGAACTTGCCCTGGCGATGTAGCTCCTGAATGGCATCCACGGTCTCTTCAATGGGCGTTGCCTCATCCGGAGCATGGAGGTAGTAAATATCGACCTTTTCGGTTCCAAGGAGCGAGAGGGATGTCTGGATACCATCCTTAAGTGAGGAACCAGTGAGCGCTCGCGGAGCGAATGCTGGAGATTTGGTGTCAATGATGAACGACTGGGCAGCTTTCACCTCTCCGAGACATTTCTCACTGTCACCATAGATGCGGGCGGTGTCAATGTTTCGAATGCCTCTGCTCTTAAGGATGTCCAGAAGAGCCTGTAAATCGTCTTTCGTGAAAGATTCGATCTGGTGAGAGCCAAAGACGTATGTTGGGTGAGACATCTTGTGAGGGATATTGGGCTGGTGTTGATAGTAGTGTAGATGGGATGATAGTGATGTCTCGTGTCGCGTGAAGGTGGTCACTTATATATGATGCCGCACACTACCGAGGTCTTTAGTCAATACTGAGGAGACGTCACATCAACCAATATCATGACGACTCCCTTCAATATGCTTACTAATAGACTGTCTAGCTTCTGTAAACTCGGTGGAAAGTTGTAGCAAACGATCAATAGCTACACCCGCACCTGGGCAATGCTGATAAATAATGTCGAAGCGCTGTCAGTACGTGGTGAGATCGGGGTACAGTTCATCCGTCGTCCAATCGAAGTGCCGTTGATACGTCATCCAATCGGAATGCTATCGATACGTCTTGCAAGACTGGTCGCAGTATCCACCTCGGGATTTAGCGCGGCTCCTGATTTCGTCCGAGTGAACTAGCCAAGGCACGCTACCGGTACGTACCGTGCGTGTTGGGTCATCACGCACGACTGCCCAACGCGCATTTCGAACAGCAAATAGCCCTATAACTCAAGACTGTGATGAACCTGGGTGTTCCATGGACAAGCTGCGCAGACATCCGAGTCGCTCACGTCTGTTAAGACACCACCAAAACACCCTTGTCTGCTAACGTGCTTCTAACAACCCTACTTTACCGCATCGAACGAAAGTGAGATACAGCTTGCACTTTAGCCAATCAAGCAAGGCGTAAATCTATTAAAGCAATGCGCTACAGTAATACAAAGAGTTTTGGAAAGACGATAAAGTGTGGTTGACCCACTTTCCGTGCGCCCAGGCACAAATCTCCGAGTGGACTGTGATTGGCTACATCTTTGTTATTCAACTACTATTCGGGAGCTATTCAAAACTCATTTGAGCCATCGCTTCGAACTACTCATCTACATACCTTGCAGTATCCAGAGATCCCTTCGAAGTTTCTTGGTGCAGGATGTAAAGAATAGAATCCTCTAATATGCTGTCCCCTCAGCTGAGTGAGGAAGTATGGCCAGCCAGGTGATCCGCGATTCTATACAACACGCACGAACCCGTATGACGAGTAACTTTAGCAAGTGCGGTATCTCTAGAGTCGCGCGGTCTTCTCTTCCAACTCTCTGCATGTCTTCAGCGAGCGCGCTCAACTTCTTTGTCCTTGGCTATCGCGACTATTATTCTCATCACCCTCATTAATTACCAAACATGGTCATCCCCATCGAAAATTACCTGCAGGTCTGGATTCTGGCTTTGTCTGGCGCATCCATCGCGATAGCTTGGATTGCAGTCATTCTGCGTCTTGTCGCGAAACATATTCGCAGAAAGTTCGACTATAGCGACTACTGCATTGTCGCAGCCTTGGTACCACATTATTCTCCCATCTTACAGCGCTCTGTTACGGTCGAGGTATCGATTGCATATGCCTCGCAACTGGTGTCTGTGATAAAAGCGCACCTACTGACATAACCTAGGTCTCACACACAGCGCTATGCGCCAATTGCATATATCTTGCGTACTACGGCGCCTTCGGTTTCGACATGTACACCATAGTAGCCCGCTTCGGCATCGACGTGCTCTACGTCCTCTTCAAAGGCGTGCTAGTCATGACCATTGTATGGAATATCACTGTCTGTCTCTCAAAGCTATCCGTCCTGCTCATGTACACTTCAATCACACCCAACACATCCATGCTTGTCATATGCCGCTACATTGGAGCAACAATCATCGTTTGGATATTGGTGGATTTGATCACGGCCTTATCTATCTGTAAACCGCTAGCGCAGGCATGGAAGAATCCGGATAAGTGCACCAGTCAAAACCCGTTCTATTTTTCCCAGGGCATGTTGAACCTCATCATCGATATGGTCATTATCGTGCTGCCGATGCCGTATATATTCCGCCTACGAATGCCGTGGTGTCGCAAAGTCGTTGCGGTCGTCATGTTAGGACTAGGCATCGGGTACGTACATGCGACAGACATATTCACGTTTGCAATGAGCTGACTTTAGTTGCAGGACTATAGCTATCACGATCTATCGCCAGAAGCTTCTTTGGAAGCTGGACTTTGGCGACATCCCGAAAACACCGAATATAATCTTCGCCATGATCTTGAGCGAGCTCGAAACCGCGGTCATGATCCTGGTAGCTTGCATACCACTTATGCGTCCTCTATTCTGGAGGAACGAGGGCCAAAACCCACCCAACGGTCGTCACAATGCGAACATCGATGTCGAGGGAGGGCGTTTGGAAAGGAGGAACAAGCGTAGAGGTGCGAGGAATCTACAGTTACTTTATCCGCCATCTTGGTTCGACAACAAGGACGATTCGAAGGTTGCGGCGCAGTCATCGAAGGTTGTGCATGTCGCGGATGTGGAATCTACTTCGGCCACTGAAATATCTCAGGGTTCAAGCTGCTCTAAAGATTCTGTCGCCGATAAGAAGAGATGGGAAGCACCAAAAACATGGTATATATCCACGTGAATTGGTGATACGTTCAAGTTGCTAGATAAGGTGGATGGCCTGATCCAAAAAAAGGGGCCACTGAATGATACTCCAAGGCCGTTCTTCCTGGTATTTTTTCTCTCATTGCCCCAGCACAGTGCCTTCCTTGTTCACCAGGGTCAGACCTTCGAGCTTACCATATGTCTTCACATCTTTAACGACTCCGTTCGCATTCCACCCAAAGTCAACAATTCCACCGCCTCTCAATCTCAATCCTTTCACATTCCCGCCACTCCAGCTTGTTGGAATCGCAGGACCCAACACCACAGTTTTTCCATCCTCTTCACCACCCGCAGCTGTTGGCATGTCCGCGACAAGCATACTCAGGACGGCGCCTCCAAACCCAAAGTTTGCGTCGATCTGGAATGGCGTTTCGATACCGGAATACATACTGAATCCATTTCCAGCAAAGTTTTGCTCGATGGCATACCGGAGCTCATAGTAAGCTTGGTCTGTGTCATTCAATCTGGCCCAACAAGCTGAGCGCCAGACCTTTGCCCATCCGGCATTCGCATCCTGACCATTACCGTTGCCTCGGCTGTACAGCTTTTGCCGGATAGCATCCTGAACGGTGCTATTGGTGTAGCCGTCAAGGAAGGAGGAGAGCGAGTAACCGGGGTACCAGCCGACTAGCTCGGAGAGATGGCGATGAGTGTCATTGATGAATTCCAAACCATATGGCTCCTCAGGAAGCTTCCATTCTTTGATCTGGCCCCACGATCCAACGTGAAACCCTTTGTCAAGCCGCTGGAGCGAATCGGTGACATTGCCTATGAAAGCAGTGTCTGACTCGCCCACTATCGTCGTCGTGGAGAGTACCGCCTCGAATACCTGATGTACGAGTTGCTGATAATGCGCACATCCAAATGTTGTCGGACCGTGCTCGGGACTGTTGCATGGGTTGACAACCAGTGATCCGTCGTCATTGAAGATGTCTTCTTGAAGCTGGCTGAGCCAAAACTCCGCAACACCTTTCATGAGTGGATATCCTTGATCTCGTAGCCACGTCTCGTCGCGTGAGTAATCCCAATGATCGAACACATGCTGCATCATCCATGCGGCGGAAGCTGGGTAATTTGCCCACTCGGCACCACTCTTCATTCCGGTGTGACCGAAAATATTCATCTCGTTGTGTACCACCCATCCTGGTGCACCGTATAGTAGCTCAGCTGTCTCGCTACCGCGCGGAACCCAATTGTTGGTCATGTAATCCCATAATGGTGACTGGAGGTCGGTCAATCCAGTCTGATCGGCTGTCCAATGGTTCATTTGCAAATTAATGTTTGCATGGTAGTCTGCTGACCACGCAGCCCAGAGACCTTCGCTCCATCGTCCCTGGAGATTTGGTGGAAGAGAGCCTGGCCGTGAACTGGAGATGAAAAGGTATTGCGCGTAGTCAAAGAGTAGATTCTCGATGTACGGGTTGCCCGCGGTGTTATTTGCGTTGTAACGTGCGATGACTTCTGATGTTGGTGTCTGGGAAGACTTCAGGGGGTCTGGAAGAGATAACGTAAAGCGACCTGTCAGAGAAGTAAAGTCGTCGATGTGGCGCTTTAGTAACCCAGACACTGTTTTCGCAGCGGCGTTGAAAGTCGTTGCTTCGACGGCTGGACCTGGGTCTTCGCCGCGGAATGAGTAGTCAGACTCTGGTGTTCCTTTCTTTGCGTCGTAATCTGTTTCAGCGCCTAGCACTATCGTGACGTTATTTGTATCGTTGCCAGATGCAATGGTCAGCAGATTGGTGCTGCTATCGCACCTCGTGTTGACATTGCTGCCGGATGCCACTCGCGCAATCGCATCATACCGCATACCTTCAGGCGGACCAAGCTCTGTCACACCCTCCAGCCTCAGATAACCGGACGCCGTGCCGTTGCCACTAACGCAGGTAGCGTTCCGCAGCTCAGAGTCGACCAGCTCATTATCCAATCTTACTTCAACAGCTGGCAGTCCATTCGAAGACCGAACCGTATAAACGCAAACTTGATCCGGAAACGAGCAAAAGGCTTCAGTCTTGATACGGCTACCGTTCAAGCTGAACGAGGTGGTATGTATGCCATTGCTCAAGTCCAATGTGCGCGTATAATTGACAACATCGGCACCCACCAGCGAAGGAATGGTTACACTCAAGTTGCCGAGAACTTGATAGGAACCGTATGCGTCATCTAGACCCAGCAATTCTGTCACGTTCCCAGTTCCATTGGTAAAGATCCACTCCCGGATACCCGGCAGAGACTCAGCAACAGAAGAGTTTGGATTTCCTCCGCTGTAGTTCTATGCGTCGCATCAGTATATGACTTGAGTATATACCAGATGTATTCAGACTTACGGATGCTGAAAATGGGCCGCCTGACCACAGAGTATCCAGATTCAAAGTAAGTGTCTCAGTGCCTGGTGGGCCAATTGGCATTGCACCCAGACGGCCATTTCCAATCGGGTAGGTGGTGCGGATGATGTCGCTGCTATTTGCAGGGGTGATGGACCATAATGACAACGCTGTCGAAACTGGTATGAATGTGCAAAGGAAGGGTAGTAAACGAGATGTTCGCGACATCTTGAGCACAAGAGCTTTTCCTTTCGAATGCAACGGAACTGACGTTGGAATGCGTGGAGTGGCTGTACTACATGTACGTTTATGAGGGCTGCGACTATGCTGCTATTCTGGGGCTAGCTTGCGGGGAAGTATAGTATCGTATGGCGATCGCTGTAGAGATTCTCCACGAACGGCATTCTGAAACAATTAATCCGGCGCAGTCACCGCTACTTAAACAGCATTGTAGAGCGATTTTGTTGTGACGCAAGCGGAGTGCTACTGATATTGAGGGTCATGGACGTAAGCACGAACACATCGACCAAAGTATAGATGCGACGTGCTTTCAGCTTGTCTATCTTGACTTGCTACTCATTTGTTGGAAATCCGTGAGCCAGGAGATTGGATAGGATGCATCATGTATTCCTTATGAATTGATGCTTGACAGTGATGGTGCTGCAATTGATGCATGGAAGGATGGGAGGGGTGATGATGTCGTCGGAGGGGATCCAGCCAATCGGCGATTGTATTGACCGATGCCGCGCTAACATTCGCAGACGATCATGTCACGATATCGCAGCTGCCGCAAACGCCAATTGCGAGTCAAGACTTCACAATGAGGACGCCATATACCTGCAGACAATGTCTGTCGCTAGTCAAGACGCCGAGGTCTCAATTACGACCGTCGCAAAGCCTCGGCCAGCTCGCGCCCAAGGTGTCGTCGCAACGGAATCACTCCACCAAAAGTCCAGCACCGCCAAAGCTCGCCCTACCCAAGCGTAACCTCTCCACGACGCCGAAACGGGCCTTTGAGAAGCCGTTCGAACCATTCGAATACATTGACCCAGAGGGCCATCGGCGGAAGTTGGTCCTGACCGAGGACAACCTTTTCAATTCTTTCTCCGATTCACCGATACCCGAAATACGCAAACGTGCTGCGTTTATGCGCCAGCATGCTTACTGCCCACACCCCTCGCATCAGCCGACACGTCCGGCGAATAACCCCATGGACCTAGAGGCACGCAAGTCATCCGAGACAGGCGCTCCACCCGCACATGTAGATTTCGAGTGTCCAGACTGTGGTGTACCAGTATACTGCTGTGAAGAACACTGGGCCGACGACTACGAGGCGCATTTGGAGGTCTGCGACGTTTTGAAACAGATCAACGAAGACGACCATGATCTAAGAAGTGGGCGTTTCTTCAAGGAGTTCCAGTTTGCGGAGCCCCAGATGGAGGAGATTCTGGTCAACATGACAAGTTGGGATACATACATGTACACCCGAGACTTTGACGCGCTGAACGAGGACCGAGAGATGCGCCAGGCGACAAAGCTGTTGACGTACCCCATCACCATCGCGAGTGTTCTGAATGAGTTGAGTCCCTACAACATCCGGAAGAACGGGCGCATGACACCCGAGGGGTTGAAGAGCTTCAGCGGTACGTAGGCTTTGATTGACTACTTGGGATGATACTGACATTAACAGCCCTCCGTCATACTCTTCACCCACCACGAACAGGTGGTGGAGATACCTGGAAGAACGCCCGCCTTGCTCCGCCATCCGTCCGCCTCTTCATTCTCGGCGCACGCGCAGAATCCTCCCTACCCCGCGAAACATGGATGCAACTTTCCTACCTTTTCCACCGCGTACAATTCTCCCTCAACTTCATCGGCCCTGAGAGTATGGCAAACCGCGAGAAGGAACTACCGCTGCCCGAACGCACTCCTCTCAACCCCTTCGGTGCTGTTGTCGAGGATCGCATCAGCAACTCCTTGAAGATCAGTACCTTCGTCGAGTACTACCATAACATCCACAAGACGGGCTACTTTTACCCGTACGACCCGTACTTTGACTGCTTCGTGGTTTTCCATCCCGGTTTCGGCAACCCAGCCTCCGCGCACGAATGGGAGGAGACGCTACCCCTTCTTCTCGAGACCAAGGTTCCTATCATCGCAACCGGATACAGCCCATGGGACATGCAGCAGGATGTCGACTTCTTGAACAAGAGGTTTGGCAATGAGATGGACATGTTGCTTGAGCCGGGTGAGAACCTGTTCAGGAGTCTGAGGTGGGACCTGAACGACCTAGACCCGCACGATGTTACCTGCAGCAACTGGGGTGTGTACGCTTTCCGTGGTAAGCGATACGAGACCACCAAGAAGGACGAGGATGAAGAGGTGCACAGCGATCGCACAGCATGATTGCGTGCCATGTTCGTATGTAGATATATGTACAGTATTGTATATCAAACTTCCACTGTGCAAGGACGATTGCTTGACGTCCTATCTACCACACACACCAAATTGCTGAAGTCCACAAGTATAAGACGGTCACGATGTTAAGTTGTGACAAGTGCATTTTATCGCTAACATGATCGAAGTCTGCGAGGCGAGTGTCATTCTAGGAGGTAGAAGCCCAATCGATCTGCGGAAGGAGCACGGAAAAAAGAACTCTAGCAGCTACAACATTGTCATGGACACCGTTTCCATTCGCCGACGTCTCTATGTAAAATGCATCTTATTGCTTCGATTCCATCTCTATGAATTCACAACACCATCCTCGCAGAACGTTACGACGGCGATTCCTGATTCCCTCACCTCGTTCAGTCGTCAAAGTCGCCAACTGTTTCGTAGTAGTTGTCGTCATCATAGTAATCATAATCATCCTCGTCGTCGTCCATATGGTATAGGTCATAGTTGTCTAAGTACTCCTCCATGGTAGGTTTATAGTTTAATCTGTCCAACGCTGGCATGGCTTTCAGGATCGCTTCCGACACGGCTGATGCTGAAGTCTTTGTAAGAGTTCGATTCCGAACGTTTGCTAATGAGGTTTGCGGGTGAGGATCACTTCGATAGACCTCAAAGCCCAGGTGTGTTGTCACTGCTGTGTAACCACATCTGCTGTGCCGCACTCGGCTAACAAAGGAATGCGCCATGTAGATCCATAGCCTAGCCTGCTGAGAGGAAAGCATGCAACATGTGTAATAGCAAGTTCTTTTTTTCCACCTGTCTGCGTAGAATCTGATGCGAAAGGAGCAGATAGAACAAGCAAAAATCGCGCGATATCGTGATCGTGACATCAGCCATTGGGTCTGCAGCGGAGGAGGTTGGTTCGCTGTCAAGGAACCTCTCGTGTCATATATCAAGGTTAGCTTCAGCCTGGCCTTTCGCAAAGATCGATGTCAAGAATCCTGCTTGCAGAGAATGTTACGTCGCTTCAAGCCCATCAAAGTGAGCAAATATTGAAAACAAGAATTCTTATTTACTAGGCCATACTGACGCTCCATACATCCCCTTACATATCTCCAATAGCCTTCCAAGAGAGATGTAGTCGCTCATCTCCAACCGTAATTACTAAGTGGCAAAGAGAAGTAGACTTGTCCATATCGCTTAGCAGCCTTGACGGCCAAGAGCTCGGAAAACATCGATACAGGCAGCACCAGTGTACAAGTTGTCGGCCTGGCCCTCAGGGCAGGAGCAAGAGGGGTCGATGAAAGCAGGGGTGCCAGAGCCGTCTGCATGAGAGTCGCCACAGATGTTGGCGCAACGACCCTTTTGATACTCGCAAGAGATGGCACCTCCAGCGCAGATTCGCTTGCCGTTAGGTCCAGTCTTCTGAGAAGCAGCACCGAGGGCGAGGATAGCGATAGAGAGGATGGTGGTGAGCTGCATGTTGGCGTTGGGAAGTTGTTTGGCTTCGGTGGGGAATTGTTGTAGAGTTGCTATAAACAACGATTAGCAGGAGACATCGAGACATGAAGTTAATCATTCGTACGATTTTGATCCTAGGGAAGGGTGACTAAGTGATTGAATCGATGATTTGATGACTGAGTGCGGCGGATAATCAAAATGGTGGGAGGGAGATGAAGGCATTTATACTTCTCCGTGAGAGACAACTCCTATCACTATCTTGATACTGACAGTATGGCTATGCTCCAAAGGACCGGATGACGATACCGCCAAACCAAAGACCCCAAGCTGTAGTTGTACAGAAGGTCCGGATCTCGGTGGGATTCGTATTCCAATCTCTTGGTGGTTTGGCAGGTGCTAACATGCTCTGCGGCTTCGCCGTATGCCAATCCAAGTTGACGTTGGAACAGAGCTGCGCATTCGACACCCATTGCCGATCGGTCGTGTATCGTACGCAGTCGCGGCTTCACCGTAAACTGGCCTTACTCTATAGAGGTCTTAAAAGGACGCACGGTACATACATCATACCTTGTAGAGCGAGCCAAGATAAGACCTCCACTGTAGGGTCGCGTTAATACTAGGAATTCATTACCAGGTCTGGGGAACTGAGCTAGGCGCTTTAGAGTCAGGAGAAGACACCGGCTAGACACTTGAAGGACCACGTGCAAGAACCACATGCTGTGGTCATCTTCAAAATTCGCAAGATTCCACAGAGATTTTCGACCCAATGTACCTAGGAATTCGAGCAACCTGTATTACACGGCGACTGCGACGGCAGTTTCGCGCGGAAGGCAGGGATTGCCACGACAGTCGCATCCTGCGCTAGATCGAGTAGAATGAAGCATGAGACTGAGGACGTCTCCATACTGGTAAGCCGGTGTGAGGTTCCAAGCTCTAGGTAACCCTGGGATTATTCGCTAGTACTGGTATCCGTGCTGTGATTGTACCTGGTACCTTGGCAACGGCCCTGACATGCTCTAGTTGCCTGGCATCATAGTGCTCTCTTTCTCCCTCATCATCAACGCCTATATCGATCTATCTCCTCTGGCCCAATTGAGATCTATCTGATGTGTTGGACCATGCCGCAGCCGATGAGCTATGCTGCTCACGTTGATAAGCGACAGCAAGCAAGGCGGTCAACAGACACGGGGATAACCTAGCAGCAATGAATACGTCACCAGACAATCAAGCACTGCAATCGGCAGAGCTTCCTTTTGAATCTAGGTATTCCCAACCGCATCGGTCAGTATCAACTGTCCGACAAGATAAATAAGCAGGCAATCTGAAACGCGCCCTGTCTTCTACATCGTGGTAGAGCAAGTGCGTTGCTTAGCCGTCAGCACTTAGCTTTTTTTATGTTGCGACACGAAACATGCACGATCGGCATTGGGCACTAAACCAGATGCGGATGCCGAGCGTGCACGGGTGAGCGCTCACATTCTCCTCACAAGGCCAGCGAGGGATTTCGACTTCAGTCGACTCAACGCTCCAGCATCCAGCTTTTGCGATCGACAAGGCTACAGCCCTTCATGCCAACTGTTGTACGAACAAATCACCGTAAGAATTTGCTAGTTCCACCGAGCGCGAAACACTGTGCAGGGATGCGCAACGGCAATGCCCGCCTCACCCACGCCCCATATTGTGCTCGTGCATGCAACAAACGTGTTCGAGTAATGGGAACCTCGATATCATAGAGTTTGTACGAGGCTAGAGTTGTACGGCCACATAAAATAGCGATCCACAAGAAGCTCGGTGAAGTGCACTCTTTGTCCCTCGTCAGGCATCGAGTCCGTTTAGATGATACTCAGGTAGTGATTATCCGCTCCCCAGCAACACTACGCGCCTCGAGTATCCCATCGAAGGCGCGAGAGCGGTTGGAGTGACTAGGTTTTGTTATATCAAAGGCTATCTTGTCATACGTGTGTAGAGACAGAGCTTCCGCACCGTTGAATTCTCATAGTTCGCCTCTCGGAAGCTTCATCAACTCCCTCACTGTCGCTTTCGCTGTCTTCGCTTGTTGACTGAGCTACCACGAAGCGTGTTGTGTTCATGTCCATGGACCAGCGGCTGCATGAACATCACACAGCCTTGCTGCAAAATCGCATTCTCTGTGTCAATCCCATCCGTGTCAATCCCAAGGTCTGGATGCTTGACGTGTTGTGACATGTTATAATTGTTCCCATTCCTGTTGGACATCTCAGGTATCTTTTGCTGCCCACAAGACCAGGCTTGCGATATCAAGCCTCACAATCACTTCGGGAGATCTGAATCCGATAGTTGATGAGGCATGCTGGCTTTGCTTGGACGAGCGTGATCACTGTATCCCCAGCTATGCGGTGCTGGAGACCTGGCTTTGTATTAATTACTGCCCTTGGTTCTCCATATCATATCAGTGCACGTAGTGAGCGAAGTCGAGCAAAGGTCTTAACAAGATAGAGGCTCTAAGGAGAGAAATGTCGTGAAGGCTCGCATGACGACTGGGTGGCGGATATTACGAAAGGTTTTAGTTCTGCAGTAATCGTTCCCCCTTCCTTACGGGATACGCAGATACTCAGACCAGCGTGATCACCCTCTCTTCTGCGACGTAATGTGCTTCGAGGATCCGACCGACTGCATTGGAACCTCCGAACCGAATGAGTCCTGCTCTCTCGAATGTACTATCATTTTTTGTTTGGAGAAAGAGTGCTTCTGCACTGTCAGACTCCACCCATGATATCTGTGGATTTATCTGTGGATTTTCGGTAACCTCAACGAATTCTTTGTCATCGGGTTTTTCTTCCTTGTCATTTATCTCTCCTCCCTGGCTCTCGAAGGTTCCGGTCTTATGATCTGCTTTAGAATGCTGGCCGTGAACACATTGTTGTAAAACAACAATGTAGCCGTATTGTGGATCTGGTTGTCCTGTACCTAGGTAGGTATCTTGTCTATCCAAGTCGAATTCCATGTCTCGGTCAGAGAATTCTTGCAGTACACCTGGGTGCTCCTCACGACTATCCAATAATCTGAATTTACCAAAACAGCGGATATCGTCGCGGAGCGGAAACTCAAGGCCGGCCCAAGCCGTGAAAGTGGCTTGCAACGGCCTACATCTGATTGATATTGACGCACGCTTCAACTCGCCAGAGGTTTCAGCTTCCACCTTAGTCTCAACAAGTTCAGCCTCCGTATGTCGCGTTTTGTGGTTCCAATGAAACTTGGTCAACAAGCTTCGGCGTATGCTGTGGTCTTGACAAGCCCAACTCCATGTGGGCGCTATCCATATTTTCGTTTGGGAGACTGTATTTTCTCGATGCCAGTATAGCTGTTCTTCTCGACGGCAGCTTATTTCTTTCCTTCGATACCAGCATAGCTCTTCGATTATGTGACCAAGCCACAGACCAGCAACAAGCTCATCCCCTGTTGCTCGGGATATCCATCTCGCGATGCCATTGATAGCTACAAGCTTATCGGCGGAGTGAGTGAGCACGCATCTTGCATACTGGTCTCGAAACGTAAGCCACTCCATATAGGTAGCTTTGTCCAGAGCTTTAGCGGAAAGCCAAGGGTTTGAACTGTCGGATAGGTCATCTTTGCTTTGATGCATGATTTTGCAGACTCGGTTCTTCAGTGAAGTAGCGTCCCAACGCCAGAATGCTTGCGCCCAAGGTGGAAGATTGTCGGGGTAGGTTTCGCACGCCATACATTTGTTGCACTCCCAGAAGAGTTGCGTACTCGTGAAGTGCAAGATTCGTTGCGAAAGCTGTCGCTCCTGACATACCCAAGCTCTTTTACTCAGCGGCGCGCGCTCGACGCAAGATTGGGCCAAGTGGTGAACATCGCACAAATAGTTTCCTACTAGCGGAAACCCTGATACCTTATCTTTCAGCCAGTCCGCTTTCTCGTCGAAGTTGAATTCCAAAACTCTTGGTACGTGTAATTGTGGGGTTCTTTCGAAAAACAGGCCTTCACTGCTGTTTCTTGCCGCAGTTGCCGCAATAGTGCAAGCCGCATTTGCATAGACATCTCCCATTCTACTAGACTCATAGGCCCAGTCATCTTTGTCATCTTGGAAGATGCACCTGCGAAGGTAAGTTCAAGTATACATATCTACAACAAGGGCTACATACAATGAATCAATCCAAATATACTGGATCTCAAGGCGTCGGGCGAGCGTTATGGAGTCTTGAAACGTCTTTGGTAGAGCTTCAAGATGCACCCCTGCAACGAGTGTACAGTACGTCGTTTTGTTGAGTGCCAGCGGTTTCGTGTCCCCCCAACAGTGAGATAGACATACATAATCTTCGTTGGATAACAGTTCAGTACTACAAAGCACAATTAAGCTGTGCTGAGCAAGCCCAATGTTCAAAAGTCTTGAAGGGTAGATGCTGTGAGACGAGGACTTCGGAGGATTGCATTGCAAGTGTGATTGGCGGCAGTGCTGGTATTTTCTGAGAAGAAACCCCCAGGTAGACTCTGATCGGCTGTTTAATGAAAGGTCTTTCGATATCGTCAGTTCGTTTGTGTCAGTGATGAAGTTAGTGTCTATGTGTTATATTTCGTAACAAACTCACTAGTCCAAGGTATGAGAACGATGTCATTGCCTTCGTATGAAATCGTATCATGGTGATTTGATTGAAAGCTTAGGATTCTTCCGCCGTCTTCTGTCAGAAAGTAGAACCCGCTCAGCGCTGACCATGTTTGTAAAGAAGGGACGGTTTGGGTATTGTTCCACGCTAAGCTACAAATCGAACAAGGTAGGCGCATTGCCGTCGCGAAGGATTCGAAAGTTTCGTGATGATTGAATGTTACGAACCATCGATCTTCTTTGATCAATGAGATATTTCCAACGAGTAGCCGACGACAAGGTTCACAATACAGCTTTCCTGACATTATAGTTACCCAGTGGGATACTTTCGGCTAGCAAGTAACAAGAGATGAACTTTTCAGTCGAATGTGGGTAGGGACAAGTACATGTTGACACTGCTACATAGCGAGTTATCTGGATAGCCCCGCATGACATCATGGGACCTGAGAAATGAGTAAGCTCGGCTTGGGATGCTTTGCATGTGTCGTGCCACCATTCCGCGTTGCGCGTCCTTCTATTGGCTATCCTATTACCCACTTGCAAAAACGACCCGTTCACAAGCGGCCAACGATACTATACATTTCAGCTTCTCGCGCTGACCATAAATCAACAGAATGGCAGCAGCACGATAGAAGCTGTGATCAATGAAGACGTGCGAAACTGTTTCTAAACTTGGCGGGTCTCCTAGCTACTCATATATCGAGCCCAGAGCCCGGCTGTGTCTAGCACTCCAGTAATACGATTCAACGCCGATGGCTTCCTCAGGAATGATATCAAGCTGTTCGCGGCTAACAGACTTTTCGGCGACCCCCTAAGAATTGTATGCCTCGCCATACCTATCATCGCAAACAGCAGGCTCTATGTCAGTCTCTTCTTACTTCCCATCTTCTCTCGATCGTGATGGCATAATTTGAGTTGGCTGGTACTTGTTTGTGATGACCGCATGCAGATGAGACACGAACTATTTGCGAAGCCTTGATAGGCTGTAGCTCGATTTGTGAAGAAGCGTCCTTGTCATCCATCAGTTCCGAGAACGTGGCGGTCGGGTCAATATCAGGTGCTCTGCCTCCTTTCTTCGAGAAAAGACTGATGTGCGTGCTACTTCCGTAAGAAAAGCTGGAGTTGGCGGCGTTCCTTGTCTTGCTGAACAAAGGACGCATGAGCGGAATGCACGCCAGAACGATTGCGACAGCAGGCTCCAGTCCAGAAAGTATTGTGGCGAGCACACCTTCGTACGTCATATCCGTGAAGTCTAGATTGGGTAGCAATGTTTGTCGGTATATGGTGATGGCCCAGGTTCTGCCTCATATGTGAGCATCTCAAGATCAACAAGGAAATAATGAAATCCTCGGTCATGTGTACTCACCCGACTCCAATGCTGAGTAAAGCCATAACGGCTAGCTTCCTGCGCCAGGCTATCCGTAATTTGTACAGATATGGCATGGGCAATGCGATGATCACAGCATCTGTGATGAGATTGACGATCCCCATTGAGAAGTAAAAAGACGGTTGACTTCCGCAAGTCCCCGGTAATGCGAAGTTCCAGTTTTTGGCAAGTGGTCGGCATATCAGAAAAGCAGCGAGTATGTTGGCGATGTTCCACATTACAACCAGAGCGCCGAGAGTGCGTGCCCACTGCAACATAGATGACATCGGTATGAGTGCAGCATACATGGATAAAATCGATAGTTTGCTGAAACACACGGTGGCATTCCAAAGTATCGAGAAGGACATTATTCCCTATAATGGAAAGAGAGTTAGAAATCTGGATTCGGGAAAGGCTATTTCTTGGTCTTACCTTGAAGAAGAAGGTTGCCGTCTCAGGTCCGAAACGGTGATAGATCTCTGTTGTGTGGAATCCAAAACCGCCATATGTGACTAGTGAGATGCAGCACGCGTGCATTACAGTATTCCATAGCTGGTAGATGTTTTCAGAAACAGAACGGCTGCCTTTTACATTATTTGACTTACTGCGGCGGCGACAATACAGTAGTCACTATAATCAATCCTGTTCCCGATCTTTTTGGCGACGATCCGCAGACCCACAGCGACTATGACTATTAGGATGGAGATTGAAGAAGTCACCAGAACGCCGACTTGTTGTCCATTTTCGATGGGTATCGTTTCTGCCGTCATGGAATGAATCTGCTTCCCAAGTCCGCTGCATGAATATGCCCAAGGGGCGAAAGGGCTCGAACAGGTGGACCTAGCCTCCTATATGTACGCAATGAGCATGAACGACAGCTACAAGGTTACTTCCCCGGCATGCACGTACAGCTTTGACCTCGCTATATCCTAAAAGAGGTAACCCTTTTCATGACCTAGAACACTGAGGCGGCTCGTGATCCCGTCAGATTGGATTGGCAATGAGCAGCGGTATGTGGTACTCCTTCGGAGCAAAAATGCCAGTGGAAGCGCCACCTCAGACTACATCATTGCAATTGATAGTATCGCGTTGATTCTGCTCTTGTTGTATCCATGATCTGAAGGCGCAACCTGTGGCATTCGGTCGTCAGCGCATCCACAAGTCAGGCCTACAGACCTTTTGCATGACTAACGACGTATTGCAATACACCTGTAGAATTCATAGTCAGTCTATCGCTAACGCTGCAGTACTAGGTATTTGTTCGACCATCAAGCATGATTGCTTCGCCACGAGAGGCGCGGCAAGAAAAGCGTCCCGTCTGACAGGCAATATCTGTAGCGCAGGAACACTTTCCCTGTACAAATGTATCACAATCCTTCGCGCTGAATCCTACTGTCGGCACTGCGGAGTCACGTCTGAGCACACGTAGCGTGGCCGCACCCGCTTTTCGGCAAGCTGGTTGTGGACCACGCCGTAATGCCAAGGTGGCGCGGTTGCGGACGATCCACGTCGTTGGAATCGCCCATCTTTGCTGCATGCCATCGTTTCCACGACCGTTTAATAGATGACATCGGCACTGGAATCTTTCATGACGAGAGGGATTTAAGGCTGCATCGTGAAGCATCAACTTGCGGAAACTTTGGCAAGTGCTTCTACACTGATTCTTGCGAGCGTTCATGCCAAACACCTGGTACGGCAACGAAGAAGCGCTAGTCGCGCTAATAGCTGCAAGTTCGTGTAACGGCTCGGGAAAAAGGCGAAATTAAGCAACTACTTCTGTCTCGAACATCGAGTTAGCTTCTTGGGATGCAATGTGGGAAGCGTCATGCCCCAGTGCTGGACAGAGACGAGCGTCTTCGTTCAGACAATTGGCGAGGTATGCGGCTAGATACAACCGTCCCGCTCTTTCAAATATGATCAATCTCCCCTCAGAAACGCACCACATCTATCTCTCGAAGACTGAGACTTGACGACATGGGCTCCGTCTCGCAGAACGAGCGAGAAGTCGCGATCATTACCGGTGCCACGGTCAGTCACGTCGCATGGATGTAAATAATGAGATCGTTAACAGAACCCGATAGAGTGGCATCGGTTCCTGGCTAGCAGCTCATCTGCATGCGAAAGGGTACTGCGTCGCAGTTTGTGGTCGACGAGAGAGTGAAGGACACAACGTCGCCTCATCGATTGACCCAAAAGAAGAGACAGCCATCTTCGTTCAATGCGACGTAGGCTCCTACTCTTCGCAAGTCAACCTCTTCAAGACTGTCTGGGAGAAGTGGGGTCGTCTTGACGTTCTGATCGCAAACGCTGGCTTTGTTGATCGCGGTTCCGTTTTCAACTTCAAATACCGTGATGCAGCCATCAACAGTCCACCTCCAGAACCGGATACCAGCTGCACCGACGTGGTGGTGAAAGGAAGAATATATGGCACAACACTGGCGACGCACTACATGCGCAACAATCCAGGGCGGAAGGGCGGTAAGATTATCACTACAGGTAGCATGCTAGGTGTGTACGCATGCCATACTTTCCCGGAGTATTGCGCGGCCGAGGCAGCGTCGGTCATGTGGGCGAAGACTACTGGACCCGTTCTGCTGGCCAAGGATAACATCTCCGTCAACTCTGTGATGCTGGGCCCAATCGAGACTGAAGCTATGCCTGGATTTAGCAAAGCTTTCCATCCTGAACAATTGATGACGAAGTCGACACTCTTCGCTGGCTACGACTACTTCCTTGACGGCAAGGAAAATCTCAGGACAGGTGAAACCATCGAGGTGGCGCACGACAAACTTGTAGACTGGGGTCATCCGGGCTACAAGAGCGGAGCATTTTCGAAGCGCTCAGAGGCCGTATTCGAGCCATGGTTCAATCTGGTGCATGGAGAAGAGAGTGGATTGGCTGGTACACTCAAGGATTGGCCTGACCATAGTAAGAAGATCATCGCTGTCACAGGTGCGACAGGAAGCCAAGGCGGTGGAGTTGTCAATATTATGAAGAAGAACCCTGGATGGAAGGTCAGAGCGATTACCAGGAATCTAGACAGTGATGCGGCGAGAAAGCTTACAGCTGAGGGCATCGAGGTTGTGAAGGCTGATTTTGAGGATGAGGCGTCCCTGCGAGTCGCCTTTGAAGGTGCACATGCCGTATTTGCTGTCACGAACTGGTGGGAATCGCTCTTCCAGGGTAAAAGCCAGCACGAGTCTGGTGAGATCGAAGAGCGACATGGCATGAATCTTGCTCGAGCTGCTGCCGCCACTCGTACTGTAGACCACTACATCTGGTCAACAACTCCAAGTGCCAAGCGCCGGTTCTGGGGCAAGCTAGAAGCACCACATATGGACTATAAGGCCAATGTCGACAGACGCATTAAAGCGGAGTTGCCCCAGCTTGCTGCTATCACTACTTATTTGTACTTCGGGTACTACCCTCAAAACATGGCCTTCTTTCCATTGTGTAAACCAATCGAATACGTACGTCAAATTTAGCCCTCGTTGTACGACGCATCCTACTGACATAGCACATAGCCCGGCACCGGCCAGTACATTCAGACTCTACCTACCAAAGCCGATGCTAAAGTGCTCGTGGCCGGCGACATGACTGTCAATCCCGGTATCTGGGTTCGTCAAGCCCTTGCCACTGGCGGTAAGGCTTACGGTAGATACGCCAACGTCGCACTAGAGAAGTTGACGTTCCAAGAGATGGTCGATGTATGGTCGGAAGTGACTGGCAAGAGCTGTGTGTTTGCTGAAATCAGCATGGAGACAGTAACGAAGCTGTACGGCGATATGGGCAATGAATTAGCGAAGCAATTCAAGTATGGAGAGGCGTGCGACCCGTGGGAGGTCACCGAAGAGTTCATCAGTCCAGATGAGCTGGGTATCGACCCTGGAGAAGTCGTCGGGTTCAGAGGGACAATCGAAGGACTCAAGGCTGCCGGGTTTTGGGCTTGATTCGAGTATGTCAATCGGACATTTGCGCTTGTCCAGTTTCGTAATGGATATCATCTGCATTAGAAGTCTGCTGCCATTGAATAGAGCTGCGAGGAGAAAAAACAGTGGACGCGACAGATGTTGAGGCCGTTCTTTCGAGTGTAGAGGGGCTGCCGCGTATGGGCCGTTGCCAATCTAGTCATAGCGTCAGCGTGATAGCAGACTGCATGAGAAGATGCAAAAAACAGTATCGTAAGTAGTAGGTCGAGAAAGGCCGCTCATTATGTGTTACCCTACATCCATCATGAGGCTTCAAGAGTGGGATTGCAAACCCTAAGTGCAGATATATAAAGAGCAGGGTCACAGACTTCGTCTTTCCATAAAATCGTTGAAAGGGAGATCTAGAGATGGTAGAAGCCATCCCATGATCTCGGCAGCATTTCTTACGACTTCGATGAGGCTATTGGTGCCTGTACAGTCGAGGGGGTGAAGACTTGCTGTCGTGTACGGAAAACCCTTCTTGCGTGCGGGCTCCCGTTCGCGAGCCGCAGCGCCGATCAGTGACATCTCAGTGCACGTATCGGAAGGCTTGTAAAAGATACGAGAATCAGCGCGACATCGTATTGTCAGTCCCGAACATGAAGACACATGACGGTGTTAGTGTAGGTACAGATGCAGCGGCGGCAGCGGCCCCTGTCGAGACTGGCCGAAGTGCCGACCCCCGCATGCAAGCACGCAAGACCTCACTGAGATGGCAAGTTTCGTACAACCGCACCAATAAAGACGCTTGCGACCCCTGATACTCCTGAGCATACAACAACCCATCCACCTCACCCTGATCATGGCTGAATCACCTCCTATGGGCAATGCCCTCGATGCGATCGGCAACACTCCATGCGTACAGTTGCAACGAGTTGTACCAGATGGATGCGCGCGGGTCTTTGTAAAGCTTGAATCACTGAATCCGACGGGCTCCTACAAAGACCGTATGGCAAGATCCTTGATTGAAGAAGCAGAGCGGAGAGGTGATTTGCGACCCGGTATGACCATTGTAGAAGCTACTGGAGGCAGTACCGGCTCCTAGCTCGCTTTTGTTTGTGCTGTCAAGGGCTATAAATTCCACGTTGTATCGTCCAACGCCTACGCGGTCGACAAGCTACGAGCGATGGCAGCGTTCGGCGCTGAAGTGGATCTGGTCAACAGCCCTTCTGGTCGCATCACAGCAGACTTGATTCCATCGATGATAGAACGTGCAAGGACGATTGCTCAGGGCGACACTTACTATCCCACCGACCAATTCAACAACGCTGACGCTTATGTTGGCTACAAAGCACTCGGGCTGGAGCTGGTTCATCAATTTCCGAACGGCATTGACGGGTTCTGCGCAGCCGTTGGTACAGCTGGTATGATCATGGGCGTGTCGAAAATTTTGAAGGAACGGTGGCCAAAAACTTATGTTCGAATCCTTGAGCCAGCAACTGCGCCCACTATTACCGAGGGGCGGAGTGGTGTGCATGGCGTTGAGGGCATAGGAATTGGATACATGCCGCCTCTTCTCGAGAAGGACCTCTATGACGACGCACGCGCAGTCCCGGAGGACGAAGGTCGTGCAATGTGTCGACGTCTTGCGAAGGAGGAAGGACTCCTTGTCGGTACATCCACCGGTCTCAACGTGACAGCTGCCATTGCGCTAGCAAAGCAACTGGGATCCGACAAGACGGTAGTAACGGTCGCGTGCGATACGGGACTTAAGTACATGCATAGAGATCTGTATGAGTAATGCAGTCTCTTTGCCTAAAATGCGATGCCCGATGTTGCCATCGGACGGCGTGCGAAGGGAGAAGTGGGTCAAAATTTCGGAGCCGAGGTGATCACGGTAGGTAACCTTTCGCATTATCCAAATTCTTCTAAATTTGGGACTACAAAGAAAGATAGTTACCTAAAGAGTGTGACCTAACCTAGAACGACGGTCGGTGGAGGCAGGCCGACAAAAGGAAAATTGAAAATACTTTAGCATTAACGGATACCCCAGCACAACTTCTAGGACACGGTTCGGTTTCTGAACATCGGACGATCTGATATGCATGAATTTGGCTCCGACTTGTCTGAAACAAGTCAGTCCACACATGCAATTCCCAGACTATGATGCGATTAAGTTAGACGGACCGAACATAACGTTATTCTACGAGCGCATAATGATATGTATACTTCGATTTGCCTGCTTGCCTCCTATATTCCCCCCTACAATCCATCCTCTTCTATGCAGAACCAACATTCTATTACTGTTCTTACTCTCAACATGGATTCCATCCATACCAAAACTCGACAATGGCGGAAGCCTTTAATTTGGTCAGCATCGTTGGCAGTTGTCGTTATCGCCTTTGCGGGATCATATCTTCACCAGCGTCCGGAGAAAGGAACTCCTCGTTTCGACTTTGACCCGCGCTTCAAAATTCCCTCGCCTCCAGTAGATACGCCTTACTCAGACAAGGGTAATATGATAGCCATGGTTCTGACAGGAGTCAGTTGCCTTTTCGCAGTCGCATGTGGTGTTCGTGACGCCCGAATCACGCGCTCATTGTTACCGTTTGTCTTGCCTTTGAGTTGCGGCATGAATGTACTTTCAGAAACTATGATCGATAGATTAGGAGCTATCTATTACCCTTGGCTCGAGAACTATGTTTCGTCCCATATTCTAGGACGCGAGATCGTCCATTGGACCCCAATCTGGTTCGGTTACGCGTTGGTAATGCACCTGGGGCTCCAACTGCTGCATAAGAACGCGAAAACTCTGGATTGACGATGATCTTGGATCTGGTTCTCGAAAGAATCCTGCTTCCATTGGGGATATACGATTACTATAGAAACCACCCTCTTATCGTACTGAACAAATTCCCTTGGTGGTGGATGGGGCCAAATGCCGTCGCAGTATTCTTGCCGACGGCTCTTGCGTATTGCCTGCGATATCTTTTGGTCCGCTGGAAATCTCTCGCCGTATTCCTCCTTACGCCAATGTCGGTTTGTGCAGCATACGGTCTGGTCGCTTTTCCAGCTTGGACTGTCATCAACGACGATGATAGTTGGTTTGTGAGGGACTTTCTCGGTGTCCTAATTTTGCTCCTCGCACCCATCGTGTTCTGTGGCATCTTAGAGATCGTATTGGGAAGGCACCCGCTCGATATGGACGGGACTGGGAACTCTGATCAGATGCCACCGACTCCGGAAGAGAACATCGGTACATATTGGGATGACTGCTAGAGTATCGTGCTGTCAGTCTCAGAGGATGTTCAACTAGTGCAATGTGCCCAGGAGTACTCTACTTGAACCGTAGGTTGTTGAGGAAAGGAGCGGTTGCAAACATGAGTTATCTGCCTGCCCTATTCGCTTTCTAGTTCGCAAAGAGGGACTAAGATCTTAAAGATGCTGACGGGCTTCACGTTCGAATCATTTACGATGTTGGGTGCACACTGCTTCGAGGACTTGGGGCTGATTGTTTAGCATTGCACCCGCAAATAGATCGGTGTTGCAGCGTTCGCGTCATTGTTGTCTTCCAGCGCTTCTATTACGACCATGTTCGGAACTCTGCCTCACCCTGACCTATGAAGATCCTTTTACTGTTCCCTCAATTTAGACATCATTGCAGTTCCCACCCCACAGCAAGTCCTCTCCGTTCGGGCCCTGTGGCCCTGTACTCCTGCAGCAAGGAGCCCAAGCATTGATCATTTGGTTCAGCGTAAAGCCCAACCCATCTGTCTGCAATCGACATTCGCCGTTCCTACCATCCCAACTACCAGGTCGGTCCCTTCCGTCGGGGAAAGTCACCCCGGAGGTGTCAGTGCAGCAGATATTAGCGAATCTGTCTGGATTGAGCTCGGCTGGCCCAGTGCAGTAGCAAGCGACATTAGCCTAAGTAGATCATTAGCCACGTTCTTCAAATGTGGGTTCGCAAGAGGTTTTGAGTGATAACTTGCCTGCGCGATACCTGCGAGGACGAGGACAGTGGCGGCAAGTGTAAACTTCATGATTGTGTAAGAGTGTTTTCTCGGTCTGTTATAGGAGTCGCAATTCAGTGAAGACAGTTAGCCAGATGTTCAGGCGGAGTAGAGCAATGCTTTATAGGCTTTCTCTACAGCCTCAAAACTGGTAGCATCTTTGGATGCGCCAGACTATCCGCAAGCTGCCTAAGTCTGACGTGAGGAATGGTCTGTTAAGAGGGCGTACCCAATTTCGGCCGTAAATCATATTTACGAATTGTTGATGTGGTTTAGATTCCGGACGTTGCTCCAGTATGCGACTTTCCAGAGACATATACCAAGTCGCGTTACGCTACCTTACACTGTGTTTGAGTGTTCTGGCCTCTTTGGCTGCGCAGTTAACTGGTTCTCAAAGCTTTTCCCACGTCTTTTCGTCTGTTACTGCGCGATCGGTGTATCATGTCCGACAAAGATGTCTTTTGCAGGTGCATGGTTGTTTCTGTATGTTAGTGCTTATAGGACAGGAGAAGCTACCACGGCAAGGATATGGCTGTGGCTTAGCAGAGGTCCGCAGCATTCCGCGTCTTGGTAATGTAATAGGTCATTACGTGTCACACATCCTGGTTGCGAAGAAGGAGAGACATAATAGTTCCAGTCCAGGTCGTACTTCCGTTGCCAATGTCGACGCGTCACTAGCGTGTCATTGGCGCGCTGACATATACATACTTCGGGCTCACCAAGAGACGGACACGGCCCCGTCAAACATTCCACGACCACCCATCTCGAAAATCTTGACGCGACACTGATTACAGCAGACCGTTTTGGATTGGAACTGCTCACCAGCACCCGGCTGCCGCGGCGGCTGGAAGCCTGTCGCGCTAGGACTTGCTCGAGAGGGTGAATGAAGACCGATGCTAGGGCAGGGTCATTGGGAATAGTGCCTGTCAAGAGCACTTATAGCAGAGTATTCGAAGCGGAATTACTATGGGGAAATGCTGGTGGTATAATGGACACACAAGTAGTCCTCAGATGAATGAACATGTTCGACGAAGACGAACTCGCCGGAACCGATGACGTCGACCAGCATGCGTAGAGGGAACGGCAGAGCTGGGAAGCGCATGCGCATCACGCCCTTCATACGATATTTTGCGACATGTCGCGCATAGTTCTATGTACATGGGTAACGGTCCCAACGCCAGAGAATTATCGAGCGATCTTGCGGCCGCGCATCTCAGCCGCGGGTGTTACTTGAGCCAGCTCCTCGAGGATTTGTCCCGCACAGTCTACCATTCGCTTTGCCGAAGGGCCTGGGAGCCACCTATACGATCCCGGAACACCAAGATCGTGGTTACACAGCAGGACATCGGTTACACAAGCTCATGGCTAGTCTGCAGAGTTCAGTCTAGCGTGGTCCGCCTCTTTACCCGCTCCCGTGCTGACGTCCGGCGGCACTGCTTACGCATCATATGTATGGTGTATCTATTGGTCAAAACAACTGTATGAGCTTCGGAAACCTTCCTCATTGATCTAATATGACGTTCGCGCATACATCCGCTGAAGGTACACTTCAAAACGATCCCCCCCCTTCGATGTTTGCTCTGTGAGCAACACCTAGGGAGTTTATGTTCTTTTGCCTCAGAATGAAGACATATAGAACACTGCCTGTTGTATTCGCACTGATAACAGCGTTTGTAGCCTACGGCAGTGGATTATCTACGCGGGATGAGATCGCTCAGTCTATCTCTCAGCGTGCCAGAGCTGGTACCCGCCTCGTACTTGCAAGAACTATCGCAACGCTACTGATAGTCTCATCTAGACTCTGTCAAGCTTGAAGCCATTCCGAATTCTGCTTTGACTTCTGCTCTTGAGAGCATCGCCGCTACGTATCTGGATGCCGAAGCACCCAAGCTCGCGCAGCACAGTGTTTCGAATCTCACCAACATCATTGACGTTCATGGTACGCCCCGCTTCGAAGTCTTGAACGGACATCTAACAGACTCTCATAGCGCATTGTGTACCTGACTGGTTTCGTGCAATCGCTCCCACAGCCGGCGGAAATCCGACGCCGTCATGGAATATCACTGCGCATCTTGACTTCATGGCCAGCCAAGGCATCTCACACTCTGTTCTGGCCTTCTCATCGCCCGGTGCGAACGTTTACCCAGGCGATCAAGCTGCCACCGCAGCGCTTGCTAGGCTAATCAACGAGCAGTCTGCAGCGTACGCTCGAGCCTACCCAAGCCGCTTCTCTTTCTACGCTGTCGTTCCGCTACCATACACACAGGCCGCTATCGCAGAAGCGGTGTATGCGCTCGATACGCTCGGAGCTGCCGGCATTGCCCTTTACTCCAACTTTGAGGGTCTATATGTCGGCGATCGAACCTTTATGCCTTTCTTCGAAGCGATGAACGCGCGCGATTCAGGCCAGATCATATATATACACCCCACAACACCATACATGCGTGTGAACGGCTCACTGGTGGAAGCAAACCCTACTACGTACCCGACTGGCAATATCGAGTTCTACTTCGAAACAGCACGCGTGCTTCAAGATCTCGCAGTCACGCAGACGATCCTGAATTTCACGAATATCGACTATGTTATACCACACGTTGGTGGTGCATTCCCCTCCGTTGCAGATCGGTTGTTGAAGTCGTTTCCAGCCATCTACAACCGCACGATGGATGCCTTGCAGACGCGCTTCTTTTGGGATTCAGCGGGGCCAACATATTTCCACCAAATTGGTGGTCTTCTTGCGTATGACATACCAACGACAAATCTCTTGTTTGGTACGGACTTCCCGTACGCGCCAATCTTCACCTATGCCCCGTCCCTGCTAGGCATTGAGACCTCGACATTTGTGACCGATGCGGAGCGTTCAGGGATCTTCTTTCGCAATGCGCAACGGCTCTTTCACGGCCGCTTCTCTTTTTGAGTGGTTACATAATGGCCACTCGTATACGCGTTGGTTCTCATAGACAGAAGTGTTTGAAACCACACTCCGCTATGTGCTATGAATTTTGTAGCAACTGAGTTAGCCTTGGTAGTATCAATCGCTACATTGTACTGAGTCCACGGTCCATTAGATACTGCGTTTGAGGGTTGTCGCGCATCGTTTGTCGCCGCGCTCGCTTCTGTGTGAGGCACATCTTTCCTACTATGCGGCTGAAAGCTGCGGTCTACTCTGAGAACGAACACCGTACTTCCTCTGATGCTGCCCGCAACGTGGCTCCTTCCATCGACCGTGCGCATCACTTTTGCCCAGTTGTATATCCGATCTCAACACTCTGTTCGCAGCTCGAGGTGTGCTATGTGCATGTTCTACAGTCCTTGCGCGGGACACTGCTGATGATGATCGCGGTGGCGTGTTGGTGCTAGAAGCAGCACCATTCATTCATCCTCAGATGGGTGTGTTACGTGATGAGAGAGGTGCTCTTCCACAAGGAAAGATATGATGATCTGTTCGCTTATGCAAGCTCTTCATCTCGCTTCGAATTTTACTGTCGCGAAGAGGTGTGGTGCCTTTGGATTTTTGTTTTCCTGTATCCATTCCACGGCACTCTCCCAGCGCATTTCTAGTTCACTTTCCTCGAGACCGAGTTCGTAAAATTCGTCTTCGGGTATGGTTTGGTTTGCCCTGAGCCATAGCGTCATTCTTTCTCGATCGAAATCACCATCACGTTTCCGTTTCACAGCCCACTTATGGAAAGCCTGGCAGAAGGCTTCTCCAGTGCCAGTTGGATCAAACGACATCTTGATCGGTGTTTTGTCCCACCAACCGGTCACATGAAGTCGGCCGCTGGAGCCATCTTGAGTTGCAAGGGGGGTGATCGTTTGTGTTGGCTGACCACGGTCCACATGCTTCGGATGAGTAGCCGAAGCAGATGGGTCAGCCGTGTGCATACGTCGACTGTTGCGCATAGACTGCACGCATTCGTATGTTTGTTGAACAGCAGGCGGTGGTAGAGATGGTTGTTGATAAGCATACGTGGGCGCTGCAGGCGTATGCGGAAGTGGTGTTGGGTCAAGTTCTTCTACTCTTCCAAAGGTTTGTGGATAGTGTGCGTGTGATGATTGTGCATCATGAACATCTTTCGTCATTACAGACGGGTCAGTGTGTTAAACGCAGTTCCTGCAGATTGTAGTAGACTGACCTGAGGGAGATTGGGATTCCGTAGCTCCATCGAATCCCAGAACGACATCGCAGTCGAGCGATCTCGCTGACACGATGTAGAATGTGTCCAAGTTTGTTGAGTGCTCATTGCGGCGACGCCAGGTGAGGTTGACAGCAAACCTCACATTTTCCCATGTCTGGCAACCGGATGGATGATGTACAAGTACCAACTCATCCACCCCGAATCTACCCGCACCTAGGCCACGACCATATGCCACTTGAGCTTTGATCAAACTGCGTTTCCCTGATGCCCGTCTGGATAATACTGGCACATCTGTGCCTTCGTCATCACCTGACAGAATATAGATTTTTTCCATGCCCGCAGCAACCATGCTCGAAAAATGCGACGTAACTGAGCCCACGCTGGCGGACGGAGTATTCAAGTTGTGTCTGACACGTGAAGCATTCTGTTGAGCCATTCTGTTAGGTAGAGAAAAAGACCCCTGAGCCACAAGAATCTGAGGTGGTCTATCATAGTATTTAGACCATGGTCGAGTACCTGCGGCAACTTCATCCGGGTTCAAGTGTTGAGTATTGTGTGGGACATGCATGTGTTTGTATGGCTGTTGGAAATCATGGTGCGCCGGCAGGTACGACCGTTGATAAGAATTCGTTAATGTCATGGATGTGGGCGCAGTCGCTGTTGTCAGACCACTATCCTTGAGAAAGTCCTGCTTTGCTGAGCTTGTGTCGTAATTCCGCAAAGCATCATAAGATGCAACTCGTTCTAACATTAAGCCAGTGCTATTGTGGCACTGTTGGCATCGACGAATATCTCCGAAGGGGATGGCTGATAATTGTTGAAACACGTCAATGGCTGTTGGACGCTTCTGAGGTTCATGCTGCAACAGCGATAGAGGAAGCAGGATCCACTCCCTTGGAATTGACACTTGTTGCGCAATGTTTTTGGATGTTTCCAAAAGATTATTGGTCCACTGAATAGTTTTATGAAGGCTGGCGAAGTATGGGCGAAGATGTGGCCCCTCCGACCCACGAAAATTGGCAAATTCAACCAGCGACTCTCGAAGAAACACCGTAACCATTTCAACGAGGACGCAGCCGAGAGAGAAGATGTCTGCTGCACGTCCTCGGCGCGCGTGATCAGCCATGACTTCTGGAGCACTGTACAATTTAGTGCGAAGCACATCAGCACTCGTAGACCCTGTAGTGTCGTCATCGATGAGGTCTTTCGCGATGCCGAAGTCAGTAATCAAGATGTCCGGTCCTTTTATCAGAATATTCGCCGGCTTGATATCTTTATGTCGGATCTTTTGATCATGAATGTATGCCAGCGCGTGAGCCAGACATTGTGACCACTTTGGAAGTAGCTTCAACTCTTCCTCTGAACGGGTACCAGATATTTCGTCCTGTTCCATCCATTCATTGAGACTGATATCTGCGACTGGCGACATGATAATACCGAAATGTCTTTCGCAAAGATAAGTACTGATGACTTGCGTGATATGCATATGTTGTAGTCGTCTTACGATTGACACTTCATTATTGATGCTCTCCAATTGTGTCTTGCTTCGCCCCGATCGAATCCGGATATTCTTCCTGGCGAAGCATCGATCGTCACCATACTCATCTTTTTGTTTCACAAGGTCGACCCAGCCGAACGAGCCGTTTCCGAGGAAGCTTTGAGACACAAACGGGATGTCCGATTTACGCTCGTAGACGAAATGCGGCTCCACTTCGACCCAATCGGAAGACAATTTTGATGGTGTGGAGACTTCCAGAGTATGACGCCGGTACGGTTCTTCGCTCATTGTGACAAAGCTTCAAGTATGACACCAGATACCAGCCTTAGATCAGACTCGGCCAGTTATAGAGGGGTTAGGGTTCAGGCCAGACTCTCTTGGGAATACAATCAAGCCGTCGTCAGGTTTAACGAGGTCGCAAAGCAAAAAGATGTGTCCTAGGTTAAGATATCGCGAAGTTCTGCTATATTGCCGTAGGTTGGCCATACACATGATTAGACAAACACAGATCTCACCGGTGCGGGGGCGGGGTCAAGGCCGCACGTGGGATGCACAAGTTCAAAGATTCTGCCAGGCGTGAACAAGCCACTGGATAGCGTGACTGGTATGTCTATATTTAAGTATCGTGGCATGCTCTGATTGGCTTCTACTGGACAGGGCCAGTACACTCACTTCTATCAAACTGTCAATACAGAACAAATCTGTGCTTAAGCAAACGTTCAAGCCTCCAGTACCAGTAGGATACGAGGGGTGCAGGTGCGAGCCTCAAGCGTAGATCATCGGTTGCTGTATTTGCAGTCTCATTGCCCGTTTTCGCTATGATTTGTTCAACGCAATTTCGGCAAACACCATGCTGTCCATGCCATTGTGTAGCTGTAAGAATCTTCTGGCGCAAATCATGTCTACGTGTGGAGAAGATTGCCTACATACTCCGCAACCGCAAGCATCTTTTCCTCCTGCAATCTCCGCCCAACAAGCTGCACACTGACATGTGCACCGTCATAAATCTCCGGGTCGTAGTCGTCCTGAGTTCTCTTATCCTGCTCATCAATCTCTTTGTAACCTTCATCCTTCTTATCAACGCTCTTATCCGCATTCGTGACCGGCACAACAACACTTGTGTAATCCAGCGTATTCACCCACGTCGAGTAGCCATAATATTTGTACTTTTCTTTTCTCGCAGCAGGGAACGGCGCAAGAGGACAAATGATCGCATCGACGGGCCTACCCGTACCCGTTTTGTCAACAGTGCTGTTCCAGTACTCCATGTACTCCTTCTTCAACCGGCGCACCTCGACGTTTATAGCGGCGATCTCGCTGGCAGTGTACTCCTTTTCAAGGGATTGGTAAAACGAGACCTGAGGCGCCATGGGTTCGCCTGAGAGCGCAAATGCGGAACGAACATCTTTTCCGGCATCGTAGATCCACGAGTTGAAACCGGTGTCGTTGATAGTGCGGTGGGAGGGTGGTTGCCAGTCGATGACTTCGTGTCCAGCGGTGCGCAAAGCTTTGACGACCATTTCGATCGCGCGGCTGACGGGTGGATGGGGGTTCACTATGCCGTCTGTTCGTAAGACGCCGAAGCAAAGCTTCTTTGCAGACTTAATCTCGGACTCTTGATCGGCACGCCAGGGGATTTCATGGACTAATGGGTCGTGAAGCCATGGTTCTTGTTGAAGGAGGGCTTGAGTGACGAGGCGTAGGGATGCTGCGTTTGTCGCGAGAGGTCCAACTACGGAAAGGACGGTGTTTTGCCCTTCCATTGAGTTTGCCATGCCTTCGTATGGCAGACGACCGGTAGAAGGACGGAGGCCATACAGTCCGTTGAAGGCGGCGGGGATACGGATAGAGCCGCCGATGTCAGTACCGAATCCTACTGGTGCTGTAAAACGTTAGACGATCCATTTCTTGGGCCTAAAACAGTAGGGGCTTGGGCTTATTCGTGTCATGTAGTGACATAGCCAACTTACATCCTCTGATTCCGATCACTGCGCCCTCGCCACCTGAGCTACCACCTGCCGTCAAATGCCTGTTCTTCGGGTTAAGAGTATATCCAATGATATTGTTGACCGTCTCGCCACTCATAAGAGTATGCGGCACGCTCGTCTTGCAGTACAACACAGCGCCCGCATTTCGTAGCATCTTCACCATCTCACTCTCAAAGACCTTCTCTTTACCAGTACCCTTCTTACCTTCGAAGGTGCCGATCCAGCCTACGTAACCCATACTGGTCTCGACATCTTTGACGTGAAACTGATCTTTGAGTGAGATAGGTAGGCCATGAAGAGGCCCAAGTGTCTTCTTGTGTTTGGCATAGTATGCATCGAGGGCCTTTGCGTCCTGAATGGCAGCATCGAAGAAGATCTCATGTAGGCAGTGCAGCTTCCTCGTTAGCAGGTTTCGCTCGACTTACGTGGTATGCGACGTACCAACTGATGCGCCACTGCGGCTCGGTGGCAGAATGCCCTCGTGACCTCCTCAGCGGTCCACTTTCCTTCAGCCACTGTTTTCGCAATAACATCTGCGCTGCTTTCTGTGATCTGGAGCTCCTTCTCGCTGAAGTACTGCTTCACGTATTCGGTGACATCAACTTGTTCCTCTACAGACGGCAACTTCTCTAGTCGCCATTCTTTCGGTATAGCGGCCAAGATGGCCTCGCGCTTCTGCGTTGCTGTTTCTTTCCAAGATGATGCCGTCATGGTGTCAGATATACAACTGGCTGTATGTGAGATTGGTTGACAATATGTTTGCAGAGGGGAATATGTCAAAAGAAATGCTCCAGGGCGCCTTGCGTGTAAGAGCGGTTCCGGACTGGAAATAGACAGCTTCGGGAATGACGTTGAGCGTTGGCAGGCCGTTGATAGCTTTGGAACTATCCAGTGGCTGGGTGGGGTAGCTCTGGGGCATTTGATCTAAGCACCTTCCATATCAGCGTAGCTCCGCACTGAATAACATGAAGCCAGGCAAGAGTGATGCAGGGCACCTTTTTGCCGATGCGCATGCCGCAACGACATGAACTGGAGGGGTAGCTACGACTGGGTGGAGATTGGAGCTGGCATTAGGTCACAGATACGATGTTCCGCCGACCAATCTCCACCTTCGGCAATTGGGGTAACTCCAACATGGATCCATATTACACTTCCATTATACAACTTGTTCGCTGCATCTTGAAACGTTGACTTGTTTTCGCTACATAGGTATCTGCAAACAATGGCAACAAGGAGAAGTGATGAAAGAATTTCAAGCACGGGAACGTTCAAGGAGAAGACGCCATTCCATGCGTGAAAGCAAGCAAGGTGCTGGATGCTGACCGCTCAAACAGGACTTGAACATGTTCGCTGAGGTAACAATAAGCAAGGTATACCAGGCTATGTGGTTAGAAATCGTGGTATCTTCAGATGGAACTTTGTCGACCAAGAGGATTCGTTATGGATATCGCACACGCATTAGGGATAAAGACCCTAGACAGTCTCGACATAGTTGCTGTGACAGGTCAGTGACTACTCCACATTTCGGCGTGAATGCGACGTACCTTGGGAAGATGCCTTCTCTGTTTCCGACTCTGCCTGTCCACCAGTCTGTCTCGTTGTCTGTCCTCTTCAGAATCGTGATGATCTCGCCCTTCTTGAAGCCCAGATCGCCCGGTTGGTCTGCGTCAAAGGTGAACTTGGCAATCGCCTGGTCGGATTGTAGCCCCGCCTTCTTCTGACCCGTAGTTTGTCCGAATACTGGCTTTGGAGCTGTCGGTCGGCCGGGCTTGCGATCGCTGTATGAGTAGTCGTCGCCGAAAGTGGAGGAGCGATTCCGTGTGTCCATGCGGTCGAATGTCTCGTTGGGGTTCGCGCGCGTGGAGAAGGATCGGCCGAGGGGTGCTGAGGATGGCTGCCGGTCGTAAACATCATCTTCCCAGCCGGAAGAACGCTGTGGTCGGTCTCTATATTCGTAGTCGTTGTTTCCTTGGCCTAGAGAACCTGTACGATCCCTCCGTACGCCTTCGCCCATTGCTGAACCCTGGCGCCCTTGCCATACTACATTGTCGCGCGAATCGTCATAGACGGGGATGTCGTTGTACATGGCATCGTTCGTAACATTCTGGGCTCCTCCAACGCCAGCAAAGACTCTTGAGTTGAGCACCTGCAGGAGCGGGGCGGCGGCTGGTGGTGGGGGAACCTGTCCGCTGAGAATCTCGCGCGCAGTCCATCGGCGGCCGTACAGCTTCTCGTTGGCGTCTCTCCGCTCGATGATACCGCTTCCCTCGAGACTGACACCCGCGAAAAGTCCCTTGGTTTTGCTGTAGCTGAAGATGCCCGCTACGCCCTTCAAACTCGCCGCGCCGGCAGCCTCGGCATTGCGACCAACTGGCCCCGCTGCGATAGAGACGTTGCCACCAAGTGTTAAAGATCCTGCCTGCGCAAATGTACGCACTGCCGATGCATCGTTCAGGATGAAGACGAAGTCGGTGAGCTCGAAACCAATTTGTCCGCCGAAGCCGCCGCCGATGGTTCCGATGGCTGTGGGCGCCGACCACGATCCGTCAGCGAGACGAGCGACAACGACACCTGAACCAAATCGCGCTGTGCCGAGGAAGCCAGCCTTGAATACTGTGAGAATCGCGAGACCCTAGACGCGTGTTAGCAGCCCATCCCGTGTTTGCTTGGGCAGCATCGACAGACGCCGGATGCGCAGGAACACTCGTACCTTTGCATTGGCGAGAACATTCGGGGGAATAATCTTGTCGGGTCCAAAGGCTTGCCTGGGGTCGACAAAGGATGCTAGAATCTTTCCTGTCTTGCGACATTCGCCTGGGGGAGCAGTTGTCAGCGACGTCACCGGCCCGCAAGCGGCGCATAAACAAAGTGGGCTGTTAGCAACTTACTGCTCATGGAAGAGGGCAGGGGGTTGTTGAGACTGAAACCCATCTTGGCGCGTGTGTGGGGAGAGAATAGCAGAGAGTTGGGGTATATAGGAACGGGTTGCGGAGAAAAGAGCGCAGCCAGTTGCTTATGCTGCCGATGGAAGGAAGCATGGCGGGCGGTATTCAGCGGGCATTATGTCATTTGCTGTGGCTGTGCCTCGCACACGACGCGTCCGCCCTTGGCTTGCCATGGCCTTGAACTTTCCACCACTTTCGCCCACGTCGCAGCCTCGCCATAGGGTGTGAGCCCGCATCGCATCGCCCACCAGTCACCTAGTCGTCGTGTGTAATGTCGCGATTGGACGTTCAATCAGCTATCTTCGCGAGACGCGTTCACGCCCAGCCTGACTTGGGAAACAACGCTTGCGACACATCAGACGTTGCCACTTTTCAAGTCATCTTAACAGCCCAAACTCATAGATCATCAGCGCACACGTATACAATGTGGCGGCGTACTGCGCCACATAGCCTTTCATATCGCACCTGGGGGAGTTCTGTCGCCTTCCAGCCCGACTGTCGCACCGCATCATCAAACATCCCGCGTCTCCACCCGTGAAGGGTGAAGGTTATTGTTGTACCCAGTTTCACTGCTTACGGAAGTTATAGGGAAACATATGGGCGTCCATGTCCGCCGTATGTTTACTTACTGATAAAGCTAGCTGTTCTCAGATCCCTCCTACAGGCGTATCTAAGCCTCACGAGAGAGTGGCTAAGACAATCAATGTTCTGTACATGCAAGCGACAGATAGCGAGACGTTCACAGAAGACCTGCAGGGCATCATATCACGTTCCTCGTCCATATATACAATCCGATGTTGATGACTGGCTTGCCCTCGGTTTACCCAAAAGACCGACTTGGCAGACCTCACTCTGCGAATGAGCAACTCGAAGCGAAGCAATGTCAGCACTGCATACTTACGCCCTAGCGCTCATACACGCCCTGGCGTATGTCTCTGCGCCCTTTGATTTTACCGATAGCCTGTATTACCACCAAGATGCTGCTGCCCTGATATATAAACAGAAATCCTTTACACGACATGGGAGGACCAACACAAAATGTCCACAACTCAGACCATCGTCCCGTTGGTAAACCTCTCCTCCGATCAGCATTCACGGATTCGCCTTGATGCAAATGGAAATGACTCAACCGGTCTTGAATCTCTTTCCGATCCGCAACCTCCACCCTCTGCCGCAGAAGCAATCCCCAATGGAGGCTATGGCTGGACTGTGGTCGCCTCATGTTCTTTTCTTCTCTTCTGGATTAACGGCTACACGACGGCCTGGGGCGTCCTGCAAACAGCCATCCTGAAATCGCCCAATTTGAACACGAACGTGCGTACCATCACCTTCGTTGGCAGCCTGTATATGGCTTGCATGGTCGCTTTTGGCATTGCTTCGATAAGAGTTATGAGGTCCTTCGGCGTGCGGTACACTGCTCTTGCTGCCACGACAGTGTTTGGAGTGGGGTTGATTGCTACGAGTTTCACGTTGGACCATCTTGGTGGGCTGTTCTGCATCGCAGGGCTGCTAGTGGGAGTTGGTACATCGCTGCTGTATACTGCGACAAACAGTTTGCCACTGCAGTGGTTCAGCTCGAAACTTGGTATTGCGAATGGCGTTGTCAAGGCTGGTGGTGGCGTAGGTGCCACGATACTGCCGCTCGCAGCGCAGGCACTTATCGATAAATTCGGATTGGAGTGGACGTTCCGTGTCCTAGGCATCCTTATCATGGCCACTGGAATACCATGCACTTTATTGTTGAAGGAACGTGCGACTACTGGAACGCTCTCCCGGTTCGATTGGTCGCTTTTGAAGAACGTTCCGTTCCTTACGCTGACCATGGCTGGTGCCGTTGGCGTCTTTGCTCTCTTCGTACCGCCCTTCTTCTTGCCACTGTTTGCGAGTTCGATCGGTCTGCCAGCGTCGACTGGTGCGGGTTTAGTCGGCGGATTCGGTGCTGCGACAGCAGTAGGTCGTATCCTGGGCGGATTGACTTGCGATAAGATCGGCAGTTTCAACACCTTGATGATCACCTGCTTGGTCAATTCGGTCAGCATGCTAGCCATCTGGCCAGTAAGCACATCATTGCCACCTCTCTTCATCTTCGCTCTTGTCAACGGATGCGCCAATGGAAGCTTCTTTGTCAGTCTGCCTACTGCCGTTGCTGTGGTAGCTCCCCACTCTGCTGCTGCGTCGATTGCTTTGATGGTGTTCTTTTGGACTCCAGGCTATTTGTTAGGAGCTCCTCTTGCCGGGCTATTGATTGAAGCGACAGGTGCGGCAGATGCTTCATCGATCGAGCCGTATCGGGCTGCTATCTTCTACGCCGCTGGGACAGGTGTCTTGACGACACTTCTTATCGTCATCGCACGACTACGGTTGGACACAAAGGTGTTGAAGAGGCTGTGATGGCGCGTTCAATGCGCTGCAGATTCGGTCGCAAGTGCCACTATAGCAATGTCTAATTGCATAGCGAGTATAGCAATGCCACTGAGCTATCTAAGTTCCCGGTTCGATGTTATACAGCTCGCGCAACATCTCCTCTCTCGCATCTTCAGAAGTCCAGCAAATCTTTATAGCATTCTCCACCAGCCTTTGAATCTCTAGATTTGTAAAGCCACAGTACCTTTTCACCACTAGCAAGTTCTCCAGCGCCCATGTATCCTCCATAAACGCTGGGTCGTCGCTTGCAATAGCAATCTTAATGCCAGCGTCGAAGAGCGTTCGAATTCGCTGGAACACCTCGTCTATTGGTTGGTGGCGGATGTACGACCAGGGACAGATGGTCATCCCCAGGTTTTTGTCCTTGACAAGATTCATGAGATCTGTATCGCTAGCAGCATTGAGTCCGTGGTCAATTCTATCGGCCCCTGTGCCTGCAATATTCGTCGCCACCTGATGGATATGTTCGAGAGGATAGGGCTTGCCAACGTCGCAGTGCGCCGTAAGACGGAAGCCATCGTTTCTGGCTCTCAAGAAGACTTCGTCAAAAAGCGATGGTGGTCTGTCAACTTCATTGGAGTCAAGGCCGATTCCTACTATCATATCGCGGTATTTGAGTGCTGCGTCATAGTGTTCCATTGCGGACTCTAGTGTTTCATCCCGAAGGAAGCACATGATCCAAGCAGACTTCACCTACGGAATGCTGTGAGCAGAAATGTTTTCAAGGGAAGATAACGGGCTCACGTTGAGGTCCTGTTCAGCTTTCCGCTGCGCTCCTCGGAAACCTTCCATCATCATCTCCCAACTCGTTCCAACACGCGTATGGCCTTGTGGATCAAAGAAGATCTCGGCATATCGCACGTTCATTGCTGCAGCATGTTCGTAGTAATCCATAGCAAGATCGTAATAATCCTGCTGAGTCTTGAGAACCTCAAAGCCACCATAGTAAGCCTCGAAAAAGGACAAAGTCTCTTCACTGTTATCCATGCGGTTCCCCGTACGCGGCTTCAGGGTGTCATGAGAATCTCGAAGCTCAGCAAGTGAAGAGAAAGGTTGACCGGTTCGCGGGTTGATGATTGGTCGGTCGTTTCGCTGCGAGAACTTCCATTTCAGATCTGCACTTATGATACCTTCTATGTGAATGTGGAGTTCGACTTTCGGGATTGCGGCGATGTATGGGTCTTTTGTAGCTGCCAGGGAGCGCCTCAGTTCTCCTCGTTCTGCTACAGAGAGTGCGTTCTCTACGTCTGTCATTGTAGTCGTAATATGGTATTTGTTGGAGTGATTCGAGTGTACAGTCAGGAATTGCGATGTTAGGAAGGTAACAGCACTCAACTCAGAATCTGAATGCCAAATTATCGCTACCAATATATGTGAAAGGTGATCTGATGACTGTATACATATTCGGTGACTCAGCGTTAGGTCCTGCGGCTAATCATTGTACCGATCAACCGAGCTGGTAGGTAGAATATCACACGTTGAGCATGTCGACTCTGCAAATAAACAGTCAGTGCATAGGTCTACCTACAACCTCTAATGATGAGTCACTTCGTTATATAAAGTGACCAAGGTGCACCTGCATGGATTCATCTTGTAGTCAGACAGGAAGGAAACTTGGTGGTCACTGTGGCATATGCGAGAAAGGTAGCAGGAATAATCTTCATAAAGCGTCGTAGCAATTAGGTAATTATAACCCGTGGCAGTATATACCATACAGCAGGTTTGAGAGCCTACAAATTCTAATGTCTACAAAGCCAAAGCAACAGCGCCGAAGACAATAGCCATGACACCGCTGGCGACGTTGTCGGCAGACGCAGCACCGGTGAACTCGACAGAACCAGTAGAAGTGGCAGTTCCGTTACCGGTGGGCCTAGCAGCGCCAGTGCCAGTTGGCTGCATGGGCACGGTACCGTTCATCATGCTGGATGGGTGCACCGCGCTCATCATGCTAGATGGCTGAACGGGCATAACGCTGGATGGTTGGACAGGCATAGCGCTGGATGGGAGAAAACCTCTGCAGAGTCCGCCGCTGCAGGTGTTGTAGGCACACTGCGCATCGCTCGAGCACTCAGCGTTGAAGTTACCGCAGCGGGCAATCAACATGGCATTGCTAGCCCAGCAGTCCACACCATTCGCGCATTGGCTTGGGTTGACGTAAGGGTTGCATTCGGCACCGAGGGGCAAAGATCCAGCAGGGGCGACGATGGTTGATGAAGGAGCAGGCATTGGGCCCGGTGCAGTCGGTGTGGTGGTGATCGTTGCTGACGCCGAGGATGATGAGGCCGAGGAGGAAGCGATGAAGCCGTTGCAAAGACCTTGCTCAAGGTTGCATGTGTTGAAAGCACACTGCTGGTCGTTTTTGCATGAGGCCTGGAAGTTGCCGCAGACGGGTTGGAGCATGGAGTTGACTGCGTAGCAGTTGGCGCCGAGCGCGCATGGTGTGCCGTTGGGATCGCACTTCTCGCCAACGGGAATGAGGGTGCCTGTGGGAGATGCGCTGGCTGGAGAGGAAGAGGATTGCGCTGAAGCGACTGAGGCAGCTGCGGCCAGAGTAAAGATGGTGTAACGCATGATTGCTGTTGTGGGTGTTGATTTGTGATTAAAGTATATCAAGATACTAAGATGTATAAAGCGAGTGTCGTAATAGTCTGGTAATGAGCTGGAGATGAAGTTGTTGCGAACGAGGACGAGCTGACTATATACCTACCATTCTCGTGTTTATGCGAAGTTTAAGCTGTGGTACCTCGATAGCTTTGAGCTGATAGTTCAGCTAGCACCTAGCGCTCGTAACCAGCCTCCCGATTCGCCACATGATGCCGGCTACACGGCCGCTTCGCGAATGACGATGCCCAAGTGGCCGAAGCCACCTCCGCATACACGATCCACGTCCGTGCAGCAAGACTCGACTTGCGTATTTTTAGGATTTATAGTATAGCGTCGTCGGGTTGTCGCAGCTCGGCCGCTCGGAGTGGCGCCGATATGAGCCGAGTGATTCCGATCGTACGTTACTATGGAGATTCGTGTTCGTGCTTGAAAGCTTTCAAATTCTTCTTGTTCTCGACGTCCCAATATTGCTGCTATTTACGTACGTTAAAGCTCGTTTATGCTAAGTTTCTGGTCTTGCGTTCCATAATGTGATGCGCAGTGGAGATGGAAGAAGCAAGACTTCTCCTTGGACGGACCACAAATGTGGAGTTCAATACCTTGCAGTTGGCCGATCACCCCAACCCTTGGGCCCGTTCTCCCAGCCTTCTTCCCTAAACACCAAGCATTTTGGGCTTCCGTCATCGCCTGTCCATGCCCTGAACATACCTCCGCAATTGAAATCTTGTACAACGTTTACTTCATTACCGACAAGCTCTATACCAATGATACCGCCGGTGCCTTCATGGGTTACGCCCCAATGCTTTCCAGCAGATCGTTGAAGCTGACCGTCGGGTCCCGCCATCCACGTTGTCGCATCCGAAAGTGATGTTGCAGAGAATTGTGATCTGGCAGCTGTGGTGCGAGCTGCGCATGTACGAAGAAACGAGTCGCCATTGCCGGTCCCTGAGAGACCTACAGCGTGACGTGTCAACACAGGCTTTTCATATGGCTTGGTGGATGACAACACATTCCCTCGTATCGTGGGCGATCCGAGGAATGGTATACAGTCGTCTACTACACCGCGTATATCGCCTCTCGATAGTTTGTCGATCGGCGAGGCAGGAGAAGCAGAAGGTTGGTACACCATCTGCGGTCTAACGGTCTTTTCGTCGTACCACTCTCCAGCCCAAAACCCTGCGCCAATAGTCGGTGTATCTCCAATACGCCCAGGAACTTTGTTCGTCAACCCGCCTGTTGAAGTTGCCGTGCAAACGGTACCAAAGCTATCTACAACCACTGCACCACAAGTTCCAAGCGGAATATAGTTGTCTTTCTCCCAATCGCTCATCTCATCCACGCTCATACCCATCTCGGCCTTCTTCTTCTCATCTGCAAGTCCGCGCTGATGTTCGTCCCATCTCTTTTGTGTGAAGAAGTAGCCTGAATCTACGATGTCAAGCCCCCATTCCTTCGCGAGTCCTTCGACAAACTCTCCGCTGTATTGACAATGGTCGGCTGCACCACCGCCATCCGCTTCCTCGCCACGGATGAGCAATTCTCGTGCTAGCTTAATTGGGTTTCTGACGCGCCTGAGCAGCATGCACCCGACACCTCGTTTGCTGTATCCATCTGAAACCATAATGCTGCATTCAAGTTCGTTCTTGCCTTCGCGTGTAAAGACTGCGCCTTTACCGGAGTTGTATAACGGGTCGTCCTCTAGGAGGGAGACTGCATACGTGGCTACGTCTAGCGCTGTTGATCCTGGCCTACGTAGAAGTGTCTCAGTTTTATCAAGAATGTTGAGAAGCGACTTGCGGTATTCATCGTAACGATCACGAGGAATGGACGTGCGCGTTATGTTGCCTGCGCCACCGTGGATGATGATGCGGGGGTTGACGGGCGATGCGGCGTTTGCATGTGGAACACGCTGTTCAGTCATAGTGTATATTTAAGTAGCTTTGGAACTATCCAGATTCTTTTCACAGAGAAGTAGATAATTGAGATGGGGTCTGTAGCCGTCTAAGTCCTGAAGTACCTGGGGGAGATAGCGGTCGATCCAAAGAGGGTTTAGCGTCCGCTTCCCCACCTTCCTCTCCAGGGATTCTCGCAATCTCGATCTTCATAGAAATAGTCCCTGTTCTGTTGCCTCACCACAAGCAACACTCTGAGATCCGCTTATCCTTACCACTCGAGATTCGCTATGCGATTGCTCAACACCTCTACGTTACAGGTGGAGGAGTTCCTGCAGAGCCAAGTGCCAGATTACGTTATCCTCTCGCATACATGGGGCTCTGAGGAGGTTACTCTGCAAGATATTCTGTCGAATATAGCGCCATCGAAGAAAGGTTTTGCGAAGCTTGTCGGCTGTTGCAAAAGAGCGAAGGATGATGGCTTCAAGTACTCCTGGATTGACACTTGCTGCATCGACAAAACCTCGAGCGCTGAACTATCGGAGGCGATCAACTCAATGTACCAATGGTACAAAGGAGCCTGTATCTGTTACGCGTACTTGGAAGACGTGCAAGGCAACCCGCAGCTAGACGACTACAAAGCTTTCAGCAAATCTCGATGGTTCACACGTGGGTGGACCCTGCAAGAGCTCATCGCTCCTGGCATTGTAGAATTCTACAACGTATCATGGGTAGACATCGGGACACGAAGTAGCCTCCAAAAGAGACTAACGGCCATAACGGGTATCAACGAGAAGATACTTACTGGTGGAAATCCTCTCAACTGCCCAGTTGCAGTAAGGATGTCTTGGGCTGCGCGTCGAGAAACCAGCCGGGTTGAGGATCAGGCTTACTGCCTTTTAGGAATCTTTGGTGTGAATATGGCTCTTCTTTACGGAGAAGGTCATAGGGCGTTTCTAAGACTCCAAGAAGAGATACTTCCCATTGATGAAGACTACACCTTGTTCGCATGGGATGTAAACTCATCGACAGGAAGCCTTTTAGCCAGTTCGCCTTCGCAGTTTCGTACCTTTATGCCCAGATCTGACTTACTGTTTGACGAACTCGAAGACTCTACCCAGATACATGATCGCGACAACCTATCAAGAACCCCTTTCTCGTTACTTCCCCCTCCGCATGATTCCAGGCCTCCGCAAGTAACTAGCCGCGGTATCCATATTACATTACCAATTCTTCACTACCAAGAAAACACGTGGCATGGCTTCCTTGCCGTAATAAGAATCGTACCAAACCAGACGTATCTCTTGTGCGTCGAGTTGTCACAGATAGGCAACGGAGAGAATCGATACGAGAAGACTTATCGACACCAGGGAAGTCTTGTGCTCCGGCCTGGAAGCACTGTGGAAGAATTTCGATACACGTCTATATATGTAAATCCATCCGTGGCCCATTTTGACGAAGTTTTTCCCGCCGATCGTGAAAATTGGCATCCTTCGATAGTCCGAGTTGAGCTGGATCGAGCTGTACTATCCGAAATTGCGTGCATCGGTTCTAATATGATCAACCTGCAATCTCTATACAAACAGAAGCCGAATTCTGAACCCTCGAATACCACAACCACATTCCGAGGAATCAATCTAACGGAATTTGATATCGCACCAGTCCGCCAACAAATCTTTCTAGACAAACTCAGGACGATATCGAAATCTCTGTGTAAAGATCATAGGGATACTAGAACAGCAATGACTGATTTGCCGTATATATACTACGGCTCGGCTTCCTGGGGTGGAGCCGGCAGTTTTCGGTTCCATTTTAGTCAGACCGTCTTTCTAGACCTCGACTTCCCATACGGTTTGGAGGGCGAGCCTTGTTTCACTGCCGAACTTAAGATGGCGGGAAAACGTGGTTCCATACCTAAGACTGTACAAGGACTGGATATAAGCAACGCATCGGACCGTGCGACTCTACAGGTCAGGGATAAAACAACTGGAGATGACAAAGGATTGCATATCAAGATAGCTATGCGACGTGTAGCAGCATTAGCTATCGCACCCAATTCGAGGCACTTCGTTCTTATACTCAGTGAAGAGCACATGATGAGATGAGGAAGCTCTACATTGAGAATCACTGTTATGGATTATTCTCTCATGAGTAGTTATGCTGCTTTGTTGTATTAATAATTGCATGTCTCTTGTACTGTATAGTAAGCGAGCATCTCATGAGCAACACGGATAGCTACAACTGTGATTCTCGGTTGTGACTATCATGATTAGATAATGGCATGGTAACGTACACAGGCGATGTCACTCGAACATATTATGTTAGCGTGTTTCCGTCTCCATGCCCCAGACCTGCATCGCCTCCCGTCCTATTCACATCCGGCTCATCCTTTTGGTCTCTTACTTTCTGCACTTCGCCTGCTGGCCCCTCATACCCAATAGCCTTCAACCACTGGGGATCTATATTCTCCAACTGCAGGTACGGACTAACATCGGCCTCTGGAAACTGCTTATTACGCATCGCATAGCCCATACCTAGGTGTGCCCAAGGATTCTTGTGCATATACTGGATATCAAAGTCTTCGTACCGCGGAGTCTCAATCACCTCAGCATATTGATTTGATGAGCCTGGCCAGACGGCATTGACTCGCCCGGTGTCGTTGTTTTTATACCAGGATCTACAGTTGTCTTTCCAAACTGTGTGCTTGATCCACTCTTGCGCATGCTCGTTGAATTGATCTGTGATGTCTTGTCGTGGAACCCATGATTTGATGTGGTCTCGTTGCATCTTTTTGATGATTTGGATTGTGTACTCAGCAACTGCCAGTAGAGGGCCAGTGACTGAGCCGTTTTCTACAGGCCAGGTTGGTCCAATGAACATCAACCAGTTAGGCATATCCGGGCATGCGAGACCGAGGTAGCCTTCAGGCTCATTCTTCCACTTTTCGTAGAGGTCGACACCATTCTTGCCGATGATTGGGAAGCGTGGACGGTAGGTTACGTCGAAGCCAGTTGCGCAAACTATTGTGTCGACTTCGCGCTCGACGCCGTCCGCGCCAACCACACCCTTTTCCGTGATCTCATTCACAGCTGTGAAGTGAACGTCGACGTTTGGCTCCTGGATAGCCTTCATATAGGGATCGCCTGGGGTTATGCGACGGCCTGCAGCAGATCAGTGACCAGTTCCAGCAAGTATCAGATGAAACTTACAGCCAACTTCAAACTTTGGGGTGAAGCCTTCCAGAAGCCGCTCATCCTTAAGGAACTCCTTCATTCGTTCTCTAAACAGGGCTTGGGCGTCCTTCTGCGATTGACTTCCGGCATAGAATGCCCCCCAAAGCCCGTTTACCTGGTTCTCGATGTCTTTAGCGTGCGCGACTAACTTCTTCGGATCTTTCCGAAACTCATCGCGTTCTTCTTGTGAATACTCCTTATTCTGGCCAAAATTGTTCGCGATTTGGACGAACCACACACCGGTTCGAACGAAAATATCCATGTGCTTTACGTGTGGCTGCATGTTTGGCACAGTTTGGATGGAAGAGGCGCCAGATCCGATAACAGCTACACGGTCGTTCTTCCATTTCTCGCTCTGGTAGTCTTTCGGCCAGGTCGCCGTGTGGACGATGCGACCCTTAAAACTGTTGATGCCTTTGATTCCTGGCCATTTATAGTTGTTCAAGATGCCAGAAGCGTAGAGAAGAAGGTCGCATTCCTCTTGAAACTCTCTTTCTTCGCCAGATGACGTCGTCTGACGGAGGGTGACCTTCCATTTACCCACATCGTCTTGCCACTCGGCTCTGGTAGCTTCGGTGTTGAATGTCATGTACTTGCGCAAGTCGAAAACATCGCAGACCTTTTCGAGGTACTTTTGTATGTCTGGAGCGTACGAGAAGAAACGAGGCCAGTCGGGGTTCAGAGCGAAGTTGAGTGTGTAGGCATGTGACGGAATATCGCAAGCACATCCTGCAACCTTTAGCTCCACCTCAACCATTCTTGTTTTATGTCCATACCTGGATATCTGTTTTCCAGCCATGTGCCTCCTAAGTTGGCGTTTTTCTCGTAGATTACATGCTCAACATTCTGCGTGTTCTTCTGGATCTGGTATGCCATCTGGATACCCGACAAGCCAGCTCCGATGGTCAAAATCTTGAGCTTCCTAGATGAGGGGTCCTGGGAGACTATCAGTTCAGATCTGAAGTATTCCAGTCATTGCGGCGTACATCGTAGACTATGTCCGGGATGTTGTAACCGCCAGATCCTGGAGTAGAATAATCCCACCGCTGACCGCTTCCTATTGTGTTGAGATCCGGCGCCATGGTGAGGGTGGTCGAACGGAGAAGTCGTGATCAAGTGGGCGTGAGGCTGTGAAAGAAATCTGTATTACGATATCGGCCCAATTTATGTCGAACTAAGTATGCCGGTAGGCATATATATTTCAGTTCTATGGGGCGGCCTCAGCTAATAATGCTGGCGCATATTTGTCTAGATTCGATCCTACATCATTCGATCTTTTACGTCGGGTATCGGGTATATGAGTCGCCAGTGCTGACAGCCTCGTGTGACCTTACATAGGCTACGCGGCGCACCAATGGGCAGAACAGCATACAACGGGGCGCACAGTCACTACCTTAGCATTGAACACCGACCAACAACTTGGTCGGATACTGCGCGGGGTTGTTGCGGGGTACATCATTTCAGGCAGTGGCGAGGTCGCTAAACCAAACCGGTCGTCTGTTTTACGCCTAGAGCAACCACCGTTCATTTGTTACTCAACCCTCTTAGCTTATACACAGCTCTTGAATACGTGCTCAGTGCTGACGCGCGGCTTGGCTGGGATTTTAATAATGGATCAGTGAAGTGGTTACGTCTGAGCAATCTGTAGGCGTGTGTCATTACAATGGTATACAGCATATAGACATCGTCAAATGATCCGAAGACCATGGTGAATACAGCTGGGACTCTTCCAAGGACAGCTCAAATATTGATTGCTTCATGGCGCGTCGCTAGGTCGGTTCCACCGCGTACAATAGGACGCGTAACAGCGCGGCATATTAAGACGATTGCGTGCGCCCCGAGTAGTAGCACAGTGTCTTCGCGTAGGGAGGGTTTCATTCTTGAATGGAGCTGCTGCACATGTGGAGCGTAAACGTTGTATCTCGACGGATATAAGGAAGGAAGACTGGTGTCGTGAGGGCTATTGCCTGTACGTGCGACGATCGTGCACGCCCATGTTAGCGTGTTGCGCCCTGCAAGTACGTCATTGCGGACAATGCAGATACCTCAATGTCCGTAATGGCGGCCCCAACATAGATCCAGAGAGGCAGCATTGTCTAGATATGTACATTTCACAACGAGACATACCAATACCGACAGTAGAATTGCAGAGGGCTTGAGTCAGACAGTCACAGTCGCGGAATTTCTGTAGTAGCAACTTTCATTTTCAGACGGTTAACGTCCCAGTCCGATGAGACCTTCGACTTCCTGTGCAATCTTTCCAAACGCCATTGCTCGCTCCCCGTCCGGCTCTGCTACCACAGTCGGTTTTCCGCGATCAGCATCGTCGCTGATGCTAGCATGTAGCGGAATCTCGCCCAACATGTTCAATTCATATTTCCCACACATGGCTCTGATCTTCTTCATATTTCCAAATACTTCATGTACGTCGCCGCAACCAGGGCATTTGAAGCCCGTCATATTGCAGACAAGACCCAGGAGCTTTACATCGACTTTGCGGAAGAGCTCGACACCTTTCACTGCATCCTTCAGCGACAGATCCTGGGGTGTGGATACGATGAGCGCGCCATCCAAAATAAGCTGTTGGGTGATGGTGAGCTGGACATCACCTGTGCCGGGGGGCATGTCAAGGACCAGGACGTCCAGGCCTCCCCACTCTACTTCGTGTAGTAGTTGCTGCAGGGCCTTCATTACCATGAGGCCCCGCCATGCTACTGGTGATGAATCTGGGATGAGATAGCCCATGGACATGGATTTGAGACCATAGTTAGCCAGTGGTAATAGTTGGTTGTCTAGGCCAATCGTTAGAGGTGGTTTGTATGATGGACTGGTTCACGGACTGACTGGCTGAAAGTCTCGGTTCGCCGGACAGATTGAGTAAGGTTGGTATCGACGGGCCAAAGATATCGGTATCAAGTATTCCAGCTTTGTAACCACGGCGGGCGAAGCTCAATGCCAGATTCACTGCGTGATGGTTTTAGATTTCTCATGTTGGCCAAGTCTCCAACGGCGGAGCATACCAGCAATGGTACTCTTTCCAACGCCGCCCTTTGCCGATGAAACAGCGATGACTTTCTTCACATCTTTGATGTTCCTCTTCTGTGGCAATCCTCGCTGCATCCGAGGCATCTGCGGAGGCGCGCCTGAGCGTGGAAGACCCTGCGCATGACATCAGCCAATGCGCCATATGAGATGGAGGTAGTAGTCATACGAGAGGGTTCTCATGCTGGAGACAGCGTAATGTCGAGAACAATCGTGGCTTCAGCATTCTGTCGTGATTAAGATGGGTTTGCGGAGTTGATCGCGGAGGTGACGCGCATCGGTGAAATGAAATGCCGATGGCATTGAACTTTTTTGTGGGGCAAAGTGAACTTTCTCTTCGCACAGGATCTGCCAGCAACACGCACGACAGATTATCTATACGCCATGGGAAAGTCCAAGATTAGAGGTAAGAGCTCCAGATACATGCGATGCAGGATAATACTCACACGATCAACAGATTTCGACCCCGAGTCGCTTCTTGACCCTGCGCCCAGCTCCAGCGAAGACGAGCGCTCCGATGCAAGCCTCTCAGAAAATGAAGATGACAATGCCGGGCGCGAACATTATACTTCTGTCGGAAAAAGCAAGCTGAGGAAGCCAGTTGAGGTACCGCTGGGTCCGGAATACACTGGACGCAAGGTGGATCGCAAAGCGCTCGAAGACAGCGATAGCGATGACCCGTTCGCTAGAGGCTTCGACGATGAGGACAGTGAAGCGAGCGACGACGAGATTGAAGGTGGCATGAATGGAATAGAGCTTGGCGACGAAGACGACACCGCCGAGGAAGACTCAAACGGCGACTTCGACGAGGACATGAGCGACGAAGACGAGGAAATGGGAAGCGCAGAAGAGAGCGGAAGTGACGACGATGCCAATGAAGCCGAAGACTCGGAAGACGAAAAGTCTGGCGACGAGGTCAAGCCTGACGCGTCTACCATCCGCGATCTCATGTCTGCGAACAAGTCGTTCACGTCGACAATTGCCGCCGGTACGCAGAACGACGTAGCAAAGGGAGAAGCTGTCAAGACCCAGCGGAAGACATTCGACACGTTACTTAACTCGCGCATTCGACTACAAAAGGCGCTAATCTCCACAAACTCCATGGCTGTAGAGCCTTACAAGACGGAGACTGCGCAAGATGCGCCCATTGAGGCAGCCGAGGCCGCTGCTCTAACTCTTCTGAACAATCTCACGAATCTCCGACTTTCTCTGGAGGAGTCGCGGACAGGCCAGAAGCGGAAGCGCACAGCATTCGATTCCACGACGCCGTCATCTGAGATCTGGGCGAATATCCAAGACAGCGAAAAGACCACCCTCCCGCACCGCAAAGCCGTCCTTGAACGCTGGTCAAACAAGACGAAAGCGACAACCGTCACGAACAACAAGGCACGCCTCAACGCATCCGCGCAACAGACCCTGACGGAAGTCCTCGACTCTCAGCTGACATCGTCGCACCTGGTGACCCGCACCCAAACCCCACGTTCCTGTGCGCCCCTCCAATCCTCTGGCAAAGCTGTTCAGCCCGACCCCGCAATCTACGATGACGCCGATTTCTATGGACTTATGCTCAAAGAGCTTCTCGAACAACGCTCAGCCGATCTCAACGCAAACGGAACCGCCGAGTTCGTCGTACAAGCGCCCTGGCAGGTTGCTCGCGAAGCCAAGACGAAGAAGGTTGTTGATACAAAGGCTAGCAAGGGCAGAAGGCTACGATACACCGTGCAGGAGAAGCTGCAGAACTTCATGGCGCCCGAAGAGAGAGGCGAATGGGGTGATAGGCAGAGGGATGAATTGTTCAGTAGTTTGTTCGGGCAAAGATTGGGGCTTGGAGAGAATGATGACGTGGAGAGTGAGGAGGAGGCTGGTGTCGATGCTGAGGAGGCTGGACTGATGTTGTTCAGAAGTTGATGGTTTGTATATGTTGACTGAGATGGCCATGACGCCAATAGAATATCTGACACATCGAATTGATCAAACCATGATTACGTTATAGCTCGTAATCAAACTATCCTCGATCGCACTATGATGATCGCTATATTCTTATGCGGATGGCATCCTGTAAAAAAAAGCATTGAAGAAAAATTAATAGTATGATCCGCCAGTCATCCCAGCACAGAATTCTGAATAAAGTCTTTCACCTAAATCGGGGGCTTCTCTTCGCCCTCAGCATACTCCACAGCGATCTTCTTCGCGCCAGGAGTCGGCTGAGGGTAACTTGTCCTCCTCTTTGCTCTAACGTAGAAGTTCATCGGCCTGATGAGCTGGAACTCTGGGTCATACGATACCGCCTCCTCACCCTCCTTGAAGAACTCGTACCTGTACACCAACTCGGGTAACAATACCTTGACTTCTCCAAGCGCAAAGTTGAAACCAATACAACTACGCGGGCCAGTGGCGAAGGGCATGTATGAGTTCTTTGGTCGGTTGGAAACCTCTTCGGTACCCCAGCGGTCAGGGTCGAATCGGTCAGGGTTCGACCAGATCTGTGGGTTGTTGTGGATGGCGTGTAGGGCGCAGATCACGACGGATCCAGCGGGCAGCTTGTAGCCGCCTGGGACAATGCAATCGACCTTTGCTGTGCGTCCAGGTTGGAAAGAGGGGTTGTGGAGGCGTTGAGTTTCTTTGACAAACTTGTCGAGGAAGGTCAGGCCGTCGGACAGCTCTGGAGTCCATTTTGTGTTCTCATTCACGCCAGCGTCGACGAGTTCTTGGAGAAGGCGGTCTTGGTTGCCCTCGTAAACACAAAGGGAGTATAGTAGCCATGATAGAAGGGATGAGGTTGTGGTGAAGCCGGCACCAGAAATGGGAAGCATATTGGGGATGACAAGCTCACGGGGTAGCTTTTTGCCGTTGTCGTCGGTGGCACGTTTTAGGTAGTCAACTACACAACTGGCTCCTAGAGCTGCGGAATGCAAAGGTAGATCTTCTTCGCTGCTTCCTTTTGGTGCTTGATCGATCGCTTGGTTGAGGATGGTCCATAGCCTGTACCGAATCTTGTCCAAATCATACGCAGCTGTGAACGGAATAGCGCTGAGCTTCGCATACCAAGCACCTCTTGAGGCAACCTTCTTGTTCAAAGAGAGTGACTGGGCGATCAAGATGACCAGCTCGCTCAGCGGCGAGTCTGGGTTGTCGAAATGGTGGGCGTCATATCCCAGCGCGAACTTGAAGACTGTTTGAGACGCAAGCTTCAACATGTATTGGTACACATTCCAAGCTTCGCCTTCTTCGTCAAGCTTGTCGAAAACCTTGAACGAGTCTTTTACCGAGGCCTCCATCAGGGGTGTGTAATGCCTAATTGCCTTTGGTGCCATGGAAGGTGGGATGAACTTGTGTGCTTGCCTCCATGCGTCGGTGTCAGTATCACAGATGAACAGTGCTCTGTTGTCCTTGATGCCGGCCAAAGGATGCTCGGGAGTAATGTGCTTGCTGAAGAACGCAGACTCTTGAAAAGCCACAGTCGCGATAGCAGGGTCATTTGTCAAGTAATTCTGCTTGCCCATTGTTTCGTATTTGATCAATGATCCATACTTTTGGAAAAGACGTGCATGGTTCCCCTAAAAATGTTAATGGTTGTTCGTAGTCTTGTTAGATTCGACTCACAAGGTGATCGGGGAAGACCTCGTAGTAGCTTCCAACGAAAGGAAGGCCCTCTGGACCTGCGGGATCCCGAATGGCCTGACCATCAACAGTAATGCCAATCTCTTCGTCGCAGTCCAACACAGCGTCCAGGTCTGGGAGGTCATCTCCCTTGGAATCTTGCAGCGCGATACCTGGTGGAATGTAAGGTTGGGTCCGGCTCAATGGTGAGTGTGCCTACCTGTAGATTGGATAATGTTGTATTGCTCCGCTACAGCGACTTGCAGCGCTTCAAAATCATGATACTGATCAATGTGAATGTCCTGGCGAAAGACATTCTTGTCTTGCCCAACAAGGTAGAAGCTTTTGATAGTCATAATTGCGATGCAGTGAAGTTTGGAGATGTCGCACAGTCAACAGGACTACAACCAGACTAAATGAAAGCACATCAAACTACGTATACCCTTTTCGCAACAACCCAGCATCTGCAGGCGCTGTGCCTAGGGTGCAAATATGACGCATCGCCACTGACCAGCAACTGGCGCAGGCGTGGTCGTACGAAAATCGCCGAGGGGCCCAATGCGCGCCAATGTAAAGCAAAAATGCACGTCGTGCGAATAGCCCGGCCGAGCGTTGATCGAAATTTTGTTGTGATACCGTTTCAGCGAGGTCATTGCGCGTAAGGCTTGGAAGAAGCCAGTCGCCTTGTCGCAGCTCCGATTGTCAGCGGAGGCTTGATTGGTTTAAGCTCACAGAGTGCCGAGGTAAGTGGGGGCTTGGCTCCACTAACACTGGACACTTCGTGGTAGTCGCTGTCATAGCGCTGTCATTTGTCATGGCGCATCAACAGATCTTGATACTGCTCATGTCCGACACCTCGGTCGCGCCTACGTAGTGGATCGGTATGGCCGTTGCACGTTTGCTGCATGAAGCTATGGCGACGATGAAGGGTCTTGGCCAAAGGCTTTCACCGTGGCCATTGACCTCCTCAGCGCCCCCTTAGTGACTGAACGCATCCATCTCATTCAATTCACACAACACCATGGCCGACGGTGTATACACTCTTCAGGAGGTAGCGAAGCATACCAGCAAGACTGACCTTTGGGTCACCTTGTGGAATCACGTCTACGATGTAACAGACTACCAAGAAGACCATCCTGGTGGTAAGGAGTTCCTGCTCGAAAACGCTGGCACAGATGCAACTACCGCATACGAGGATATCGGTCACTCCACAGACGCCAGAGAAATTCTCGAAAACTTCCGCATTGGACGTATCGCAGACGAGGACTGGACCGACCATGAAGCCGCAAAGATGCCCACGATCATCCCCAGCAGAGTTCATGTTGTGAACAATCTGCCTGTGCCAAAGTCGTATCGCTTCCATCTTTCAGCGCTCGGCTTTGGTCTAGCATCTGTCGTACTCTCCATTGTAGCCGGTCGAAGATTTTCTCCGCTCCTGCACCGCTTCCAGAGCGCTGGGTTCTGGAAGGGATTCGCGGTCTCTTCTCTTGCCAGCATGGCTTTGGCTGGATATGCCAGTCTATGGGCAACGAAGAGCTTCGACGTCGCACACAAGGACTTCCAATCCTACCCGGCACATTTCAAAGCCAAGTCAACTTCGTCAAAACCATCGAGGAAGAAAGACATCAACCTTGGTGTTCTCAATGCTCGTGTCTACCAGCCCTTCCCATTGATTGACAAGTTCAACATTTCTCACGACACTATCCGCTTCGTCTTTGGGCTGCCCAATGAAAACTCCGTTCTTGGTTTACCGACTGGTCAGCACATCGCAATCAGACACGAGATAGACGGAAAGCAGCTTGCACGATCATACACGCCAACATCCAGCAATAAAGACCGTGGCCGCCTGGAACTCACCGTCAAGATTTACGAGGGCGGTAAACTGACACCCTACCTGAGCAAACTGAACATTGGCGACACTGTTGAGATTCGAGGACCAAAGGGCGAGATGAAGTACCACAAGAATCTTGTAAAGGAACTCGGAATGATCGCTGGTGGCACTGGTATCACACCCATGTTCCAGCTCATCCGCCGCATCTGTGAAGACCCCCGCGACAACACCAAGACGACCCTACTATACGCCAACAAGACTGAAGGCGACATCTTGCTCAAGGATGAACTTGACAAGTTCGCTGAGAAGCACGACCAGTTCAAGGTTCACTACGTTTTGAGCAACCCATCGGAGAGCTGGAAAGGAGAAAAGGGTCGGATTAGTAAGAAGATGATTGAAGAGCGTCTCCCTGCACCAGCTGGTATGGACTCCAAGGTTCTTGTTTGCGGACCGGATCCTATGATGGATTCCATGATCAACTATCTGCAAGAACGCGGCTTTAAGGCACCTGGCAAGATCTCCAAGCCGCAGGATGAGATTTTCACTTTCCAGTGATCTTTTCGTTTGAGTTTCATTCAACAATGGATTCTAGGGTCTGCAGGGGTGGCGGCAGTGGTGTTACTGGTGGAGTCGTCGTAGACTGGGCACTATTCAGGACTTGTTTTAGATATCTTTCCATAATCTTTCGTAGGCATTGAAGCTGCCAAAGTTGACTTTTCCATCAACCGATGAATTCCGTTTCCATCTCTCACGTGCGCCTGTAAAGTCTCTGATGTTCAGGATGCTCGCAGTGTCTTTTAAGTTTGGTCTTTCCAAAAGTTGTCCAGACCCAGCAACACCTCGGCCGACACCTCTCTACCCAACAAGCTGCGCGTACTTCCAACTTCCGAGCACATCTCGCACGACAAAAAAGCACAGTCCGAATGACGTCTAGGCTAGATCGGCACTGCACGGATGTCTACAGTTGTCGAGGAGTGACGTAATACCTACATGAAGCATTAGCGGCTACCAAGTATATACATCATGCATCTAGATGCGCTTCGTGGTTACAGAACCAGCAACACCCCAACAGCAAGACCCATTAACCAAACCACGAACACAGTTTTAGCGACGATGTCTCTATGCGCACGACGAATACCGAAGGGCGTTCGGAGAATCTCGGCCGAGCCTCCTGTGAGCTATGCGACGTCGCGGTGTTTAGGGACGCGTATAACAACTCGGACACCAAGTTTGACAACGAACAAGTCATCTTTTCACACCCGCTCAACACTTTTACCTTACTCTACTATGTCGAACACGCAAATACGATCTTTATCTAGCAATCCCCAACCACAATGGACAGCACCAGACACATCATCAAGACCAATCGCTGTATTGGGTGGAGGAGTCTTGGGTCGACGAATTGCTGCTTCGTGGGTTGCTGCTGGCTACGAAGTTGTTCTATGCGATCTTAGCGACGAGCAGAGAAACGCTGCAACACACTACCTCGAACACCATATGGGCGAATTCTCGAAACTTACCGAGAACTCTAGGAAACGAAGCAACTTTACTACCGTCAAAGACATCAAAGAGGCGGTCAAGGATGCGTGGTTAGTGGTTGAAGCATTACCAGAGAAGCTTCCGTTGAAGATTGATATCATGGGCCAGCTTCAGCAGCAAGCACCGCAGGATTGTATCCTCGCTTCCAACTCGTCATCTTACAAGTCGCGATTTATGCTTGACAAGGTAGATGCGGGTAATCGGCATCGAGTGTGTAATATGCACTACTACATGCCACCGGGTAACAACGTTGTCGAGCTCATGACCTGCGGCGAGACACATGGAGATATTCTGCCTTTCTTGCAGAGCAAGCTCAACGATGCGGGTATGCAGCCGGCTATTGCGCGCAAGGAATCGACTGGTTTCATCTTCAACCGATTGTGGGCTGCCATCAAGAGGGAGAGTTTGCTTATCATGGCAGAAGGCGTTTCGGAGCCGGAAGAGATTGACAGACTGTTCCTGACCATGTTCAAGGATAACCCGGTTGGACCTTGCGGGATGATGGACGCGGTAGGGTTGGACACAGTTGCATTCATCGAAAACAACTATGTTGAGGAGCGCGGAGGCGATCCAACAGCGCGCGACTGGGTTCAAAAGAACTTTGTCGAGAAGGGCAAGCTAGGTGCAAAGTCTGGAAAGGGTGGTCTGTACCCAGCAGGCGAGACTACTCGCAGCTCCAAGGATGAGAGTGGCCATCACGACAACCTTGCAGCACCTAGACTGTACTTCCTAGACATCGGCATTGGAGGCAATGTCACTGATCTGCAAAAGGTCGTCACATCTGGCAAGATCATGACAGCTTCAGCAGACGGAAGTAACGTGCGCGAGATCGTTGGCGGTCAAGCTATGCCAGATGGCATCGATGTATCCATCTCTGCTGGCCGTATTTTCTGGACGAACATGGGTGCCTCTCCATCCAAGAACAACGGCAGTGTCATGTCCGCAAACCTCGACGGCTCTGATGTTCGACCTGTCATTCCGGAAGGTCAGATACACACACCCAAGCAGCTCAAGATCGATCACGACAACAAGAAGTTGTACATCTGTGACCGCGAGGGTCTCCGAGTCCACCGATGTGACTTTGACGGCAGCAATCACGAGATTATCGTGCAGACAGGCGATGCCAACTCGGCGGCCGGCGAGGACCAGACAAAGTGGTGTGTTGGTATCGCCATCGACCCCCAGGCAGGAAAGTTCTACTGGTCGCAGAAGGGTCCGTCGAAGGGTGGCAAAGGCCGCATCTTCCGCACAAACATGCAGATGCCCAATGGCGAGACAGCATCCTCCCGTTCGGATGTCGAATTGCTTTTTGATAGCCTCCCTGAGCCTATTGACTTAGAGTTCGAGCCTGAAAGCCAAACACTGTACTGGACAGATCGCGGCGAATACCCGCTTGGTAACACGTTGAACAGGGCGTATGTAGGCAGCGAAGCGAGCGTAGAGGCTGGAACGAAGGAGGAGAGAGGTGTCACAACGCTAGCGAGACATTTCCACGAACCAATTGGACTGAAGATCGACGCCGTCAACCGACATGTTTACTTGACGGATCTCGGTGGTACAGTGTACAGATTCGATATGGACGGAGGTAACAAGAAGAAGGTTTATGAGACGGATAGCGCGTATTCTGGCATCGCGCTTGCGCACTTGCACTAGTAGAGCTGTAGTAGATATTAATGTAATCGTGTACAAAGTTGAACAAATTGTTGCAGTGGCTCTGGAATAACAACCTCGGGGGATTTTGACGTCGGTGTTTGAGTGATGGAGCATTTGCCGACAAGCCTTCGGTATCCCAAATGCATGCAAGCCGCGAACCGAAGGTCCAAGCTCCGCAACACCAAATCCTCCGAGCTTGACACATGCCACGCGACACCCCTCGTTGCCTGCGCCGTCCCCGTCTCCTTCACCCTATACTGGGCCCTGACCACCATGAACACAATCTCGCCTCCTCCGCAAATAAAACGCCTATCAGGCCCCAAACGCTTCTTCGGCATCCTCGTGGGCATAACCGGCGGTCTAGGTGCCAATGCCCTTCTCGCCTACTCGGTATCCTCCTTCTACACGCGCAACACCAAATTCGTCCCTTACGACACCTCATCGCCTGATCTCGCTACCAGCGTCTTCCGCGCGCACAACCCCCACGGAAACCCACCCGTGTGCATAGATCATGCCGTAAAAGAGGTTCCGTATGGCAAGCTGCCGGAGAAGTACTGGGTAAAGGGTAGTGGGGGCAGGATATCTGTCGATCAACCGGCATTGGCGACGGATTTCTGTAGAGGCATCTGGAGCGGTGTTGCGTTCAGGGTGCAAAGAAGATTTTTGGAGAGAAAGTACCGTGCGATGGAGGGCAGGGAGAAGCAGCTCTGGGATGTGAAGCAGCTGGAGAGGGACGATTACAAGGTCGGCACTGGCATTGTTGATCATTTCGAGGTTGTCCAGCATACAGATGAGAAGGTGAGTTTACACGATTCTTTTTCCATGTGAGAATTCAACTGACTCGGCGTGTTTTCTAGGTAATTGTGCGATGCGGAGATTCACCATTCGTTGCCGACCACCGACCTTCAGACGGCCTGTTCTCAATGGAGGTCTCCAAAGACGACAAAGCGCAGATCGCTACCTTCCACCTCAAGTCTGTTTTCGTAGACACAACCCCAGACGGCAAGAACAACCAACCGCAACCTGGCGCAATCCAGTGGCTACATAGGTTGTACACAAAGCTCTGGATGGAGAGTGCGACACGAAAGTTGATCAAGGAGGCATAAGTAAATCAGGAATCGTAATGCAAATCAATATGCTTGATGAAGCACCAGGCCACCATAAGGTCCACAACCCAAGTTTAATTTCCAGCCAACTCTGCGTGGTATATTGTTAACATCAAGTACATAATACCCTACGAGATGCTAGCTCCCTTCGCTGCCACATCCGACGGGTCTAGCGTTGGTGGGATACCTAGGTAACCAATGGCAGCACTGGTTTGCCGACCTCGGATATGACCCTTGACTACAACAACTTCATTGTCCCTCCATCTGGAACATCACCACTCGAGCTTCATTCTCGACACACATCCTTGATAAACCAAACATTCCAAATCGATCTCTGAGTGCTATGTCGACCTCGAAGCTCTCCGAACGCGGTAGTCATGCAAGTACAACGGGAGCCAAAGACTTCGTGCGTGTCATATTTGGCGAGACATGCTCTTCTATTTAATACCCGTGCAGGAAATATGGGACATAATCACGAATATGTGGGACCCAAAGACGAATCCCGAAGGCTACGTGTGTCTCGGTCTTGCAGAGAACAGCCTGATGCACAACGAACTATCGGACTTTCTCAACTCAAAACGACTAGTCGATGACACATCCCATGGACTCACGTACGGAGACGGTCCGCAAGGGTCTAAGCGGGTCAAAGCTACAATCGCGTCATTCTTGAGTACCCATCTGCGCTCGACACGGGAACTAAAGCCGGAGAACATCTTCATCACGAACGGAGTTTCATCAGCGATTGAGCATTGCGCCTGGACTCTTGCTAATCCCGGGGAGGGTATCTTACTTGGACGCCCATACTATCGCGCATTCCTACCAGATATAGGTATGAGGACAGGAGTCCAAATTGTTCCGGTAGCATTCGGAGACGTCGATCCCTGCAACTCAAACTGCGTGGAAAAGTACGAAGAAGCGCTGCTGAGATCGAACGAACAGGGCGTACCAGTTCGAGCACTCATGTTGTGTCATCCACATAATCCTCTCGGAAGATGCTATCCAAGAGATGCACTCATTGGGCTGATGAGACTGTGTCAGAAGTACCAGATTCACCTTATCAGCGACGAGATCTACGCACTTTCCGTATGGAAAAATACCGTTGATGACATAGCTCACGAACGCGCCGATTTTGAATCTATTTTGTCAATCAGTGGCAAAGAAACCATCGATCCTTCCCTGGTTCATGTTCTGTGGGGTGTGTCGAAAGACTTTGGCGCGAATGGAATAAGGCTGGGTGCTGTCATCTCACAGTCGAACCCAGCTTTTCTGAATGCATTGCGAACATGCAGCCTATACTCCTCGGCGTCATCTCTCACAGAGAACGCTGTTGTGCACCTTTTATCCGATACGTCATTTGTCGAGAGCTACATCGCGACAAACCAAGCCCGTCTCTCGGTTGCATATGAACAAACTGTTCGTGCTCTTCGAGAGCATGGTATTGAGCACATGCCTGGTGCCAATGCCGCTTTCTTTTTATGGATCAATCTGGGTAAGTTTGTGCGCGAGAAAAAATCCTTAGGAGAGGAAGAGATGCGGATGTACTCGGGGCCAAAAAGCACACAGATAATCCAAGATCGGTTACGGGCGAGAAAGGTTTACCTGGTTCCTGGGGACGCCGTAGGTGCAGAAGAGCCAGGCTGGTTCCGCATGGTCTTTACTCAACGGAAAGAACTAATAACTGAATGCATTCGGCGCATCGTCGACGCATTGGGGTAAAGGCGATAGCCACTGATCAATCGAAGCAACAGAGCTGTCACGACTGGTTCCTTCGTTTTGCTCGATGCAGAAGTTCCGTCCTACCGACCTTTCCCGCCTGGGCGCAATTCAGATAACCCCTTGCGCAGCCTGATTCCCGTAGTATAACGACTTCGACTGTGAAACTGCATCTGCTCTTACAATCTTTCCCAGCTGATGAATATGATTTATGCGCGATATGTCCCAGTATTCTTGTATGCTTCAATTCGGAAGACAAGACAAACGTTGCGTGTTGACGCGTATCGCCTGTGGATAGCATAGACGTGGCTACACCCGATGTCAGAGCTGAGGTGTCGCGATCGATCTGTCAATCGCAGCAAGCGTAGCTCTCGTGTGCAGCGGGTTCTCCTTTAGTCGTCTGATGGCCCTTTCTGGGTTGAGCTCGTTGTATTGGCATTCTGACCCATGAATTGGAAACATGAGCTGTTGGTTTCGTGAAATCGAATGATCAATATCAGGGTTGACTTGCCGCTGTTTTTACGGTTCTTGCATGGCTCAGATCCCCTTGACCGGTGCTCGGAAAGAACATCTCGGGTACACAGCAGCCGGGACCGGTCCGCCGCTAAGCTCGGTACAGCTACAATAGTGTTTATCATCAAGCCATCTGATCTATGTGTCTTGCACATCTTCCTGGATCTTTCGACATTGAGATATACAACCCAAGTCAGCGAGATGGCCTCGAATCCTGATATTGCTCTGTTCGAATGTTCGTAGCCATACTTTCCTTGACAGCCCAGAAAGAAGTCTCGAGCGCGGTATCGGAGCTTCCTGCGCGAGATGACGAGATCCTAGTCGCTCTCGTGAACAGCAGCCTGAAGAGAGGCATGTCCAGCTATCTGCGTATGCTTGAGCAGTATCAGCAATCAGCTTTGACTCCTCACACTGCTCCCCATATCTGGATCGGTATCGAGGAATTGAAACGCTTCGCGTTGACTTTGTATCATGTGTAGACGATATGTTGCGAAACGCAGATGCCAAGTAAAGATGACTCTCAGGACCGGCTCTCGTCGCACAATCTGCAGTTTTCTGCCCCGGTTAGTGATGACTTGTGGAACGCGGATACTATACCCCAGCTTACTACTCTCGTAGAAGAGGAAAAGGCTGATGGCAACCAAATATGCGACAATAAGATGAACTGGGATTGCAATTGGTCATGAGGTGCGGCCTCTGCAAGATCTAGGAATGTATTCAAATTGATTGCGCGTCCCAAGGGTTGCGCACAAGATTCCTGACGTCAGGTCTCGGTGTCTGGGAGACCCATTCCTTCCCAGCCAGCCATTTTACTCGACCATAGCCTCTGTGCTGTACCCCCACTTTGCCAGCTCCGAAGTTCTCTCTCATCGCTCTTACCTTGGATGAGATTTAGAATGGCCACAGCATGCTCGGCACCAGGCTCAAAGGTCGAACCCAGGAAAGGCGGGAGTGGAGCATATGCTTCACCGGCGAACCAAAGCCTTTTTAATTGTGGTGACGAAGCGGACGTGTCGCCACCCTGCTCCCAACTTTCGTCACCAATCTCGTCGTCGGTGTCTTCATCAAGCTCATCGACAGAGATGGGTCTCATAGCCAGAGGGGCAGCAATCACTTTGGTAATCCAAGGGGTCTCACACTTTGAGAGCATCTCCCAGACGGGTTTTGGAAACCTGGTTTTGGCGGCGTCAAGATAATCCTTCCATTTCTCTGCACGTCCTTTGACATGCCGCCCTCTGTCTATGAACGTGGTCATGACCTTCTCAAGGTCTCGGTCGGTATCCTGCTCGTACGGATGATACCAACACCATTCGATCACCATATCATCGTTGTCATCGGCATTGCCAAAGCCTGGCACACCATACCTGATCACAGTCAGAACACAAATAACAAAATGATTGAGGCAGAAAACCCGACAGGATGATATATTGAGACCCGTGCATCTTGTACCAGACAAGCAGGCCTTTCTTGATTCGTTCATCAATTTTCTTTTCTTCATCGACAGAAACATCGGCTGGTACTCGGCCGCGCCATGCCACGACCTGCTCGTAGCTGGGCACTACACCTGGGGACGTGAGCTTCCGTATGGTGGATTGGGCACCGTCCGCGGCGACGAGCATGTCAGCTGTCTCTGTCTCGACACGATTGGTGGCTGTCGAGTGATATGTGATAGTCCATTTCCCATCTTTGTACTGTGCGTTTTCCACATTCGCGCCTATGCGGAGCGTTGGGCGTGCCTCGCTCGCTGTTTTCCAGTTTTTCTCGTACTCTACAACCACATCTCGCATTAGTACCTGGTACGCATCGAGCCAAGTAGTCATTACAACACGATGCTCTTCTGGCACAGGCACCATCTCATCATTATCTGGGGAAAATATCAAGAGCTGTTCACTGCGTATAGAGCGTTCAAGTAAGTCAGGCGCAGGGACGTATTCTTCGAATATCTTTCGGCCCCAACGTCCAAGAGAAAATCCGCCGTTGTGCTTTCCTGAGTAGAGCGTATCGTTCTGCTCCAATAGGATGACATCGCACTCGTTCTGACAAAGGTTCGCGACTGTCAGCCCAGTTAGAGAAGCCCCAACCTAGGAAATAAGTTAGTAACGTAAGCCTCCAGCACTTCCAGGACAACATTGTCAAGCAGAAAGCGAACGAGAACGTACTATTACTAGTTTTCGTCGTTCAGACATTTCGATGGTGAGCGGGCATGGTTATGCCAGCGTGTCGAGAAGATCCTAACCCCTCTGCACGCTATGAACTTAGTAGGTTTCGGGGAGATCGAGAAGGTGCACCCGGCAACACGCCTGCAGTATCCATAAGTGGGACAGGTGAACCTAGCATCGGGCCGTTTTCATGCCTGTTTCGCTCTCTACTATGATAACGTATGTCAAGAGTTGTGCGTAAGCATATTAGAAACCTGGAAGGCTACAACGGGTGTAGCCTTTGTGAACCTTCTTGTTAGCAGTTGATGTAAGCTGCAAGATCACGCTTGTTGTCTCTGTACGTGTTTCGTTTTCCTCTTACATGCGGTGTTCAGAGCCCTCCGACGGCCGCTAGCATGATAGCGTGAAGCCGCTCCGGTCCATTACGTCATTCCAAGCAGAAAACTAGACACTTTCTCAACTGTACCTCTCTACAATCAGAGCATGAAATGCTGCAACTTGAATCCCCGACAACACAGGGTATGGGAAGGCGATCCCATAAAGAACTCTGTAGTCTTCTATCGCGCTGTGCAGTAGGTGTAAAGTCCCTGTCATCCCGGGTAATGTAGAAAAGGGTCTCGATGACGTCGTGCAGGTGGGTCGTGCAGGGGTTAAGAAGAGCAACGAAGATCCGGGGATCATGAAGTCTCCACTCTCCTACCCCTAAGCCTCACGAAGCTTCCCTTATAACTCTCCTTGTCTGTACATTTTCCTTTGTTCAAACGCGTTTTGTCGTCTCTGGTGGTGCGAGGATCCCTAGAACACGATACGTTCCTACGCGACAGGAGTTGGGCGCGTCCACAAGCGATCTCCGATAGCTCCGCACCCCTGATCCCGAGTCGCGATGCCTGTCAACACCATTTCTGTGGGCGCCGCAGTTACGCCTACGGTTATCCAAACATACCTCTCGCATTACCTCAATCGTCGCCCGCTTGCGCAGAAACCCACGGCGCATATCTCTTACCACGAAGGCCTTGAGCTTATCCGCCGTTTCCTCCACTATGCTTCCTTCCACACAGTCGACGAACTACAAGCGTTCACGTCACAATGGGTTCCAGTACCGCGTTGGGTGCACGTAAATGTAGTGGAAGTCTCGAGCAATCTGTTGGAGCGCTCAGCACAGCTACTCAATGCGCAATTGGGACCCGAAGGCATCAAGGCCGTAGGAGGAAAGAACTGGTGGCAGGTCAGGCAGAGCCCATGCTCATGTACGATTCAAGCTAACACCTCAACAGTGGAGACGTGATGGGACGACACTGAAAGCTGAGTGGATCGAAATGCGCAAAGACCACGATGCGAGGAAACAATTAGCCATCACTAAAGGCGACCGCATCATGCTCTATGTTCACGGCGGCGCCTACTTCTTTGGCAGTGTCGACGAGCATCGCTATCAGATGCAACGACATGCGCGCAAGCTCAAGGCCAGAGTGCTGGCGCCCAAGTATAGACTCGCGCCCCAATTTCCTTTCCCATGCGGTCTACATGACTGTACGTACTTCCATCAACACCTCGGAACACATGCTGACTACGCTAGGTTTGGCGGCCTACCTCTACCTTCTCGAAGAAAAACACGACCCTACGACGATTATATTGGCAGGCGACTCGGCGGGTGGCGGCATGGTTCTGAGCATGCTGGTGACACTGCGCGACCAAGGCATACCACTACCCGCAGGTGCAATTCTCATCAGTCCCTGGGTAGACCTGACGCATAGTTTTCCCAGTCTTGGAGGGGATGACAAGATGGATTACATTCCCTCACACGGCTTCATCCACAAGCCGAGTATGAGCTGGCGTAAGTTGATTCTCTTCAGCTTGCTGTCGTATCGCTGACATAATATAGCACCGCCCAACGCCGATGATATGCTCGAGATCGAAACTTCATCCGGCAAGACCACCAGCAAGGATAGCAACTTAGACAAAAAGGAAGACCGTGCAGCGAAGAAGGAGGCCAAGGCTGAGCGCGTACGAGGATATTCAGTCCAGTCAGGAGATCGCCCACCTCTGGGGGATATCGTTGACCCTGCAGCTACCGGGCAAGACGAAGACGTCTGGGTTTCCTCAAATGGCAAGTATAGTGTCGGACCGAAGAGTCAATTATCCGTACAGCTCGAGGATGTACGTGTGGAGATCAAGGACCAGATCCAGATGTACGCAGCAAACCACCTATTGACACATCCTCTGGTCTCGCCAGTTCTACAACCAACACTCGGCGGCCTGCCCCCTCTACTCATCCAAACGGGTGGTGGTGAATTGCTCAGAGACGAGCAAATCTACCTCGCGCATAAGGCTGCCCAACCACTGGCATACATACCACCCCCGTCCAATAATCAGACCGCCGAATCTATACAGGCTCAAGCCGCCAGCTACAAGCCCACTAATGTTCAGCTCCAAGTTTGGGACGATCTGTGTCACGTTACACCTACACTGAGCTTCACTCGACCAGCAAAGCACATGTACCGCAGTATTGCTCAGTTCGGTGCCTGGGCACTTGCGCGGGCTCAGAAGAAGTCCATCGACATCCTTGATGACGATGACATTTCCTTCATGAGCAAGGACTCAAGTACCTCGTCAGAGTCGGATAAGGCGGGCTCAAGGTCTTCGTCAGATGATCCCAAGTCTTCAAACGCGGAGGCCAAACGATTGAAGGCAGAGAAAAAAGCCACTCGAGATGCACGTGTGGGTCGAGCTGGTGATCCCATCCCACCATTCTCAAGCCACATGATACGCCAACGTATCGATCGACACGGTCGTATTTACGCACTTGCACCCAAAGAAGAGCTTGTGGCTTTGAACATCCCAAGCATCGATGTCGGTGTTCCAAAAACTGGACCTGTCAGCAAATGGATGAAAGCGCAAGCTCAGTGGAACAAAAAGTTCTCCAAGCAGAAGATTAAGATCCAGAAGCAGCGTATCAAGGACATGCAAAAAGGGTTTGAGGGTTTTGAGGGTGAGACGCCACCGCCAACCGCCTTAGCTGGCAGAAGGATAAAGGGAATGAAGGCCCAAAAAGCTGCAAAGAGGAGTTGGGGTATGTCGATGTGGTCTGGCTGGGGTAGCAAACACGACGAAGCCACTGTAAGCACAACGTCCCTAGGGAACTGCAAAGGATACTGTTGCTAACACATCACAGATCGTACGCGAGAAGAAAGCAGACCAGAACCTCGACACCGAAGTCTCTACTTCCGTTGAAGACCCAGCCCACACCTTGGATGGCGCCGCAGGCAGCAAATCTGAACGAAGTCGTGCCACCAGGCTCGCCGCTCCAGATGTAAAACGATCCCGCTCACGTTCACGTCACTCGGCCGTGACCGACCAAGGCCAAACTGAAGTACCCATGGACGACCTCACGAAAATCGAATCGATTGTACCGCATCCGGGTCTGGCCGACGCAACGACGCTTGCTCCAGAACGCTCTGCGTCGCCTCTTCCATCTCCTACAAGTGAGCTTGACAGCCCTGGCTTGCCTCCGAACATCATCGTTTCAGACAACCCTGGAAATGATAGTACTATTATCCCGGCGACTGACACGCTGACTACGCGTCCGACGGCGGGCGGTATCGCGTACCCTTTCAGCCTCAAGGTGGATGGACCGGATGGGAAGGATGTTAATGCTAGTACGCTTACGCTTGCTAGTGTGAACATAACTACACCCCCCGCTATTGACGACGCGCAGAATGAAGACAAACAGCTCGGCAGTGTGCAGGCGGTGACTGAGACTGTGAATGAGCAGATCTTGAAGGAGGAGAGACCACATGTTGAGCGGTACTTCACTGCTGGCCAGGGCGCTGGGCTCTTTAGCAGTGGTGTTCCTGAGGCGAGGGTTGGAGAAGGAAAGACAGTAGAGAGGCCGGGTGTTGAGAGATTTGAGACCGCGCAGGACGGTTCGGAAACACTTGCTGCTGGTAGTGAGAAGCAGTGATATAGCTAATGAGCTTAAGGCGAGGAGGATAGCTAGGTAACATAGTTGTAGATACCCCATTTTCTTTCGTCCATAGTTCTAATACAAAGTACACACAAGGCTCAGGCTTTTTGAGTCTTCTTACAATTCCATGTCGCACTACGTTCTGTGATGGACTAGATTGTAAGGTTCCACAAGTTGTGATGACTTCAACCTGGAAGTCAACCTAACCTCTGGTACCTCCGCCGGAGATAACGTAACTCCGTGTGACATCACCCCGCTCCAACACTACCCATTCTCGATCAACGAATACATAACTCCTTCCTCATTTCTATTACATCAAATCAACTCTTCCAGACCTCGCAATGTCAGTCTTCCGCTCCTCAGCCCACGCTCTCATCACAGGCGGCGCATCCGGCGTCGGCTACTCCGTCGCCCAACTCTGTTTGAAACACTCAATGCGTGTCTCCATCGTTGATTTCAACCAATCTTCCCTTGACATTGCGGGCAAGAGCTTGGAAGGCGAGGTCAAGCTCATCAAAGCAGACGTATCTTCACGCCAAGACTGGGCATCAATTCGCGAACAAGTTGGCACAGATGTCGACTTTCTTATGCTCAATGCCGGAATAGGCGGAAGAGGAACATGGGGCGACGAAGGTTACTTTGACAAGATCTTGGCGACGAATCTGGGTGGTGTGGTCAATGGACTCAACGCATATGTTCCTTCATTCAAAGAAAGAGACGGGAAAGGGCCATCAGCGATCGTGATCACTGGCAGTAAACAGGGTATCACGAACCCCCCTGGTAACGCCGCATACAATGCTAGTAAAGCAGCTGTGAAGACTCTCGCTGAGCATTTGAGCTACGACTTGAAAGATACTAGTGTTGGTGTTCATCTGTTGGTTCCGGGTTGGACGTTTACTGGTCTTGTAAGTTGCCTTTCTCTGATTCGGCGCTTTGTTACATTCTCTGCCCCACGCGCATCCTGTTTTCTCGCCACTGACATATGAAACAGTCCGGAAACACACCCGGTTCTGACAAAGCGAAGCCGGAAGGCGCATGGTCAGCAGACCAAGTTGCAGACTATATGTACACCAAGATGCAGGACAAGAAGTTTTACATCATCTGTCCGGACGACCAAGTTACAGAGGAGACAGATAAGAAGCGTATGTTATGGAGTGTGGGAGATATCGTCAATGAAAGGCCGCCATTAACGAGGTGGAGAGATGAGTACAAGGAGGAGGCGGAAAAGTGGATGAAAGGGCAGAAGGTGTAGTGACAGGCCAGCATAGTTAGACAATCGGGCTTGAGAGCTCAGTGGATTTTATGCCGATCTTGCATCTACTACACTCGTTTCTCTTTAATCATATCTATAAGAGACAAATCCGCCTCTGGGTATCTCAGTATTATTGATCAAGCGCGTGAGCGCGGCCACTAGACAAGAAGCACCCTTGGGTTGGGTACTGCTTACACACGAATAAAATCACGAGTTTTGGCAAGCCCTCGACTTCTTGCGGTCACGAACAGCTAAGGCGATAGTTTCGGCCCGATAGGGCTAATAAGGACACGATTCAAAAATGTATTAAAATACTGGACGATACCCAGCGAGTGTCACCGACCGCCAATAGGTGGAGGCCCATCAGGATCACGAACATGGGTATCTCAGTATGTCTTCGCAATTAGCATCAAACCTCATAGACCACAAACGCATCCCTGTCATTAGTTTCTCCGTCTTTTCCAGCTCACGATCTTTGCCAAACATAGATTCCACAAATTCACGACCCGAGCTTTTACCCATAGACACTGGCTTCTCGTTACCAGCCTCCTCCTTTGCAGCTTTCCACATATAGTCCTCGCAGATTTTCAAAAGCTTTGCAAATCGTATCCATAGCCGTTCACCGGATTCGAGAAAGTCTTCGACCATTTCGTGATTTTCTTTCCTTCTGATCTTTAATAGCGTTTCTTCAGCACGTTTAACCTTTCCCGCAAGCTGGATCAAGAGAAGCCACAATTCGCCAGCCATTTCCGCCAACGGCGTTGCAGTGCCATGATAGAAGACGGTCCAATCGTAAATCCATTTCCCTAGTGAATTCGCGTCGAAAACACTACCAAGTAGCATGATTGGTTCCTCTGTTGGATCCCAATTGCGGTATGAATATCCAGAAGGTATACCTACTCGTATTGCGTCCTCCTCAGTTGCCACAGGTCTTTTATGTGCCACATCGGGCTTTGGCAGACGTGGGGTTTGCCTCCTTCGATGATCTCGTCGTGAAGCAGCGGGCACGAACTGATAACAATACTCATAGGATCCAGGAAATGACGAATAATATGGAGTCATTCCACCGGATGGCACGTAGGACGGCATGTAACTTGGAGGGGTTGCGTGGCTGCTCCTCGCCGAAGGAACTCTAGACTTTGAGCTTTGGTTCCCATCTCGGTAGTTTGTAAACGAGCTCGGGTTCTCTTTACCTGATGACTTGTTGAATTCACTAGTTGGCTGCGAAGGCTCCCATGCTTTCATCTTGCCCTGCTGCTGTTGCCTCTGAAGGTAAGTCTTGGCCGAATGGTTTTGCTCGTGAAGATCCGCCTGTGAGTCTTCGTATTTGTGGCGCTTCGATGGGCCACTTGAAACGTCGATCTCCAGGCCATCCTCCTGTTTACGTTTCTCTCTATTTGAAGCCTGCTCTGGCAGATCTTTGTTCAGCCGACGCCTCTTCGCCTTGATCAGTCTCACGCGATTGAAGTTTGCGGGCTCTTCATCCGGATCATCGTCTCTCTTGCGTTTTCCTGATCCCGAAGGCGGTACAGGATGCACGATACGTCGTTCTGGCTTAACTGGTGGTGCTGTTACAAGAGAGTCGGGGGCTTCCGGTGCAAACGTTGTGACACTAGCCTCATCTGTAATGTCGACTATTCGAAGCACGTGCTTGCAATGTAAGCTACAGGGAGTTAGTCGATGAAATCATAGCGATCGCGAAAGATGCGTGTTGCATCTCGGGTGCGCAAACACCACTAAAAGCATGGCGACCACATACCATGTACTACCAAGTCCCCTTGGCTGCTCAGATTTTGCGTGACACCTGATACATTTGGTCCCTAGCGAACTCTCTGAATTGTCGTCATCAGACTTCTGGAAGATCATGTCCATGTCGAACCAAAGGCCAGGGCGAAAAACAGTGTCCCACTTTTGCGTGACATTGACATCCTTGCCAGTTGCACGGTTTTGCAAGACATATTCCTTCTTGAGTACTTTCTTAATACCTGGTTTACCCTGGAATCGCACCTCGAGAACAGCTAAAAGGGCATCCCACGAAGTGATAAAGTCTAAAGTGATGGTACTCACTCGGCCGATCGCATCCTCGAGGTAGAATATACGCGGATCCGAGATTGGGCGTGTCAGTGTAGGAAGGACGAGCTGGATGTCCAGGACAGAAGCTTGTATCTTGTCAACAGCAGCGTATGTGGCGAGATTAACAGCTACAATCTTGAGCATGAGGGCCTTCAGATCGTGTCCAAGCTGCAGTAACCAGTTTGCACGTGTTGATCTCACTAGTGCTGAAAGAAGGTTGTTGCCTGTTGTGACGCGACGATTGACTTCGTCGAGTCTTGTTTGAAGACCTTTGATTGAGGAATCTTGTTTGTCGAACAGCGCAACGAGGGTATTGTTATGAACCTTCATGGTGTGCCTGTTGCATATCAGCGTTCATGTCCAGAGTCGAGGTTCTTGATCTTTACATCGTCGCAGCAGCCAGAAGCTGATCGATAGACATCGAATAGGCCACCACTTCTGCTCTAAATCTTGAAACGTCATCTCTCATCTGCACTTGCCAGAGAATCTTCTTTGCGCTGCTTGAAACTAGTTTCCGCGCGGTTCCTTTTGTCGATGTGTTTCCGAGGTGACCTTCATACCGCTGCGTCTTAGCTTTGAAAGCCACGAGAGACGCACGACATTGATTGATGGTTGTTTCCAAGTTTCCAAATAGTGCAACTAGTTCGGGTGTAGTAGCATGTGTTTTTGATAGTATGCCGACCTCCAGCAATGATTTCTCGAGCACATAGAGTTCGCGAACGACAGCCTGATACTCTGCGGCAGATCCATTAGTGTCGCTCAGCGCATGTACACAGTCCTTTACTAGTAGACAAACTGCGATTATGTCCCCAACTGAGCCAAACGTGATCGACATGACAGGCGATAGGATATCTCACAGTGTTTGGGGTTGTGCTGAGTATAAAGTGTCCGTCTATGTTGATACTGGAAATGAGGGGGTGGCTGTGAATACAGAGCTTTACCTAATGAAGCTCACCGGTCAGCAACAAGGCAGACCTGATGGCATCTTTACACCCTGTGCACAATGGTATAGGCCGTTTTTTATTTGCCAGAATGCGATTACGATCGATTCTTGCAACAATCTTCGTCTTTCTGCAATACTGTATACGCCTCGTTCACATGTCACAAAATTGTTTAGAGAAGCGGCAGTGCTTAAGGCTTATCAAGCCGCGCAGTGGCGTCGTAAAATATACAAGCTAACGCGCGCATAGTCGCCACATATACTTCCGCTGCTTGGAAGAACAGCGCCATTGGCTCAGCGGAGGAGTAGTGCTTGTGGTGCTTGTAAGCGGCTCTGAGGCGGCAGACTGCATGCGTGCTTGGTTACTAGCAGATCACCATCAGTCGTAATGCATATCTGCTAATATGTCGGTCGACCTAAAATTAAAAAAAACTGAAAATTGCCACCGTGACGGATGAATAATGGGGTATCAAATGCTCCTTGACCCGAACGCCAATGAATGCAGAAGTAGAATCGCTCAGAGGCCAGTAAATCGCCCGTCCCGACATAGGATCTGATCAATCGGAATCATAGCCCACCAGAGCTTCAAGCAGAGCAGGTTTCTTGGTTGGCGCCTCAGCACCTGCATTCTCAGGCGCCGCGTCTATACCGGTTGTATCAGTATCTCTCTTCCTCTTCAGTATACCCAAGTTGACTCTGGAAGCTGGCATGCTACCATTGTGCAGAAACGGATCAATGGCGGCTTTTGTGTTTCCGACAAGTGTTTGCTGCAGTCCCAGTCGACTCTTCTCCCTGGCTATTTCTGCCTTAAGTTTCTTCGTCGGCGGTATAGGATGAACAGCCTTGTCGTTTGTGGCCTTTTCTTCCACCTTTGTGTCCGCGAAAAGAGGTTTCCACTCCAAACGACCCCCTCCCCGGTCGTCCGTTGCTGTAGAACCAAACTCGACCAGCCCAGCTCGTGTGCGGTCTGCCTCAGTCTCGTCCACGATATCCAGTCCCAGACTGAACTTATCCTGCATACCCTCCTTGTGTTTGTCTTCTTTCTTCCAAACTTTCCGCTTTTCCCGAAAGTCCCTTCTCAATTTCGCATTAACATCGTATGGGTCCCTCCAAACCTCCGCCTTATCGTACAACTCCTCAACTCTCTCCTTGTTCTTCTTTTCGATCCCTCTATCCTCCAACTTCCCCTCTAGACTTGCGAAGGCATCTTCCCTCCTCTTCTGCTTCTCTTCCTCAGTCAGGAATTTGAGGTCTCCCTCGGCTAACGCCTCATCTCCCTTTCCAGCAGGCCCATAATCCCTTCTTCGCGCCCCTTCTGTGACAACATATTCGCTGTTCTGCGGATCCGTTCTAATCTCCCACCAGCCACCACAAGCACTGTGTTTCATGCGAAAACTCCATATGGGCGTGCTGTGGTAGTTGCCCACTTTCTTCTTCTCGGCGTTGAAACGTACACCTTGACCGATGATGGCGGGCGGACTGCAGTGATCACACCACACGGCGAAGGGCAGTTCGAAGCGGACTGTGAGGATGCCCTGGGAAATTTTGTTTGCGCGTTTGCCGAGTGGGTGTGAGGAGTTGTTGAAGCTTGGAGGATTCGAGGCGTCAGGCGGGTAGTACCGCCCCATATTAAAGCCCTGCATCGTTGGCGGGTACGTATGGAAAAATGCGCGGCGTGCGCTGAGTTCTGGTGACGGCTTAGTTTGGTGTTGAAGTGATGCAGTCGCGAAGTTTGGCCGCGGGAGTGGATGACGTAAGCACAGACAGCTCTAGGAATCGCGACTCTTACGTGAAGAGGCTCTTTCGTTACAGGATGCGGTATGACGTCATGCTTTCATTTACGTGCATTCAGCTAGGCCTCCAAACATGTATGCATGCTGCATGAACTTCCCGAGTTGGAAGGTAAATTAAGGTTGCTGTTGATTACGGCACTAAAAGGCTTGTCTCACTATTTACTTGCCACGGCCAACTCCGATGCCGCACGAACAATGTACATAGAGACTGGATAGTAACACACGATGTAATATACATCATATATGATGTTGAAAGAATAGTCGCAATCATATTGTTTTCGATGTTTGGTCTATGCTGGCCTTGCGTCCAAACGCCGTCGATCAATAGGCTACTTAGTCTTCGCCTCTACCCTTCTTCCAGATCTGTTCATCCGGTTGATCATGTATCATTTTACTTCAACACTTAAGCCTCAGGGTCCGTGATGAGCTTAGTAATCTTGCCAATGGCAATCGTCTGACCTTGATCACGGAGGGTGAATCTACCCAGCTGCGGGTAATCCTCGAATCGCTCTACACAGATGCTTCCAGCAGTACCGGTGATTTGCAAGCGTGCAATGATGCTCATGCCCTTGGTAGCAAATCCTGGTGCCTTCTTCGATTTACGTCCAGTGCCCTTCTCCAGCTTGTGCAACAGGGCGGTAATGGTGACCTCTTCTTGTGCGGCGTGGACGTGGAGCACGCAGTTGAATCCGGCTGTAAGGATAGACTTGATGTCAAGAAGTACGACCTGGGCCTCGAATTGAGAGACACAGTGGACAGGTCGCTTAGGTGAGCAAAGAACGTAACCCTATGAAGAAGTTAGTAAGCGATCATGGAAGGAGGATTGATCAAAGTACATACAGGCAGAATATCTTCTTCTTCAATACCTCGGAGTCGCACGCGAATTTGGTCACCGCAAGTCGCTCCAGGAATCTCGTCTTCTTGTTCACCGTACAAAGCCGAGATGTGGATTGTCTGTCGGTTGGGCATCATGAGGTACCTTGGTGCAGTTAGTAAGTAACAGGTGCTGATGTCAGAAGACGTGACCTACTTTTGCTCCTTCTTGATGATACCGGACTCGATCTTGCCTTCAATCATAGTACCCATGTCCTTGTACTTGGCGGCGATGGGCATCATGAAGGGCGCATTGAGCTTACGCTCGAGCGCTTGCATGTTGTCGAGGTACTCAAGTAGAGATGGGCCATCGTACCATGGCGCCAGGTCCTATTGACCAAATCAGTTCATATCCCTATTACAGACAAAAGGTTACTTACCTTTGGTACACGGGTCTTGATACCTGTGAATGTTTGTGCACTGACCGGCATCATGCTAATGTCAGTCTTTGGGTTGTATCCGAGACCCTTCAAGAAGGCTACTACCTTGGTAGTGCACTCCTTGAAACGATCCTCGGACCATTCAACAGTAGGATCGTCCATCTTGTTGACAACGATGAGAATCTTGTTAACACCTTGTGTCTTGGCCAGCATAGCGTGCTCTCGGGTTTGGCCACCCTTCTCGAAACCTGTCTCGTACTCTCCCTTACGGCCAGAGATGACGAGAATACCGACATCTGCTTGTGAGGCACCACTGATCATGTTGGGCACATATGTCTTGTGGCCTGGCGCGTCCAGGATGGAGTATCGTCGCTTCTCTGTCTCAAAGAAACCTCGACCGACTTCGATAGTCTTACCCTGCTGTCGCTCTTCCTTGTTCAAATCGAGCGCCCACGAAATGTACCAGGTTTCACGACCAGCGTCCTTGGCCTCCTTCTTGTACTTGTCGAGGGTACGCTCGTCGACCATGCCAGTCGAGATCAGGATACTGCCACCAAGAGTGGACTTTCCTGCATCGACGTGGCCTAAGAAAATGATGTTGACGTGCTCCTTGCCGTAGATTTCGGCAAGAGTGGCCTCGTCAACCACTTCCTCCATTTCCTTCTCAATGTCCTGTGCTGCCTTCTTCTCAATGGCCTTTTCCTTTGGTGTCGGGCTGTTGCGGCCAGAAGAAGGAGTTGGCGAAGTCCTTCCAGAGCCTGCAGATGCTGGGGTAGCCTCGCCGGTCTTCTCAATGGCCTTCGCAGCGGTGACCTTGGTACCGGCTTCAGGAACGCTCTTCTCCTTGTCCGCCTTCTCCTTCGCGGCCGATGGCGCAGCTGGTGTGCCCAGACTGAGGACCTTTGTGCCACCTGCCTTCTCGACCTTCGGTGCTGTGGTGTCGCCTCCGATGGACAAGACCTTTGCCTTAGGTGCGCTGTCGCCACCAATCGAGAGAACCTTTGCCTTGGGGGCGTCCTTCTTGGCCTCAGCAGGCGCAGCACTGTCTGAGGCAGCCACGTCGTCGCCTCGCTTTGCTATCCTCACAGGAGACTGGCCTTGTTGCGGCTGCTGGGCCTGGAAGTTCTGCTGGTACTGCTGTCCGTATTGCGGGTATCCTCCCTGCTGTCCACCGTACTGTTGCCCATATTGAGGGTAGCCCTGTTGTTGCTGGTAGCCACCATATTGCTGACCACCGTACTGGTTGTAGCCACCGTATTGCTGGCCGTACTGTTGGTAGCCACCGTAGCCCCCATAGGCTTGGCCGGGGACGAAAGCGCTCGCGCCCGGGGTGAAGGACTGCGCTCCTGGTGTGAAAGTGGGCGTATTGTTGAGGTTCATGCCCTGCGCCTGCTGCGCGAGGCGTTCCTCCTCCTGCTCCCAGTTGTCGGCCATTGTGACGTCGGTTGTCGCAGGGATGTGTCGTATGGTTGGGTTGGTAGGGTAGCGACGGGGTGCGTGTAATGCGCTTCGGGGACGACTATGTCGCTGTTGTTAACGAGTAGGCGAGAACGTGGGTAAATTCGTCCCGCAACCAAAGATCGACTACTGAGGTATATAAGTGGACGGGCGTCGAGTGTCGTCGGCGAAAAGTGAAAATGTGCCGCGTCGTTGCTGCCCACGCAAGATTTGGCGGGGTCGCTTTCGGTGGCTGAGTGGGGCTGACTCAACGCCTCGCTGCCTAACATTGGCTAGGGCTCCTAGCAACAAAGACACTCACCTACACGCAAACACTCGCATCCATTGTCACTTGCCACAGATATTCCTGGTTGCCTTCTCCAGCAACCCAATACTCTGACCTCATGGTTCATCTAACCCAAATATCTCACCACCCAACCGTTCCCATACAAGGGTGAGACCAAATCGATAGGTCAAGATGGAGTCACTCCTAGCAAATGTATGACTACGCTTTGACTGCCAATACGTCATATGCAGACACAGAGTCATCCTCCTCGTACTCAGTGCACATGCTGACATGTGGTAGGTGACCAAGCAGGCTATGAGCTATGCTATCAGAAGCGGTATAGCCATCACCAGCCACTATGCGCTCAAGCAATGCGGCCGACTGATGAAGACGGTCGAAGGCCGTGAAAAGCAAGAGCTCGCCAATTTGCAAATAAGACTAGACTCCAAAATCAAAATCATCTCACCAGCGATCGATATGATAGAGCTGATTGCGGCACGCGGAAACACGTCACTCGAGTCTGCTGTAGGACTCACAAAGTCTCTTCGATGGGACATTCAGACATTAGGTAGCCGTGTGGAAAAGGCTGTGGCCGAAGAGCAGCTCTCAAAAAGAGGCAGCTCCAAAGCGAAATCGCGGGATCAGAATGACGCCGAGCTCAAGATCATCATTGAAGAGATGAAAAGGTTGCTGGAGCGTATCGAAGATGCTGTGCCACTCATAAATCTGGCTATCACCACATCCGGTACTAGTCTCTCCACCACCCTCCCGGCTACTGTATCGCCATCACGGCTTCTACAGGCCAGCACCTTTCTCACTTCTGGCGACATGCAGTATTGCGCATCGAAGCCCAGAGCCCAGCAGATTGGACCGACCTTTACCCTCTCCTTGTACATGTTGTTCGCCGGATATGCGCATCGAGCCCATGAGGAAGACGTTCGAGAAACAACATGGAAGGAGGTCATGCACAAAGCACGTGTTACACTTATGAGGATTCCTCTCGACAATGTCTACGATTACCCCACACCTTTTGGGCAAGACAGCAGACGAGCCGATGAGGCTAACCACCGCCACATTCCCTCTGATAGTATGTTGCAGGAGTTTGCCTATCAGCTGCTTATCGTTGAAGACTTAGATGATGGTCGTATGCACGAGTTCGAGGATGGCGAACCCCAACTAGGGCCATACGACGGTGTGGAACAGGCTGGTGTTCGTGAGATCATACCCATTCATGAAGTCTCCAAGATCTTTTACGCCGATACAGGAAAGATATTGAACATCGGTTCCGACAACGAGAGTAACAACCCAATTTTGCTATTGAAGCGAGACGTCAATGCAGCACCGCCACGCCGTATGATGGAACGTGATACAGAGGGACCTGGTTACGAGTCAGATGACTCACATACGATCGGAGACGGCGAAGAAGATGCTGAACAAGCAGAGCTGGAAGAACAATTCCGGCGTGAATCGACACCACATCTCGAGGAACAACCCTCACCGGAGCCTGAACAGCCCCCACAAGAGCCCGAGCAACCAACGTATCCCTGGCGACTACCTCCCACGCTGGACCTAGAATGGATGGCATTCGAAGTATACACTGAAGACCCGACCTCCGATTCCGAAATCGACGAAACAGAAGAGTCGACTGAAGCTTCTTCGCTGTCCCCAGCAGCCACACCTACACCGCCCGACTTCCTAGGGCGTTTCTCTGCCCTCAACCTTCGCCCTAGTACGCCCACCTCTCCCAAACCAACACCCCACAACCAAATCATTCCTTCTCCCAAGAAAGTTTCGGCACCGACACCGCAGTACCAACGACAACCTCCAACGTCCCTTCCCACGGTCAAAACTTCATTGTCTCTACTCGAAATGCTTATCCGCCTCACTGCTCTCCAACAATTTCAGCAATCCTCCCACCTGGCCATCCCAGACGAATTCCTTAACTTTTTCCTCTCGGATAGCAGTACAGTGGGGGCAGGTGGTGATGCTGAATTAAGGCGAAGAGTCAGGAGGGAAGCAAGGATGAGAGTTGGATTTGATCCGTATGACGAGAGTCCGATCAAGAGGAGAGGAGAGGAGTATCTGGAGCATGAATTGCATGAGCATGAACATGTGCAAGATGGGAGAGACGAAGAGAGGTCTGTATATGGTGATGAAGATACGTTGACTGGAGATGGCGGTGGTGGGAGGTATGATTATCAAGGCTACCCCATGGGTCATCGCGCTTCTTCTCCATACTCTCGGTCACGAGGTAGTACACCTGGCTCACCACGGACACCGATCATCCCAACATCCAGTCGCTCAAAATCCTCAGTTGATGTTTCATATACTGGGAGACACAGCCTAGGCAACATCTCCTCCCCAAGTCCACTTCTCAGACGAGCAACCACACAGCCAGGTCAGAATCACCGTCAACCACCTCAGCTTCGTACCTTGAGGCAGCCTGGCTTCTCGCAAAGGCCGAGCAATCCAGGGGAACCTCGTACACCTGGTAGACTGTCTCCTGATACGCCGCCTAGCAGTGTGGCCAGACCATGAAGAGTTCGTCTATCACAGACAGTGAATGAGATGCTCGTGTGGTTTTGCGTTTAACAAGCGATACATAGCATCATGACGGCGTTCAAGATACCACTTGCTTTAACCAGAGAATTCAACTTTATGTAGCGTAGTTTAGCATAGCGAGCGAGCGAGCACTCATGATCAAATCTTCCATGAACACAAGACAAAGTAAGAATGTTTCACATCATTTGCAATTCCTGTCGACATCTCCGCCCTTGACTCGAAAGAGTCGACTAAACAAACACACAACACGCCCATACGCCATGTACACCCAAAGTCGTATCACAAATTCATCATCCTACTTCACCATTTCCTATCCTCATCATTGCTTATTCCCAATCTTCCTCTTCGTCACTCTCCTCAGCCACAACTTTCTTCTTTCCATCTCCTACACTTGGCGTCCTTGTTGTCGTTCCAGAGACTACATCATAACTGGCATCGCTATCGGCCACGCTCTTCTCATCGTTTGATCGACGGGGTTGTGCTGAAGCTGCAGGTGTTGTGGCAGGTTTGCTGGTTTCTTCGGTAGGTTTGAGAGTGTTGACAGAGGCGGTCAGGTCGGTTGGCTTGGGTGTGCTTGTTTTGGGTGCCGGGGTGGGTTTTGTGGTAGAGGGCTTTGTAACAGTAGCGTTATCGTCATCAGAATCATCATCAGAGTCTTCCTCCTCGGAAGACTCCTCTTCGTCATCCTCTTCCTCATCGTCGTCTGATTCCTCTTCCTCTTCTTCCTCCTCGGAGTCTTCGTCCCAGGCTACTTCTTCGTCGGCGGCAGGTGTAGATGCTGTGAATAGAAGTCAGCGTCAAATCCATCTTTAGAACACTGAAGTCAACATACCCTTGAGCATTTCCCTCCTCCTCTGCTCCTCACTCTCAATGACATGGCGGAGGAAGTAGTATCTGCACCAAAAGACCTTGTATTCGACCTTCTCCGGAACACATTTCTCCATTGCACTCCTCAGCTCCTCATGCTTCTCGAGATCTTTGGCAATAGCCTCAGTCTTCTTGTCCACATCAAAAGCCGCCTTCCACTTCTCCCACTCTGGGCTCGCAGGATCTTTGAGGAAAGAGTCGAGTGTCGAGTGAATAACATGGAGCTGTGCGTCGAAGCGTGTCGCATGAACAACCTTCTTGCCGCTGCTATCCTTGGACTCGAAGAGTACGTCGCCATTCTTGTCAGCCTCGGAGCCCGCTTCGGGAGGCGCGATGGTGACAGCGTCGCGGAGGAAGTTGCGGATATTGCTGCCGAATTTGAGGAGTGCCTCGTCGGCGGCGTCTTCTGCCTTTTCGACGTCTTTGAGCCTTTTAGCAGCTTCGGAGCGGAAGCGCGATAGTATGCCTTCTGCTTCCTTTACAATGTCTGCGGCAAGGGACTCAGGACGGTCGGGGTGGGCTTCCGTGTCTTCCTTTGCCTTCTCGGCAGAAGCGTCCTTGTCGGTGGATGCGGATTTGGAGGTTGAAGCGTCGCCGGGCTGGAGGGAAATCTTTCGCGCGTGACTGATGATGTTGGAAACACTAGCCTGAGCGTTCTTGGTCAATGGCGCATATTGCTTGCTCGCATTGTCGTAGTATTGCTCGCCCTATGCCACACGTAATTAGCAGGTGAGCGCATAAGTACACACCGCTGTCTTACCTGCTTCCTCACGTTACCCAGGAACCCTCCCAAGCGCGCAGCCCAAGGGCTGCTCGATATGGCTTTATAAGCATCTTGGAACTCGGCGTTGAAGTTGTTAGCTGTCTCCTGGTGGGTGTTATCTCCGCTGGCGGACGACTGCTTGGTGGGGTCCTGCGGGTAGCTCTCCTCCTGGATGTGGTCGTAGGCGGAATCCATAGCTACGATAGTCCAGAAGGGGAGCAAGATCCAGAGGGATTGTGTGTTGGGCGAGAGCTAAGGATGTTGTCGTGGTCGTCAGATCAGTCGGTCAATCAAGGGTTCAGTCAAATGCGGGCGGGGCCATGCATGATGCTCCGCAACTCACGCTAGTGATTTGGCGACTACAAGCTCGAGCCCTGGAACACGCTCACGTCACATGAAGACATGTCCTTCCAGCCGACATGGCGAAAACGTATTTGTTAGAGTGCCGAAGCTCCTCCTCTATCTCAGCGCGTAGAGCATGCTACACTACATCCGGCGCCTTGATTATCCGGTGCTAACGTGCGCACTTTCTGCGTGTTGCTTGCTGTCTTGCGCGCCCATCCTAGATGCGCGCAGTAGTCACCTACACCACTACTAACATTCCCCCCTTGCCTCAGCTGGCCTGGTATCGTTGCTCATAGTACACCTCTTCCACGCCTCACCTCTTCTTCTTGCCGACTACCTTTGTGAAGCCCTCATCGTCCACCTCTGGCTCTGGCTTCGGTTTCGCGGGCACAAGCGCAGGCGCTTCGCCCATTTCGACATCATCGTCTTCGTCGCTCTCCTCATCCACACTGTCCCATTCCCCCTCTTGGTTTGTCTCCTTGACATTAACGCTGCCAGTCGAGACTTCCTTTCCTTTGCGCTCTTGCCACTTCTTCTGCAGCGCATCCACCGTCGCCGTGTTGCCCTCGCCAATCTCCTTCCGTATCGTCATGATCTCGCGCGCAACGGCGACCTCGGTCTCGTCTTCTACCCGAACGCCGAATTCGTCCTCGAGGACCTGTAGGAGGACAACTTCGACATCCTCCGCATCTGTCAGAGGCTCGGCTGCGAAGAGTTCTGAAATCTGGCCGGCGAGCCAGTCGCGTTTATCTGAAGAGTCGGGGCCGCCCCATTGATTTTGGACAGCGACCGTCAGGTTTGCCCAGTTGAAGAGCGCGTGCCAAATTCCGAGGTCAAATTTGTCCTGGTGTTCCTCTTGAGACGGCGTCAGAAAATAACATACATTCTTGTGCGAGTACATACCTGCGATTGGGCCGAATGCTGAAGACATTTTGCAATGTGTTACTGAGCGAAATGGCTGAGCGTGGGTTTGCGTCACGAAACGTCGATAATTTTGCCCGTTATCGATAGGAAATTTAGGCCCCGCCATTCCATCACATTGACACGTGAGGACGCGCCCTCGCGTTGCGCCACATTGAATACACAGCAGAGTTGCATTAGCGGCGAGAATTGCTTTTCTTAGTTACATGCTGCAATTCCTCAGCGAAGGCCTGAGGTTTCTCCAAATAACAGGCAGGCTAAGACTTCCTCACCAACCACTCCAGCTCCTTCGCCTGTTCCGTTGTAACAAGCTGCCCAAATCTCTCCGTTGTCAAGAAGTCATGATCCGAGAACTCAAATCCTGGTATTACCGTCTGCAAAGTCACAATAACGTTAGCTTTCCCCTTCTTACCATCCCAGCCCAGTGACGAATACGTACCTCACTAATCAACAACCTCTCCCCCTCCGCTCCATCAAGTAGAAAGCTCGCTTTGTATTTCCCACCCTCGACAATCCACACACTCTTCTCTCCATTCGCAACGTCTTGTCCAACGACGAAAGTCTCGATGCGTTTCTTGGTGCCGGGCTCATCGGCATGAATGAGGACGTAGCGGCCCCGACCTGAAATTAGGGTGTGTACCTATGCGACAAGATCAACACTCAATATTCAACATGATTATCGCATACGAGTTTCCTCCACCGGCTTGGCATGTGCTAGCAGGTTCAAGGGGTTTGAACATAAAAGATCTCATACCGTCCTGCCCTTGTTCCTATGAAAATGTCCCTGCGGATTCACTGCGCTCAACATGTAGTATATACTTGTACTCGCGTTTCTGATGGCGTTGTCACCGGACATGGGTTTATCAGCTGTGTTCTTTATATCCTCCTCTTCATCTCCGCCGTTCTTTGATAAGAAGGGGTTGGGAATGGTGAGTGGGTTACGATCGATTTCTGCATAGTAGCCACCTTCGACATGTTTTTGGAGACTGAGCGCGGAGATGATGGTTTGGGTGTTGGAGGGCTCCGTGGCGTTCGGATCTGGGGTGTATACTTGTGTCATGTCTCCCGGTGAGGTCATTTTAGGCTGTCAGGGTCGTCGGTCGGCTGCTTTGGCCAAGATGGGATGGGACGCGCGTGGCTCTTGGAGTTGGTGAACGATGACGTCATTCCCGCTAGTCGCCGATGAGAATCCAACGTATTGGCAAGTCGATGATATCTAGCGACCAATTTGATGATATCGGCAATCTCAAATCGCTCGTTCTGTCGGCCATGTCTCTCTACAGATGCATTTTCTAGCTGACTCATCAATCTTATTTCTCTTCGATCACTCCCATGACGTCCCGTCTCCGCAACCTTCATCTCTCTCACCCCATGAAAACACAGAAACAGACAAAATTGAAACAGCAAGCCCTAGCTTACAGTACAAACTAGCTCTAAGAAAGAAGATCTACAGAGATCAGTGGCATGATAGGCTTCTAGGTTCTCTATCTATGTCTAAACAGCTCTAGATATACTTTGTTGTAGTAAGAAGAAGTACTTTACGCTAGACAAAAGTTTATCTCTTCTCTTCAACATGCTGTTCTTCCTGCACGGCTCCTCTCACATCTCCATGCTCTTTGTCTCCTTTACTTGCCTCTCTTTCTGATTTGTCCTGAGAGTGCGTCTCGTCGCTTTGTGGTACAGCGATAGCTATCGCTTCTTGAGCAGCAGCAAACGGCTCTCTTATACTTGCATCCTGGCTGCGGAAAAACTCGATCGCATACTTCACATCTCCGACTGTCATAGCCTTATTACCGTTCTTTCCCGCAGATCTCGCATTCCACTTCTCCCGAATCTTCGCCCACGCCTCATCTCTTTGCAAAGATCCCGTGATTCGAGCCAACTGGTAAAGTTGCTCTAGAAGCTCACCTTTATACGAACCTCTGAAGTTCTCTAACCTACCGCCACGCTTTGGTTTTTTATTTGGAGCTCTTTCAAACATGTCGTCAGGAATGAGGTCCTTGCAGTCATCCACATTCCAATAGTGTTGGATCCAGAGATTCCACTTCTGGAATCTAACGGCTTCCGTGTCGTCGGGAAGAATCGGTGGTGGAAGAGGATGTGTTTCGTTGCCGTGCTCTGATGCGGTGATGCCACCTTGCTTATACTGTGAACTTTCTTTATCTGCTGTTGTGATGCCGACGCTACTGGTAAAGTTGCCAGATTGGCTGACGAGACTTTCGTTGTCTCTGGCAATCAATCCTATATCTGCGCACGTCAGTCGTCGTTCAATGCAAGAGCACTCAGCAAGAAGTCGAATTCACCATCCACGTTCTCATCCTTATCAACCAACTTTCCCTTTCCTTTTCCCCGTTCAATCGGCTCATCCCCACCATGGTGCTGTCGGACATACTCTAGATCGCTTAGCTGTATCTGTGCTGGCAGACTGTTTGACTTGTCTTTCACTCTCTTCTTCTGTCCTTCTTCCAGTAGATCGTAAACTTCATTCCACGCGTCATCGCCCGGCATATCACTAGCAAGGGCACTTATGCCTCGTAGGACTGGTAGAGGCCAGGTACTGATGGAGCCATCGTACCGCATGGACTTAGGGATGACCCTGCTACATTCTGTCCTGGGATCCCACTTATCTTGGATATTTGAAACAAGCTCTGATCGCTCTTCGTAGTCCGGATCGCTTTTTGGTGGAAACATGGTATGGTTGATAATCGATAGCACCAGTAGATTCAAGTAGAGAAAGTATTCACTGCGTTTGTACTCAAGTCTTGTCCTTGTTTGCTATTTGCTACGTCCTAAGCTATCACGAAGGACATACCTGGACAAAGATGTCACGAGTAGTCGCCCTAGAGCTACCTTCCTCACACGGGTCTAAACGCCAAGTCGATGTATCCACTTGCCTGACATCTTTGGTCGTCACTCAGTGCTGATTCACCTTCCTTCATCCCGACACTACCCTGCTGTTCGTCTTTTCCCTCGTGATGTACATGTACATACCTGTTCAACATTCCACCTCTCTCGCTAGCACTGGAGACTAAAGTCCCAGAGTGCAGCACTATCGACGTTTACCGGAGGTTCGAAATTCAGCATGTCACACTCATTGAGCTTGCCACCCAGCTGACAACCGCCCATCAGGTCATCAACTGACCATTGTGGAAAAGGGCCAATCGAACTGAACGATTGTTGACATCCAGCAGTCGCTGCATCGGTCCCTGGGCTGGGATTTGTGTCATAATGCGATGACACTGTTGGAACACTATCACTCCCTTCATCCTCGGGGACTGTTCGTGCACTCATATCGCGTATTGCTTCATCCAACATATCCGATAGATAACGTGCGGCTAGAAATGCCATGTCTGATTTACGACCGAGATACCAGAGACCCTCGATGCAATCGCCGCATCTCCGTCTCGCCTGGGATCGCTCCTCCTCATTTGGATCTGAAGCTGCTATTTGGACCAGAATGTAGCCGGCTCTGCATAATGAGCGTACGAAGACAATTGTCCACGGCTCTGTCAATAGCGCAGCTTGGCTCAACGCGAAATGGAAGTCTTTTGATGCCTTTGTGTCATTGACGCTGTGTATGCTTGCTAGACTTAGGTCGGCGACTGCTAGAGCATTTTGTCGGCGCAACGTAGCGACGAGATTCGAAGCTTGCCGGCAGATCCTTTCGTTAGAAGAAGAGAGGTTGGTCGAGTCGATCGTTGCGAGAAGATCGGAAAGCAAAAAGGTTCCAAGATGCCAGTGTCCTGCTAAGAGAATGTACCAGGACTGCACGCGTGCAGGGAGAGTGGCGTGATGCTTTACGCAGTCGGAGAAGAAAGGGGCATAGTTACGATGCCAGTGGTTGTATACTTGGAATGCGGCGTTTATTCCTGACTGTATGCATGGCATAGTCAGTCAAATGATCACAGTCGGGAGAGATGAAAGCATTGGCTTACCTCAATCCTGTCGGGTAAAGCTTTACGTGAAACTAGGGCTTGGAGATGTGCCACACGCCGAAACAAGAGCACTTTCACTGGTGCGGCAGAGCTGAGTGTCGATGCGGCAAGCCTGTAGCTACATGGCCATCTCGCTGCTCCAGGGTGCACTTCCAAGCTCCCGTAGCGTGTGAACAGATCACCCCAAACCTCGTTGACTTCAGCAGAGGGTTGTGATGTTTGGGCATTAGCAAAGGTACTAGTCTCATTCTTTGGCATTGTGAATCGGTCATTGTAGATGCTAGGAGGGCTGGCCCACACAAGGGATTCTCCGTACTCGTGGTTGTTTGATCGTGGTAGCTCGCTGTCCTCATCGTCGACTACCACCGGGCGTTGGGAGATTGCAGCAGATAGAGTATCGAACATAACTCCTAACCAATACAACAAGTTGAATGTATCTCGATCCTCCTGACGTAGCGGGTCTGTTTCGCCCCGTCTTTGGCTTGCCATCTGCTGTTCTATCCGTTCCAGTTTCCTTCGTTGAGCTAGGAGCTGTCGCAAAGCTATCTCAAGGAAAATTGGAGCGTCGTCATCCTGGACCAAAGCTTGGAACTCCTCGTAATGCGTCCCCAGCTTGGAGTTGGTACGTAGAAATGGGCGTGTGGTATCCAGAGGCCGCTGAGTCAACGAGAAGATGATCAAGGCAAAGACCACGCGAAAAGAGTCGATACTAGCAGCCCGATGAAGCAGTTCAGACGTTTGGTGCCAGAGAGTCTCTTGCATAGAACGCTCAAACTCATTTGACTGAGGGAATCCATCCGCCGTGAAACGGGAATCTGCCGGACAACCTTTAGTCCCTCTCTCACCTGCTTGAGCCCATTGTGAAGCGAAAGACATGATGGTCATGTTCAGTGCTTTAGAGACAATGCGCTCCTCATCAGGCGTTAGTTTCCGAATAAGAAGGGTTGCATAGGCTCGATCAAGCTGAATGACCCGATTGTACATCCTGTTAGACCAGGATCCACCCCATTCCCGTGAGGCTTTACTTGCAGACAGGATGGAAGGCTTGTAGCGTGTCATAGTATACGGACAGTTGTGTTCTGTAAGCCAACAAGAAAGAGAGTTTTCCATGCTGTCGTTGTAGATGCGCAAGAAGCCATTGGTTACAAAACCTCGTGATGTCCTCTCCCCCAATAATATGTCCATCAATGGAGAATTGGCGTCAATTTTTCGGTTGCGACCATAAGGATGCACGTCTAATGAGTCTCGTCGGGCGCGGGAAGAGACGAAGAATTCTTGTTCGTCACTCTTTTCCGACCGTGCCGCACTTGGGTTATCAGTAGATATCGGTTCGCTCGAGCCATTGTCCACATTCTCGTTCTGCGTGATATCGAAGCGATCTTCCTGTTCGTCGTCTTGATCCAGAGACGACAGCGATTGTGTCACTCGATTTGGTATCTCGTAAAGTCCGTTTATGGTAGGATCGCACGGGGCTCGAAAATGGTGGCTGAGAGAGCGAGTGAATGCTGAATCTTCAGCACGATCGTAACCACTTTGTAACGATGAACGTCTCCGTTTCCTATCCCGCTCTTGATGGCCCTCGGAAGCTGTCTTCAGCCAGTTGAACGTGCAGGCTTGGTTCTTCCGGAGGCAGTTCGAACACGTTTGATTTGTAAGATCTGCACGCTTGTCTGCATCGCAAGCTCTCTTTCCGCGCCTACACGAGTCGCAGCTACGCCATTGCTGACGACGAGGGGGTAGGGGCTGTTGTGTGGGCTGAGGGTTCGCGGACGATGATTTAGGTGGTGTCGTTGAGTCGTGGAACCTTTCTGCATGAGATTTGCTGGGTACTTCGGTCATAGTACTACTTTCGAAAGTCTTCAACATTTTTGCTTGTAACGTCGGCGATGGCGATGGATGAGACAAGTTAGGGGAGGATAATGATTGATCTTAACGAGAGACTACACTGTATACAAGGTAGCCGGCATACGACGTTGCTAAGCGCGGACGCATGCAGGTTATGGCAGCGACCCCGCTTTTTCACATTCACCCTCGCCCATGCGGGGGATCAGCTGCGAGGATGAGAAGCCTCGAAACTCTGGGATACGTCATGGTTGAGCTCCGGTCTGACCAAATGGTGGAAAGGAATTTTTAGTTCCGCTATATGCCGATAGGTGCATGTAGGTGTGGAATGTGGTGATCACGATCGAGAGACCTCTTTGCTGGAGAGCTGAAAAGGAGTGTCAGAGGATCGGACCGCTCAAGATGTTGGGCCGTTGACAAAACATCACTTTGATTGATATCGGTGCTCAGCCATTCTACTTTGGGACTAGCTCGTCTTCGGCTTCTTTCTACCGATCGATCCTTAGTATCAAACGCATAACTCCGATCCCGCGTCACGACACTCATCCCACGTCACAGTTGCTGCCACAGACATATATAGTGTCCATAGTAGTCTCGAGTTTACAAAGCCTGGTAGACCGCTGACTCGATCTTGCCCCATAGATTCAATACTTGTCCGTCTGCAAAAGGCAACAGCTGCGTGGCGACGATGCCAGCAACCCCCTTCTCTCGATCGCACCACCACCAGAGATTAGGTAGGCCTGCCCAAAATGCAGTGCTTGCAGATCTTCCGGTTACGCCTGCACCGCTCAACATAAATGTCAACCCCCAACCCTGCGGGCCATTGCCAGGTACGGGATATATCTCCGGTATAGCGTTTGTCAGATCCGGCTTCGCAGCCGGGATGTTTTGACGTGCGAAGTTTGGAAATTGGGTGATCTGATTCTGGAACATGACTTCCACGGTTGACGGGGAGAGAATCTTTGCACCGGTCGTGGGCGACGTGCCGTCATTGAGGAGCATTGCCAGAATTTCTAAGGCATGTCAAACGCTGATCATTGATTACACGAAGAGTGGAAGAGCTGTGCTTACGGGCATATTCTCGGGGCTTTGCAAAGCACCCGGCTCCCCCGCTGTAGAAGAAGCTAGGTGAATGGCTCTCGTCAGGTAACAGAGGGCGTCTCAGCAGGTGGTCCTACCGCGGATAAACAGGTCAGCATACACCCTATGACTGAATGCCAATCGCAATGCTTACCCTCCTTGAGAGCTTTCCATTTCCATCTCGACTGTTCATGTATGCCAAATTTCTCAACATCTCGGCGTGCGGCTTCATGGAAACATTTTTCAGTCCGAGCGGGGCGTAAATCTTTTCCTGGCAGTATTCTTCAAGCGTACGGCCTGTTGCTCTTTCCAACACTTTTCCTGCCCTAATAACACCGCATCAATACTTGTCTTATGCAAATTTCGTCCATTTCACATACCAATCGATACCGAGCCCATACTCCCAACCCTCGCCGGGTTGATGCACGAGCGGCTGCTTGATGTCGAACTCCAGCCCAGAGAATTCGTCCCAACCCGTGGGTCGACTAAAGTCTCTTAGCTTCTCATTGAAGAAGGTGTATCCAAATCCTGCAGTGTGAGACAGCAGCATGCGGAGTGTGATGCCTCGCTTCTTCGGCACGAGAGTTCCATCGGCCTCCAAGACCTGAACCGCTTTCAGTTCTGGACAAAGTGATTCCACCTGCGCCGAGTTATCCAAGCTTAATACACCCCTCTCGACAAGCTGCATCACAGCAACGCCCACTATCATCTTCGTACACGACGCGATCCAAAACACACTGTCGAGGGTCATAGGCTCATGGCTGCCTGTTCCACGTCTTCCGGCTGCATGGGAGAAGAGTTCCTTGCCATCCTTACCGACAACCACAACCACCGCACCCGGGATACCAGCTGTCTGGTCTGTACATGCATCGTCGGCGGCTTGCGAAAGCTTGGACAGTGTCTGAGCGGATAGGTTGCTCATGCTGAAGTCTATCTTCTTAGAAGGTGAGACAAACGACTATCAAGTACAGAAATGCGCAGCAGTTCTACTGTTCGATGTTTTACATTTCCTCGATGGTAAATACACGTCGCAAACACCTACAATCTCAATGTCAGCGTTTGAGGCATTCCACTAATCCATCCTCGCCGGCACCGCAATCTCCGCAAAGACAGGCAAAGTGAGCTGATGTGGAAGAGTCACATTACCTCCCCGCACTTCGCTAAACGCTTTCAAGGTCGATGTTGATATTTTCCAATGCAAAGTGTCGATGATCCGCGCCCCCGCCCGTGCCAAGCTGTCGGTGTCGACTATTGCGGAAGTGGGTGCGGAAGCGCAGCCAGGTGTGTTCGCTGATACGATACATACGACAGAACGTACAGATCCTAGAAACAATAGTCTCGCAATGAGCGAAGCCTATCAGATTGCAAAATAAAGAACATCGCTTTATTCAGAGGCTGAAAAGTCATCTGAGCTGTGTAACGGGCTTACGGATGCCCTTGCGGATGTCGACGGGTCCGCCGGATTAGAAGTCCATTCGCTGTTTTAAGATGGAAAGCGGACACGCAAGCGGAAGAACGGAGCCGGCGGCGACTATGTCTCTGTTCGAAGGGTACAACGTGTACAGGTACACATTCTCTAAATGTGGAGAGCAACAATGAGGATATAAGACATGTGGATTTGCATGGGGAGTAGTATTCACTTTCAAGTCAAACCACTTTTCAGAAACTTGTTTGACCAGATTCCGATTCCGATATGAAGATCAAGACTGAACTCCACGAGTACGCTCAACGCCGTGGTACTACAGGGCCATACGCTGACAATCTCGATGTCGACGCCCTTGTTGTGGGCGGTGGGTTTGGTGGCATCTACTGTTGGTATGAGCTGAAGAAGGCGGGCTTCCACACCGTAATCTATGAAGCAGGCAATGTAGTTCCATTCCCCTTCAACTTCAGGTCTCTACTGACATGCATAGGACCTTGGCGGCACCTGGAGATGGAACTGCTACCCAGGGGCTGGCGTGGACTCTGAGATTCCAGAATATCAGCTCTCTATCCCAGAGACCTACAAGGACTGGGTGTGGCCCAGCAACTATCCCGACTACAAAGACCTGCGTGCATACTTTGATCATTGCGACAAGGTCCTTGGTATCAAGAAGGAGACCGCCTTCAATAGTGTTGTGGTTGACGCCCAGTTCAACACTCGAGAGGGCAAATGGACAATCAAAACCGCTGATGGCCGCACAGCAAAGGCCAAGTACTTTGTGGTTGCAGCAGGCTTCGCTGCTAAGCGCTACATTCCAGATGAATTCGTGGGAATTGACGACTTCCAAGGTATCGTGCACCACTCGTCTTTCTGGCCCGACATGAACATCGACGTTCGCGGAAAAAAGTGTGCTGTCATCGGTACAGGTGCGTCCGGTGTACAAATCACGCAGGCTTGGGGTCCTGTTGCCGGGGAGCTCAAGGTTTTCCAACGCACACCTAACCTAGCCGTTCCTATGCGGAAGAGAAGTCTCACCGCCAAAGAGCAGAACGACACCAAAGTGTTCTACCCCGAACTCTTCCGTTACCGCGAGAGAAACTTTGGGGGATTCTTGTATGGTCTTTACGAGAAGGGCACATTTGAAGACACTGAAGAAGAGCGAGAGAAGTTTTACCAGAAATTATGGGACGAAGGAGGTTTCCGCTTCTGGCTGGCCAACTACAAGGACTACCTCTTTGACATGAAAGCTAACAGAAAGGGTAAGCCATGTTATCTATATCTAACACGTTATATCAGCAACTAACATACACCCAGCATATGACTTTTGGGCTAAGAACGTGCGCACCCGCATTGGCGACCCCAGACTTCGAGATCTCCTCGCTCCACTAGAACCACCTCACCCCTTCGGCGTCAAGCGTCCCTGTCTCGAGCAGACCTACTACGAACAGTTCAACCGTCCGAACGTCGACATTGTTGACATCAAGAACAACCCAATCGTTGGTTTCACCCCCAAAGGCATCAAGCTACAAGACGGCACAGTCCATGAGTTCGATGTCGTCGTTATCGCCACTGGTTTTGACATTACTACTGGTGGCATGACATCTATGGGTCTCAAGAATATCGACGGCGTGACTTTGCAGTCTCAGTGGAAGAAGGCGGCATATACGTACCTCGGTACTACTATCGCTGGATATCCGAATATGTTCCATCTCTATGGTGAGATATATCCTAGTACGAACTGCTTGTGACACAAACACTGACTCCGTACTTGCAATTTTTAGGTCCACATGGCCCGACACTTCTTTCCAACGGTCCGACGAGCGTCGAAGTACAAGGCCGCTGGATCGTGGATGCCATTAAGCAGATCGAGCGACAGGGCTTGAAGTATGTCAATCCGACAGACGACGCGAGTAAGAAGTGGAAGATGCGCATCAATGAGCTGAGTGACAAGAGTCTCTTCCCAACGACGAAGAGTACATACATGGGCGGAAGTATGCCAGGTAAGGCTTTCGAACAGGTCAACTACGCTGGAGGGTTGCCGGCGTATGCGGATGAGATTAGAGCCAAGCTGCCAAACTTCGAGGGCTTTGAAAAGGTGAAGAAGTGATTGGGGGGGCTGTAATGTGATGAGTTGGCTGCGAAAGATGAACGTTTTTCTTTTTGGATCTCGGGATGTATTTCATTGCCTATGAGCAAATGCCTTGTTTCCGAGACCACTTATTCCATATGGATGTGAAACTGAAGAGATGTAAATCAATGAGAATGTACCTGACGTTACAACAGGTCGAGAGAGCGACCAACAGAGTAACGATTTAGACGCAAACAGCAGCATACTCAGGAAGAGGTCTATGGATGTAATGTTTTCTATTTTGTTCTGGCCATGACGCCACCTCGTTAAATTTCTCTGCTTATGTTTGATGTGACGAATTAGAACCTTGAGTTTGGCTGGCGCATGCGCCCCCAAAGGACAAATACCAACGGCCCGAACCGATGATGAAAAGATTAACAAGAAACGAAGGGT